AAAGTTCCACAGAGTTTCTTATGATTCTCGATTCAATTGGTGATAAGTTGGAAAATCTACCGTTCAGTAAAACTTCGATGAAAAATTTTAAGACATATTTGAAACGAACTTGTACATTTTTTATGTCAGGAATGTTCATATTTTATATAATGATAACAATTTTCTACACTTACACTACAAAAGAGGAAATAGACTCGAAATTTATGTTTGAAGTACTGAACTACTACGGTTTTGGAGCATATTTTAACATGATATTATTGTTTATCGGCTTTCTTGTGATTATAATTAAAAATTATCTCGAAATGTGCCATCAGAATCTTCACGGATATTCTGAAAGTTTCGGAACATTTCAAAATAAAATTAAGGAAGTGATGACAATTCAAAACGACATAACTCAAGCGATTAAATTATTCAATGAAAGCTTTGGATTTTTATACTTTGGATTATACGTTTATCTGTTCACAAATTTTGCTACTTCACTCTATTTTGCGTATACGTCATTAATATATGACTTTAATGACAGTCAAGCCGAGTCTACTTTAAACATTTTAGTGAACATGATTTGGATATTGCCATTCAACATATTTAATCAATTAATCGGAATTAATTGCTCGCAAGTTCAAAACAAAGTGTTCGACATCAAAAGAACATTAACTAAATTATATGACGATGACCATTCAGGCATAAGCGGACAACTCTTATCGACTGTTTGTGAGGACGACTTCATTTTCACTGCAAACGGATTCTTTCCGATTAACAGAGCCATTTTCATGAATGTGAGTTTTATTTCGTACTTTTGTGTAAATTAGGTAGGTATTTATTTAATTATTTATCTTCTTTCAGATTATAATTTCAACATCGACTTTCTTAATCGTTGCAATTCAATTTTACCAACAGCAATAAACAAATTTTTATTCCTTTTATTACTAGTTTAAATGAAACTCTGTTCAACATTTACTTTAATTAAATAAAAAATGTCAGCTTTAAGCACTTCCACGACTTTTCGCTTCTTTCATGATCGTAACAAGTGACGCGAAAACTTCTATAGAATTATCAATAATTTGATCAGCAGGCAGAATGAATTTGTCTCTTCCTTCATCTCTGAATTCATAAGCATAAGTAATATTGGCTTTTAAAGTATCTTTCACCCAATCAACGCTTGATCCCGATGCGATATCTAGATTGAAAAAGATTTCCATTAATAATTCTTTAAAGATGAATAAAAAAAATCAATTTACAGATAACATTAGCAATGGACCCGAGACTGTATCTGGTACCAAACTTCGCTGTCAAAGCTTCAACTCCTTTCTGTCCAATCTCATAAAGTTCGTGATAATTTCCCAGTAATTCTTTTGTCCATCCGAAAGGCGTCATCATCATTTGCCCATAAGCATGGAATGCAAAGTAACCAACCAAGTTTGGAATTGTCCTCAAATATTCTGATAAAGCTTTTGTTTCTGGTTCTGAAAATGGAGCTGACCCAGCATAAAGATCACTGCAGGGGTTTGTTGACGCTCCACCTTCTGCAAAATGATTGTCCCAGTTTCGATTAGGATCGGCACCGAAACAAATTGCATTGGACGGCTTTCTTGTCTTCCGCCATGAACGATTTGTTGTCCATGTGTAGACGTAACCATCGGGATTAGTCACTGGAAAAACGTACCATTCAAAGCTTTTTGCAATGTCTTGAACTTCAGGGTCTGTCGATGTAAGCAGTTCATTTAACATCCAAGTAGTTGTAGCAGTTGAAATCCATTCTCTCGCATGAATTGTAGCTTCGAGTACGACGGAATTCTTCTGACCCCCACCAATATTCACTTTAACACCTCGAATGTCACGACTTTGATAAGATTTCCCAACATTCACATGACTGACAATACCAGGATATGTTTCAACTAAGGAGTCGAGCCATTCATTAATTTCATCGTAAGTCCAGTAACTGGTCCAGTCTCCAACAGCTTTACTTCGCTTCTTCGGTTGTTCGTTATCAAAGAGTCTGTTTGATATCAGTTTTGATTAATTCAATCAATTTTAAAAATATTATCGATTGCTTACTCTTGTAAATTTTCATTCACCATTCGCGATTTAAGCTCAAAAGTTTCAACAAGTTCACTGAATTCTCCAAACTTGTGAGGTGGAACGACCAAATCTGCATGTTTTCCAATCTCGCCAGGAAAATCCCAAAATTGGTACTTCATGAAATAATTAATAATTTTAAATAAGATTGAAGAATTTATGATTAAAACTTACACCATCTGGATGATTTTCAATTTCCTTCATCAGACGAAATTGTTCTTCATTTTCAATCGAAACTTGATATAATCGGTAGTTGTCAAATCTTGCTTTTTCTGCTGGTTTTATTGCAGAAACACAAAGAAATGCAAACAAAGAAAGAACCAAAAGCTTCATACTTGACTCAGCAACTGACTGAAGTGAACTGAATCAAATCAAATGATTCAATGTGATCAAACTGAATTAGTTCTTAACTAGATGAAGTGGTAACGAAGTTGATAAGGAAGTCCAGAAATAATATGAATCGTGTCTGTTATCTTAAGAATTGCTACTTGAAATAATAAGTATAAGTGTTTGATCTTAAGGTGTTTGTGATTTAAATGAAATCTTATCAGAAATGTGATTTTGTTCCCCATTTTTGCACTCATCACTTCTACGGAAAGTTTAAAGATTTATTCTTTTATTAATGATTTAAGATTACGAACTGTCACGGCCACTGATATAAAATTGAATGAGAATAACGAGATAAGTTGTGATTGCTGCAACAATCGTATAAAGCAATGACAAATCAAGATTGAAGAATCCAAAAGCATTGAATTGAATCTTCTGATGTAAAAGTTGAAGACTAAATTGTTCAATGAAAAGTGTTTGAATTTCATTGTTGTAATCAACTTTCAGTTTATGCAGTATCAAGCCGGTTTTATTTGACTGTTTGAGAGAATTTTTTTTGTTAGAATTAATTTCTTTACAAATCTTTTGATTACTTACTGTGCGTATTGTTAAATGACAAACAATTGAAGCAAGAATCAAATTTAAAAGATGTGGTGAACACCATAAAAAGCTTCTAACTCCATTAAAAATCTTTTCAATTAGTTCTGATGAGTTAATCATTGACAAACATATAAAATAAGAATTAGCAGTAAGAGAGAAGAAATCGTTTGCAATGTTACTGAGAAGTGAAAATCCGAACGAATAATTCACAAGAGTTGATAAAATGTAAACTTTGTTGTACATTTTCCGCATTAAAATCAGAAGTTCAAAATTCTTTTTATATTTTTGAGATTTGAGATCATTTTTATAAAGTAAAACATCGACCGACTTGATGAATTTTAAGTTTTTAACTTTTCTTTCAATGTTTTTGTTGTCGATTTCAATTTCTGAAAATTTCGCGTTTAAAATAATTAATCTTTGTCGAATAAACCAAACACAATGAAAGTACTGCAAATATCGGAAACAGCTGATGAGATAAGAGAGCAAGTAAGAAATTGCGTAGATGTAGATGGTAAGATCGCGTTTCATCAGAAACACTAATGAGACAAGAAGAACTCCAACATAAAATAATGCTGCTGTCATTAACATCCTCAAGTGTTTTCCTCTGTTTCTTTCTATTTTCACACCGCCAATGTCCGTCTCAATTATCATGTCAAGTTCGTAAAGTTTCACGAAATATTCCAGCAATAATTTTTGCTGATAAAAGGCCTCGAACACGATAATTAAATGCGTTAATCGAACTCCCAGCAATTGAATAAAATCGACAATAAATCCTCTGTCACTTTTATCCTCTGCCAAATACAATTTTCCATCGTACCACGAAGCACTCAAAGGCAATATCGAAAATGCTATGCAAAATATCGAATAAATTTTCCAATTCCGACTTTCTTCCGGTTGGAAATTTTTATTAACTGCAAATGGGTTAATTCCGAAAATTTGAAACACTTTCAACGTTGGCATGAATGCATAAATTTGATTCATGTTCATAAAGCTTTGAAGTTCAAAACGGAAATAAATGCTTTGTACGATTTACAACAAGTAGGTAATATTTTCATGAAAGAAACTCACTCATTAAGGGGTAAAATCAATTTAAAATAAAAGCACAATGGAAACTTTGATCTTAATTATATGTTAAGAAATAAAAACGAAACTAAATTTTACCTATTAAGTATTCACAACAGCTCACAATAACTACTCGTTTTCTTTGTTCAAATAACCGCCCTGTTTGCACAGCTTATGAATAATCAATGACTCAAATCATACCCGCATTAACACAAAACTCGAAACTTTTAGTCATCAACTTGTTGCATTTAGCACTGACCCGTATTTGAGTGAAAACACTTTTTGAATATTTATAATTATAGTTTAATAAATTACGCAGTTTTATTATCAAATATGGAATAAAGTTAATTACTTAATTTTTTTTGCGTTACCCAAGTAGCACCAACAGTTCATGTGAACGATTTAAGTTTGCCTTTTGGTAATTGTCAATGTTTTTTCAGACCTATGGTTGATTTGATTGCGCTATCGCCTTGTTGTGCTACTTGGGTTGAAACATTTAATCTTTGAACTGATGTAAGAAAAGTTTAAATTTGCTCAAACGTTTAAATATTTAAGTTAATTAATTATCTAAATGATTTTAAAAGTGGAGAAAGTGATCGAATTTATGTTGAACTTTTTTAATTTTATGCTTTTTAAACTTTCCATTCATTCTTTACTTTTGAGCTTTCATAACTTTTCACGAAGCTTTAAAAGCTCTGGGAAGCTTTTAAAGTCTTTTCACATTTATAACCCTGAGATAATCACTAATAGCGATAATTCAACATGTTTCTTAATGTTTATGCTTATCCTTCTTCGCATGTTGGCACTTTTATTTTTATCTAATTCATAAATTTATCCGCCAACATTTTAATGCTCTTGTTTACAGTTCCATTTTAAGTAATGGCGACTTCTTGCTGTGATATGGGCGGTAACGAAAGATCTTCCACCATGATAACATTATTGTCAAGGTCGCGTGTTTTCTCTATGAGAAAAATATGAAAAAGAATTTTACCTGAAATTTTACATCACACATAATATTTAGCTCGCAATCATTCTCACCCGTCATTTCCGAAACTGTGATAATTCCATTGATCAGACCAGCTTTCAAGCCATCGCGAATGTGTCGCTCACACGCCACTTCATAATTAAAACGTAAGGAGTAGTTGTCGTCCAATGGTGAAATTTGATTGTTTTTCTTAGCGCGTAGTGACGGCGGTAGGTTTGATGACGTCAAAAAGTTTGGATTGTCGCTCGTGATACTAACTTTGGCGTGTGGGGCGGATTTCGGTCGGTTTTGGGCAAAACGAAGTTTCTTCTGAAACGAGTGGTGAATTTTTTTCTTTCATGAGAAGCTTATCGCACGCCTTATTTAAACGAAAACGATAATGGAGTCGTTCATTCTCCCGAATTTTCATTATTCTTATGACGCAAACGTAGAGAGTTTATATTGTTAAATGGGATTGCCAAAAATAACTCAACAATTAAGTTAAATATTCTAAATTAATGTCGCATAAAAATAGTTTTCGCTTTTTATTCTTGACACTGACCTTTCTTTTTCCGGTCGCTGGTCGACGATTTCTCCTCGGGATTTCTTCGTTACTACTAAGCGATTCATTTTGCGTGACAACACGCAGGAACCGGATTTTGTTTTGAATACTTTTATAGTTATTACAAATAGTGTTCACCAGCCAAGTGCAAGCTGCCATAGCGACTTGGGAATCGTATTGGTTCTCGTATCGTCCGACACCTTCAATGTAGCATGGCGTTCTGAAAAGATTAGCAAGATATTCGACTTCAAAATAATCACAGATGTCGAGGGAATCGAGTGCCCCTGGAAGATCTTGTTTCGTTGAAAGAATCAACATTGGCTTCCCCATCAGTAAATCATTCGACATAATAGCACCAAAAATTTCCTTCGATCTCTCCAATGTTGAATGATCCGACGAATCAATGACGTAAATTACACCAAACACCTGAAACATGAAGGAAAATGAATGTTTAACAAATTATTCGTTTTAATTAACATCGCAAACATGTTTCATGCAAATGAAATTATTTTCTTCATGACATGACATGCTGGTGACGGTCGATGTTTCAATGTCAACTCACATCAAGAAAATAATATTTCCAAATATCGTAAAACTCTTCACCTCCACCAAGTTCAGTAAACTTAATCAATCTATTGTTAATTTTCGTTGTGAAGACTCGACAACCATTGGTTGTGAAAAAATCATCGCGTTTCTTGCTAATTAATCGAAATGCGACCTCAGTTTTTCCTGAATTTTTAAGTCCAAGGATGAGAATTGGAATTGATCTAAATTACAAATTTTCTTTAATTAATTTTCCTTCTTCATTTCAATTAAAATTATTCACGAAACTAACTCTCGATCATATGCTTTACAGCATTTACATTTTTGTAAACAACTTCCCATGACCATAGGAGATATTCAGATAATATTAACTAAAAACTTTCACTTCCATGACTTAATGAATCCGATCGAATGAGAAGTCAGAAAAGGATTTAAAATTGTTTTTCTTTCTTCACACTTCTCACTCGACGAAACTTTTTGTTTGTTTTGAAAATGCGTTGCCGAGGAAACTGAAATCAAAAATATGCAAACGACATCTGTGGTTACAACCAAATAAATATATTTAAACCTTGACATGTTTCTATAGAACGTTAAATTATTTATTAAATACATAATTAAATAAGAAATAAATCATTATGAAATAAAAAGAGAAGAGAAGAGAAATGAATCATTTATCAAGAGGAATAATCATTTCCAGTGGATAAGCCAGTAGATCAGCTACCGATGATCGTTCCTTTGGATTATATACGAGACATCTTTTCACCATCTCAACGAGAATTGGTGGATAAAAATTTGGCATTGGTGGATATTCAATCTTTGTGTTGGGGTTTGTAAGTGCGTGAATCTTTTGATGAAGAACTTTTATATGAGAAAATGGAGTTTTCTTAAATATAAGCAAGTAAAGAATGCAGCCAAGTGACCAGACCTAAAGAGTAATAAAAAATATTAAAAAAAATCATCACAATAGAAAGTTTTTAATCACAACTCACATCTGACTTTGTTGAGAGTCGAATTTTTGGCTGATGATGTGTTGATGGACTATCACCTGTTGAAGTGTCAATCAAAGCTTCTGGTGAAATATAATTAAAAGTTCCAGCTTGTGAAAATTTGATGATTGATGTTGAATCGATTGCAATATTGCTAGCAATACCGAAATCAATCAGTTTAAGTCTTCCTTCGACCATGAGAAAGTTTGCCGGCTTCAAATCTGAATGAATTACTCCATTTTGGTGAATATAATGAACAGCTTGCAGCATTTGATGCCAATAACTTATCATTGTGTATAATGGAATATGAGTTCGAAAGCCTTGAAGGATTTTATGTAAATCTGATTCTCCTTTCTCCATCACCATGTATAAAATTCGTTTCTTTGGTAGATGAGCGTAATCGAATAAAGACACAACATTAACATTTCCTTGAAGTCTCGCGAGCAATTTTGTTTCATTCAAATATCCATCAACGACTTGTTGATCTCCATCTAGGTTTACAATCTTTATCGCACATTCTCGATTCGTCTTCTTATCTCGACCTAGAAACACTGTGCTAGACCCGCCAGATCCAAGCTTCTTCTCCATAACATATTCAACATCATTGATCGTTGAGATGTTTTCACTTGTTTCCTTTTCTGACGATGGTTCATTGATTGGCGACAGTTTTCTTTGATTTTGTACTGGTGGTTTTCTTGATTCGACTGGGGTTGATTTCAGCAAACTTCCTGGTGGTGGTCGCGTGATTGGAGTTGTGAAAAGAATCTTCACTTGTGGCTTTTCTTTCTTCTCACAAGTTAAAGGAAGTGGAAGAGGATTCGAAGGTTTCACAACTGCCGACATTAATGACGATTGGGGACGTACGGAAGGTGTTGCAAAGATCGCATCTTCTGATTTTTTTAAAGGTGTTTCTAAATCAGATGGATCTGACATTGTTTGTTTGATACCTGGTGTTGATATTCCGTGCGACTTCAAAGTCGAAAACGGTTCTCGAACAACCTCAGATTCGTGTTTTTGTTGTGTTTTGAATACTGATGGAACCGATTTTTCTTGTGGAGTCTCTTGAGCTGAAGAGTTTGAATTGAAAAGCTGCATTCGGGATCTGATTTGTCGGAAAGGTAATTTGTGGAGGCTCTCATCGATATTCTTATTTTCGGTGAGGACAATTCTTCGTGATAGAAATCCGCTGTCATTCGTCTTTTCATCATTTGCCAACGTTTGATTCTGAATATTCTTATCATTTTCATTTGTTGGAGATTTAGTTTTTCTACATGGAGTGTCGCCTACTTCGATGTCTTTCGAGGGACTGAGAACAAACGACTCGTTGAGAATTGCACAGTTGAGTCTAAATTGCATAAAAAATATTTCAATAAAAAATTTCCCGTTTTGTTAAAATTAAATCTTACTTGTCATTTTTTTCTTCATCTGAATCAGATTCTTGAAACTCCAAGTCTACTACTCGTTTTGGAAGTCTGTAAGAGCTGGAAATAATTAATTTTATAATAAATTTCATCAAGAAGCTATTTTTAAGTTTATTCACAATTTAGATGGACTTGTCTCTTTTCGCCTTTCTGGAGTTTCTAAATCTGAATCCATTGTTGATAATTCACTTGTACGCTTCGGAAATAAGTGCGACATATCTCTTTATTTATTATTTTTCAATCCTCCCGATCAAACGTTAGATGGCGACCGTTAACAACAAAAACAAATTTTGGTCGGACTACATATTTTCGAAATTATTCGAAATTCATTGTGACAAGTCGAATATATTTAAATGACCGTTCATATTTCGAAATTCATTTTTTAAGGAATATTTTGCCGTGCATCAAAAATATCAATTTAAAGACGAAATATATTAATAATTGCATTCAATCAATATGGATTCTCTTGGAGAAGTAGGGAAAAAGATGCGGGTAAGTTAAATTTAAGCAAATCATTTGATATAAATTTATTTTTCAATTTCCATCGATTTTTAATTCTTAAAAATTTCTACTTTGAAAATGCAAAAAAAACAGTCCGCTATTAAAGCAAAACTATTAGAACTTGGGACAGGTTCTCAAAGCGGATATATTGATGATGAGCTTCCAGACTACGTTATGATTATGGTCGCAAACAAACGTTCAAAAAGCCAGATGTTGACCGACTTGAATTTGTTTTTAGGATCAAATACAGGTAAGAAAATTAAAAGGAAATCTCATTAATTGATTCTTAATTACTAATTAATGATGATAAAAATTTGAATATAAATACGATGTTCTGTCATTTAATTCACAGAAATATTTGTGAACTGGCTGCATCAAGTTCTACAGAAGCTACAAGAAGTGACACTTCCAAATAACTGTAAGTTTTCTAGCGTCTCACATCAAGTGAATATTTATTCATTAAATTAAATTCCAGTGGCATCTAAAACTAAGAAAAAAGAATCTGAAGTTATAACGAAAAAGGAAAAAAAGAAAGATAAGAAAAAGAATTCTAAAGAGACATCAATTACTGACGTAATTGCAGTGGAATTAATAGAAAAAGCTAAAAAGACTCTTGAAGTAGAAAAAGAAGTGAAAAAAGAAGCAACAAAATCGCCATCGCCACAACCAGCTACAGTAATCAAAGCGAAAATGCCTGATCCACCAGCACCACCTCACATCAACCCTCCAGCAATGTCGGATCATGAAAAAGATAAAGATGATGACGAATTTGATATTCCAACAATAAGTGAAATTAAAACATCAGCAGGCAATCATAATCTGCATAAGAAAGAACTTTCACAGCTTCAAGAACTTCAGAATCGAATTTACAAGACAAAAAGGAAACTTCAAGAATTTGGCTCTGACTCTGAAGACGTCCCAGCATCAAAAAAACCAGTAAAGTCACGTTTAGGTGTAAAACCAATCGAAAACACAAAATCATCGAATATTATTAGTTTATCAGCAATAAGACGAACTGAAAAGGAAATTTATGTTGCTCCAAGTTTTAAGAAATTAATTGAAAGGCAAAAGGAAGAAAATGATCGTCGTGGGAGTGAAATTATGCGACGTTCTGATTCTAACAAATTGCCGTTGAATACAAAGCACAGTCGTCGCTCACGATCAGTGTCAAGATCACGTGAACGCTACCGACCAAGACGAGATCGTTCCAGAAGTCCTGTTAAGCGTTCTCGAAGTCCATACAAAGCATCGCGTAGTCCAAAACATCGTTCAAACATCCACCAACGAATTGGATCGCGTATCGTCGCGAATTCACCTGAAAAAGATGCTCCAGTTCGTATAAAGTTTCGTCCAGCTTTAAATAGCGCTGTAACAGCACAAGCTGGGAAGAACCTTTTGCTTCGTGCTGTAGCTGAAGCTCAACGTTCAACAGCTCTCGCTTCGCAAATGCAGCAAAGACGAAAGCCACAAAGAGATAATATTGTGATTCATGTACCGCTTCGTAAAGATAAGCGAAACATTCGATTAGATGAAGAATATATCCCTGAAGCTGTTTCATCGCAAACAGAATCAGACGCTGAATATCATCCGTCAATTCACAATAAGCCTCCAGTTATTGACGATGGGGATGATGGTGACGTTGTCTATTTAAATAATGTTGAAGATGTTGAAGATCTCGAAGATCTCGACGAAGAAATGCCAAAGAGTCCACAATTTGTTGTTACACTTGAAGGTGTGACACAATTTGATAAAAAATCAAAATCATCATCACATTCGCCAACACCACCTCCAGTGATTAAACGAAAATCTATTAAAGATCGTATTGGAATGAAGCCAGTAATCCCGCCAGGAAATTGGGAGGAACGACAAACAGTCAAAAGGAAGTCTGAAGAAGAAAGTGAGTCACAACGTGCTTATAATCAAGCAAAGAAAACTCGACTGTCACCAATTAAATTTGACTTAACTGATGACGAAAATGAAGAAAGAAAGTCACGTGAAACATCAGTTGAGCGTCGTAGTGTGACTTCTGAATCCAATAAAGATGATGAGAAGAAGAATGAGGAGCAAAATGGTGAGGAAATTGCAAAACGGATAAAATTAGAGCCATCAAGAAGCTTCGATCATGTTCCACCATGTAAGACAATTAAAAAATTTCTTATTGTTGATTGTCAATGATTTTTCTTTATTTTTATTTTCAGTACTCAGTTCAGTTGCTGTTCCTGTTCCTGAAGTTGCTAAGCCAATTGTGAAGACAAAAGAACGTTGCAAGTTTTATCCATTATGCACAAATGCCAGCTGTGCCTTTTATCATCCCACTCACCCATGCAAGCTCTTTCCAAATTGTAAGTTTGGTGATTCTTGTGCTTACATTCATCCACGTTGTAAGTTTGACACATCATGTACAAGAGAAGATTGCAATTTTAGTCATTCACAAGCAAATGTCGGACAAATTATTCCGCCGATTGGTAAGTTAATTAAATAATGAAACGCATAAATTTTTTATTTATTTTCATTTCTTTTTTACTTTATTAGCTTCATCAGTTGTTCCAGTTCAGAACTATAAGTCAATAAGCATTACTCCTAACACGACAATCTGCAAATTCTTTCCAGGATGCACCAACACAAATTGCATCTTTCTTCATCCAAAAGTCTGCAAATTTGGCAAAGCATGTCTCAATAAATTTGATTGTAACTTTTATCACTTTGAGACATCAAGCAAGAGCAAATTTAAGTGGGTGTCGCCACTTTCTTAGGTTTAAGGACTTTTCAACATGCTTTTCATTTTTCTTTTTGTGCGGTTTTAGAATACTCCAAGTGAATTAAAGAATTAACATAAACAAAGTTTAATGAGACTACCTACATAGTTAGGTTGATAAGCGATTTTTAATTGCTCATCTTATTAATTATCGTCTTTAAACTTCATCATTAAACTTCAATTAATACTTTCAACATGATAATTAAGAAATGTGTTCTTATCATGTTAACGAAATTGAATTTAATATAAAATTAATTATAAACAGATTTTTAATCTTTTAATAGTTTTTATGGGAAATCCCAAAACTTCATCTGGATCTGCATTAACCTAGAAAAACAAAAATTACAAAATATCCAAACAATTTCAATTTTAATTTGAACACTTTAGTTTTTTAATATTGATTGAATTTCATAAAGATGCTACACATATTGGGTAATTTAATGAGCTATAATTAAAGATTTATAGGCTATTTCAGTTTCTTTGGCTCTCCCTTTGTAATCGTCTGCCGTAAGATCTGCTAACAGTGTTGAAACAATCCATATATCTTGACATATGAAAAAAAAAAATACAATTGCTATGTAAAATAGATAATATAAATGACTTACCGGTCCATACACATTGCAATACATTTCTGCTCTGTTGAATCTAACTCAACTCCAGGTCTATTTACACACTTTTTAAAACATTTCTCTGTCATTTTTGTTAGTAACTCCTGAGCATTGGCAAGTGCAATTTGTTGTTTTACTTGATCCATGAGATCACTTTTTTGTGTTGAAGACATTCCCGACAAATCCATTTTTAATTAAATTAGTTTTTAAGAAATTGTTCGCTACTAAAGATTGGATCGTGATAAAAGTATTTGATGATGTCAGATTAATGTTCTAAACTTGTTCTGCTTATTTTTAAAACGATTTGAAACGTTAATTTTGCAATGAAAATTTATAATTAAAAGAATATTATTAAAAAAAATTATTCTTATATGTACTGTATTCGACTATTTTCATTTTTATAAAGATAATAAATGCATTTAAAACAATTTTTATCGTTTGTTTTTACAACGCAATCTATGCCATCATTCGTAAGGCTCCATCAATTCGAATAACTTCGCCATTCAACAATGGATTGTCAACAATGGTTTCAACTAATTGAGCATATTCCTCAGGAAAGCCAAGACGTTGAGGGAAAGGAATAGTTTTAGCAAGAAAATCTCGCACCTTATCCGGAAGTGATTGAAGAAGTGGAGTGTCAAAAAGTCCTGGTGCTATTGTCATTACGCGAATACCTTGACTGGCTAAATCGCGAGCAATTGGTAAGGTCATTCCTGCAATTGCAGCTTTACTTGCTGCATAAGAAGCTTGACCAATTTGTCCATCAAATGCTGCTACTGACGATGTATTTATGATAACTCCACGTTGTCCATCTGTATTTGGCTCATTTTGTCCAATTACACCAGCTGCAAGCCGAATAACGTTAAAAGTTCCTACAGTGTTTACTGCAATAACTTTCGAGAAATCTTCAAGTCTATGTGCTAGATTTTTATTGAAATTGTATGTTTTAAAAGCGACCGTGATTCCAGCACAATTCACAGCAACATCTAATCGTCCAAACTTTGTTTTTGCCTCATCAATAGCTTGAGTCACATCTTTCTCCGAAGTGACATCTGTAGGTACAAAAACTACGTTATCTCCCCAAATTTTCGTCACTTCCGAACCTTGTGATGTCGGCAAATCACAAAGAATAACTTTAGAGCCGGCAGCAGCAAAACGATCAACTGTCGCTCGTCCAAGTCCACTTGCTCCTCCAGTTATCAATGCCACTGAATTCTAGTAATGCGACATTTTGATTTTACTATGATATTAAATTTAATTTATCTTTCCTTACCCTAAACATTTTTATCTCTTTTTATCAAAATAAACTAAAATTCCTGATGTGTACAAGTAAAACCCTTTAGTGTGGCATATAACAAGTTGAAAACAATAAACAAGACACAACGTTCGTTGTTTCAGATTACACATTCAGTCGGATAAGTTTCGTGAATCGCAATTCATTTTTCTCTTAGAAAAATTGCACAAACAAAGTAAATCTAAATGGAATCTGAAGTCAAAAAGCCTTTCCTCATAGGTAAATAACATTGAATTAATGATTGGTGATGAAATTTATAAAAATTAATCGAAATTTAAGCAGAAATGTGAATTTTCATTGTTTTCGTATTTACATTTGGGTCAAATTTCAATATACTTTTATTTTGTTTATTTTTTTAGGTGTTGCTGGAGGCACAGCGTCAGGAAAGAGTACTGTATGTAAACGAATAATTGGAAAGCTTGGGCAAGCTGAAGTAAACGATCAGCAACGTCAAGTAAGTTGATTGATGAAATATTCCAAGAACTAAAAATATTTGAATCAATAAATATCACCCACGCCAAATTGATTTTATCTTCTCATTCTTTTTAAAGATTAAATCTTAAAATAATTTTTTCTTCTTTCATTTTAGGTCGTTTCGATAAGTCAAGATAGTTTTTACCGTGAGTTGACCCAAGAAGAGAAATTGCGAGCTCAGAAAGGTCGATTCAATTTCGATCATCCTGACGCTTTTGACGAGAAATTGATGTACACGACAATGAAGGATATCCTTGAAGGAAAGAAAGTTACAATCAATTCTTATGACTATCGAACCAACTCAATTTGTCCTAACAAAACTGTCACAATTTATCCTGCTGACGTTGTACTCTTCGAAGGGATTCTTGTCTTCTACTTTCCAGAGATTCGTGAATTGTTTCACATGAAACTGTTTGTTGACACAGACTCCGATACAAGACTTGCCCGACGTGTCCCTAGAGATATTAACGAACGTGGACGTGACTTGGACCAAGTTTTAAATCAATACATGCTGTTTGTTAAGCCAGCATTCGAAGAATTTTGCAGTCCAACGAAAAAGTTCGCTGATGTCATAATTCCTCGTGGTGCTGATAACACTGGTGAGTTTTTGAGCTTAATCTTATTATGTCTTAACGGCTCTGGTAATCATCGCAATAGATTCTTACTAGAAACGGGATTAAGGTTGAAGCAAAGTGTTGGGTCATTTGCTTTCTAGTTTAACGACACCAGATTAACCTCCTTTATGACTTTTATACGATAAGCGCTACACCCGTTGAAACACTTTTCACTGATAACAAATTCACCATTTTTTTAGTTGCGATCGATTTGATTGTCCATCACATAAACGATATTTTACATCCGACTGCAAGCTTAAATGGACTCAACGGACATTCGAATGGTCATCGAGCGATCTATCTTTAAATACGTCTATACATACGTATAAAACACTGATACCGAAAAAATAACATGATTTGGGCCTTTTCCTGATACTGAATATCAAATGGCATTTTATGATTTTTTTTATTCAAAAAAAGTTTTTTTTGCTGAATTTTACAAGAAATATTTTTAAAATTGTTTTTAACAGCAGAAAACATTCCTAATGTGCCCAATCTTTCCCATTTTTATACAGTAAAATAATTTTACATGATATGAAAGAAAACATGAAATGATTTTTAAATTTTTATAATTGTACGATAATTAATTGATATCGTGATTACCGCAGAGCCTCGAAATGAAAGGAACTTGAATATATAAAAAAGAAATGAATTTGTTTCTATTTTTATGATTTGAAGTTTCTCATAAAGTTTCAGATTTAATGTTTGTTTCAATTTTCTTCTTCGCAGTTGCGATCGATTTGATTGTTCAACATATTCGAGATTTTCTCAGCAACCGTTTGAGTCTCGACGCTTTAACTCTCTCACCCACCTCCACGCCTGCTTTGAATGGGGCTGCTATTAATGGCTCACGAGGTAAGAACATTTTCTTTAATGGTGATCCCAACTATCGACCTCATTAAATAACATGAGATAAAACTTCACCATTTAACAAAGAAAACGAAAATATTCATTTTAATTTGATGCCAAAGTCGCACCGCTGTCCTTCATCACATCTTAAGATTTTTTTTAAAGTTTGTCTTTAAGTTCAAAGTAAACAAAAAACAAAAATTTTAGACAATTATTTAACTCTAGTTTAATTAATTTTTTGCTTGTAAGCATCCATCAACCAACCAAACCCAATCATCATTGTGTAAAAATGTAATTTATATTTTTTTCTCATTTTTAAATGTCGCAGAAAATCCTTTGCTGTGAAAGGAGTAACTGCATTAATATTTCTTTCTGTAGCCTCTGATGCTTTGCTGATTAACCAAAAAAATAAAGAAACAGACACAAATAATTAACTATCAATAACTAGATTCATATTTAATTAAGTAGACACTCACAAGTTCTAATGAAATAATTCTAACTTTATTTTACATAAATTCGTACATTTTGTTTGTAGTCGTAACATAAACAAGATACAGAAAAAGTTTAAAACATGTAGGTAGATTACAATAACATTAATTCAGCATTCAACTTTTGCTGACTTAAAATCGCTCGAAAACAATGCAAAAAAAACTTTGAAATTTCATATCCATTCTTAATGAAAAAGAAAATTTGATTTTAAAAATGTCTAATTAAGATTATTAATTCTTGTTTTGATGTGTTATTTGCATCTTTTTTATGTTTTTTTGATGTTATCTAGTCAGATTTAAAGCCAGCTTACATTGAAGTAAAATAGTTTCGTTTTAAGCATCCAACTGGAAAAAATAATCAACATAAAGAAACAAAGAAATGTCATAAATAAGAATCAAATTTAAAGAGAAATTTAAATAATTAATTACAGCATGTAAGGCTTATTAAGTTCATTGCAAGAGTTTTGTTTTCGTGTTCCACGCTTTTAAAGTGTTTTGTGTTGTTTTACAATTCGTTAAAACTAATTTTTAAGAAAGAAAAGATATTTTGGGTTTGAACATTTATTAAATTATGATTTTAATTTATTTATTCGATTTCTTTTTGTTTCTTTTATTTACATTCCTTACTTTCCATTTTCAACTCAAGATGAGTTTCTTCAATCAGCTTTAAGAAGATTCTCTTCATCCGTTATCAATAGAAAGCTCTTTACAATACTCTATGATCGCCACATTTAAAATATTAAATTGCTTTAATTATTGAAGAAGAAAAGTTAATAATCTTGTACAGGAAAAAGTAAATGTCGAATTTTATTTTCATTTCTTTGTTTTTAGAAAGCAGAAATAGATATTTAGTTCATTTTATCGTTTATTACAATTTATTATTTTAGGAGATCTCTGGACGAATTATATTTGGTTATGAGTAAATTTAATTTACCTTAAAAACATTTTATTTTGACGTCAATTGACATACATTTTATTAAAAGTAAAACTCAAACTCTACATAGATAGTTAAATATCTTTCAAAAAATATTTGGATCTGTATTTGAGAATAAATTTTGAGAATATTGAAAGCATCATTGAAGTTTACAATGAAAAATATCTTGATGATGCTTTTAAAAGTTCTTTTAAATATTTTAGATAAATGATTAGAAAATTTTAAGAAAATTGTGATGGTTGCACACTTGAAAAATGTAAAGAAAGATTTTTCTTGAAATCCATGAATAAAAAGCCAGATATTTTCTTAAAAAACAATTCCTTGGTAAATATTCTTAATATGTAGATATTGTTTAATAAACAAATTTATTTTCTCCGATGACTTTCATGTTGTACAAATAGCGGAGAAGTGTGAAATATGAGAAAGCAGTTCGCATGACCTGTAAATGTTTGATTACATTATTTGGAAATAATTTTAAAACATTTTAATTTTTCACCGATGTAAATCCTGAAAGTTCCAAGTTGAAGAACTTTGAGCCTCTTAAATATCTCGCGTTTTGACTTCTCATGACGATCAACAGCAAAGATTTCTTCTGAGATTTGTTCAAGTTTTGATACTTACTGTTCAGGATTTTATCTCCGATTTCCAAACTCTAAATTTTTTTATATTTTATTTGGTAAATTGCTTTTGAAAATTACTTACGTTATCTTTGATCTTATCACCAAACCAACAGAGAATGAATATTTGAGCGATGCTGCTGACCAGACCGATAAAAGATGCAATCGCAATGTCCAAAGGAAAAGTCTGATAACATGAGTTAAGAATAATTAGAAATTTAATTAATCTCATTAACCTTACTGAAATAATGAAAGCGATGAAGCAAATCGTACTCGTTTGGTTTAATACGTTGACAAACAAAGGAATTTCATAAATTGTTACAAGTTTATCACTCAATTCGAGAAGTTCGTTGTGATAATCAATTGCCGCTTTCAATTTGTTATCGAAATTTGAGATCTCCATGGAATTGTTTAAAATATTTTCAAAATATTCGCCATGGTTTTGAAATAAAATACAAAACTGTCCAAGAAGCAGTAAAATGAAACCATCGAGATTTGTGTGAATTGAAGTCAAGAAATGATTTGTGATTCTTTCGTAAATAAATATCGGAATGAAGTATTTAATTTCATCAAATGGATACCATCGACGAAAAATTGAATTTTTGCTGAAGTTTCCATGAGTAATGACAGTATAAATCAAAGCAAATGTTGCAAGAATTGTAAACAACCAGACACAACCGATATTTATAATGTACATGAATTTGATAACCCATGGAAATCTTTGAATTTGCAATTGACGTGCTTTCATTTGATTTTCATCCTGAACTTTGATAAAATCACTCAAACGCCTTTTGATATCACACAATTTCCTTTGATTAATTAAAATTGCCATGAACTTTGCAAGTCCTTGAATGTTATACAATACAACCGAAATGGTGCTTATAGTTGAAATGGTAATTTTACTTTTACTTTGCACTCCAATCTCGACGAAAGATTGGAAAATCATCAAACAAACTGTCAGCAATGTGAAAACTTTTAGAAATTTCTCGAATTTCTTCTCATCACGATCAAATGCGAAACCAAGATTGATGAGAGTTTTCCTGTTAAACTCAAAATATTTCTCCATTATTATCGACTCAACTGTTCGAATTAAGAAATCACAAGTTTAAATGATGACAAATATTCAGTGAAATATTCTTTTAAATACCTTTCAAATTATCCTGATGATAAAAGTTTCATAAAAGTTATTTAAGAAATAAACTTTTATTATTTAAATATTAATGATTCAAGTGAAGGCGCAACTCCTTAAAGTCTGAAAAGAAAAACTTTTTCAATTCATTTCGTTGAACAACTTTTTGTCTCCGAAAAAGTTTGCAAAAGTTTTTTGTCATCAAAATTATTTGTGATGGACTTTTCAATAAAAGCTTTTATTTGTCATCATTTGTTAAATATTCAATCGATCAAAATCATAAAAATAAAAACATTTAATCAACTTTGAATGTGCAATGTACGGAACTTGAAAGAAAAGTCTTTGATTATCTGACTACTTGTACTGATTAGGAAGCATGATAGATCCATTGACTAATTTTTTTAAATCTGCAATTGTTTCGCTCCAATCCAGTTTGGCGATTTGTGGTACAACCGCTAAAATCAATTGGGTAACTTTAGCAACATTTTTCTTGAATGTTGCCATCACTTCTTCGACACAAACGGCAGTCTCGCATTCACGCCAAGAATCGTAATCCGTCGCCATAGCAATCGATGCATAAAGCAAACCGGCTTCTTTGGCAAGAATCACTTCAGGAACAAGCGTCATGTTAACTAAGTCGCAATTCCACGAACGGAAGAGATGAGATTCCGCTTTTGTACTGAAACGTGGGCCCTCGATTGAAACTGCCGTTCCTTTTTGATGAACTTCAATGCCGTGTTCTTTGGCTGTTTCAATTATAACTTGACGTGTTCTTTCATCAAATGCTGGTGACATTGGAATGTGACAAACCTTGAAGGAAAAAGTTTTGATATGAATTTATAAAAGTCAACAATGAAACGACGAGAAATTCTCACACCAACTCCCGAGATTTCAGATCCATCATAGAAAGTGCAAACACGTGATTTTGTGCGATCAATAAAATCGTCAAGAATGACAATGTCGCCTGGTTTAATTTCATTTTTCAAGCTACCAGTTGCTGTTGTCGCGATGATATGAGTGACATCAAGTAATTTCAAAGCATGAACATTAGCTCGATAATTGACATTCGATGGTGACAACGCATGAGATTTTCCATGACGAGCAAGTAACACCTATGTGAATTTATATTGTTCGATTCATTATCACGATTAATAAATAAGAAAACTTACGCATTCAACGCCGCTGATTGATCCCTCAACAATTTCTGATGAATAAATAAAAATTCATATTTGAAATGTCAAAACTCAACGAATTATTTTAAGTTTAATGTCTTATCATCTTTTAAAGCTGTATCATCGGCATCCATGTTATCTTACACAAATATTCCTTGACATTAAACTTTAAACTGACCTGATGAGCCAAATGGTGTGCTCACGATTTTTTCCTTCCGATTTTCGAGAATATCTGGACAGTCAAGTCCAGTCCCTCCAATAATTCCAATCTTCACTTTTGCCATTTGGAATTCTTTTTTACCAAAAATAATTTGTAATCAGTTTAATACAGGAAAATAATTTCTGTTGATAATTCTTATTTTTACTCTCGCAAGAAAGGTCAACACACAAACTACAATTTCCCAGTCGGACAAAAGTTCTCACTATAAACGTTTACTATAAATTTGAATTTGAAAAATACGTTAAAAAACTAAAATGTCATCCGCAATAAATATTTATTTAAGAAATCAAATTAAGAGATAATAAGATACTGCTAATCACACAATCTGATCGCTTAGAGGATTCTTTTAATTATTATCAGGAAATATTTGGGTCAAATGTTTATTTACGTTTGCTATTCTTCGATATGCAGATCTTTCCAAACAGGGTGTTCATTAAGCTAAACAAAAGCGTTTTCTTGAATAATAAAATTAAATTTAACCGAAATAAAGCATGCTTGGTTGTATTTATAATCTCTGAGTATTATACTCATCTACGAAATCAATTTGAAAAGTTGTGAAACCATATAAATTTATTTGAACGGTTTCAATTCTCTCCACATCCGCATCACTTGAGAAAAAAAAATTCCTTAGAAGAAAATTGAGAAAAGTTTTCTAAATTTTCAGTCAGTTCTGCTTCAAGTCTTGAAACAACTCGACATAAGAATAATCGAGCAACTGTCAAGTAGTTCTAAGTGATCCTTTACTGATTTAATTGAACCACAAAGGTATAAAAAATTAAAAGTTTAATCCAAAAGAAAGAAAATCAAGAAAATCAATAATTTCATAAAATTTTCATCAAAAAAAATCAATTATTAAAATTATTCACGGCGTTATGCAATCACAAGTTTTCCTTATGAAAACCCCGTTACATAATTTTCAAAGATTTTGCCTGACATGAAGAATAATTAAAAAAAAAATTAAGGAAGAGTTTTCATTGCCAAAAGGTTTTCACACGAGTCAACACACAATCGAAGAAGATTGAATAAAGTTGCATTCGTTGACGATTGAAAGTGTGATTGAGAGATTTTTGCATTAGGTAATAAAAAAAATTGTTAGTATGTAGACGCGAGAAGGGAAAACTTCAATCACACTCTCAAGTTTGCTTTTCTCATCGCGACCGCGAAAAGGTTTTCTTCTCTTCTGTCTCATCTACTTATTCAAATCACATGGTAATGACGCATATTTTTCCCTCTTCGATTGAATAATGAAAATCTTTGGCAAACGATCAAGAAAGAAATGTGAAAAGTATTTTGTTTTATTTTCGTCAAACGCCTTGAATCAATTGAAGAAAGAAAATTCATCTTGAACTAAATTTTCACTCTTCATTTCCCTTTTTGCAGCCAACAAACAAACATGTTGTTCGAGAAATTCCAAAATAATCCCTTCGCCACAAAAGTTAAATGCGACAGCGGTGAAAATTCACTCGAAACGTCCATCATTCCAGGACGCCAAATTGGCGCTGCTGCAGCTGTTTCAAATGTTATTCTCCCAGGAGGTAAGACAGCAACAAATTCAACCAAATCAATGTCAAGAACTTGACCTTATTCTCTTATTATTACACATTAGATTCATGTGCATTTGGATCTAACAAATACTTCCTTCTCTGTGGCCTCGGAGGTATTATCTCATGCGGTTCCACCCACACAATGGTAAGAATATATTTTTATTATTTTCTAATTTATTTATTATTAATTAATCACTTTTATCTCAAGGTTGTTCCCTTAGATTTAGTGAAGTGCCGCATCCAAGTTGACCCAGTCAAATACAAGGGCATTTTCAATGGATTCAAAGTTTCACTTGCTGAAGAAGGTATCAAAGGTTTAGCAAAGGGATGGGCACCAACATTCTTGGGATACTCATGCCAGGGACTTTGCAAATTCGGTCTTTATGAAGTCTTCAAAGTTGTTTATTCTGGAGTTCTTGGTGAAGAAAATGCATACTTGTGGCGTACAAGTTTGTATTTGGCAGCTTCAGCTTCAGCTGAATTCTTCGCTGATATTGCTTTGTCACCATTTGAAGCTGCTAAAGTTAAAATCCAAACAACACCTGGCTTTGCCAATACACTTCGTGAAGCTTTCCCTAAAATGATGAAGGAAGAAGGTATGAATGCTTTCTACAAGGGATTGGTTCCACTTTGGATGCGTCAAATTCCATACACAATGATGAAGTTTGCCTGCTTCGAAAAGACATTGGAATTATTGTATGCTTATGTTGTACCCAAACCACGTGCTGAATGCTCTAAGGGTGAACAACTTATTGTCACATTTGCTGCTGGTTACATTGCTGGTGTCTTCTGTGCTATTGTTTCACATCCAGCTGATACTGTTGTGTCGAAACTTAATCAAGCCAAGGGTGCATCTGCCTTTGATGTTGCTAAGAAACTCGGCTTTGCTGGTCTCTGGGGAGGTTTAGTTCCAAGAATTGTCATGATTGGTACACTCACAGCTGCTCAATGGTTCATTTATGATGGCGTTAAAGTCGCTTTAGCTATGCCACGTCCACCACCCGCAGGTTTGTTTCTAGTTTTAATCTTTTCATGTTTTAAGATTACCATAACAATTCCTTCAATCTTTCAGAAATGCCAGAAAGTCTCAAAAAGAAGCTCGGACTTACATCTTAAGCAGACTCATCATGTAACATCACTTACGTTGCCCGAATTACTCGATTAAATATGTGCAAATGTTTGACTATGAATGAGCACAACATCCAATTAAGTTACTACATTTCTCTTGATTTTACTGTCATCAAAGCAGTTAGAATAACATTTGGGCTTGTAAGAACAAATAACTTCTGAATTAAACAATTTCTGATTATTAATTGATAAGAAACAAAACAAATGATTAAAAATATCCGACAAAATTGTAAATTACAAATTAAAATCTATTTTTAGATAGGACGAATAAAGGATTAGACTTTAAAACAATTCCAAGGTGTTTCAACTTAAATGTCAAAAGCTTTCTTCAGCTTTTGTATCTTTCAATGAAAAATTTTTTTCTGTTATTTTATAATTAGGTGTTTGAGGAAGCTGACAATCAATCATTTCCTTGAAAGACATCGTTGACATAAAAGCTGTGAATAATTTATGTGAAAACTTTCTTCTATTTCTTGCTCATGTTTGGATTTTCATTACTTGCTTAAAAGTTACTCACTAAAGATGATTCGAAAATTTTGTTTTAAAATTTCCCATAAAATAAGTAAAATTCTTAATACTGACTTGAATTTTTCATTTGAATTTGTCATCCTTGAAAAGTTCTTTTCAATTGTTGGTAAGTGAATTGAAAGTGATATTAATTAAAATTGAATTGAGAACTATTTAATTGAAATTATTTTCACAGCTTTTAATCCGTTTCAAGACTTTCAACAATTTAAATGGTCGAAAAAAGTTATGATTTTATCAAAGTTGACTTTCTTCATTTTATTCTTTTCAAATCTTTTGAGAAATGCTTTGGTTGACTTTTCTGGTGATCACACGAAACAATTTTCTCCTTTTATTGGAATTTTCTCTGATGTTCAAGTTATCTTGAAGTTTTCAACAAGAAGTTTATTGGAATTAAGGAAATGATTTTAAACGATGTTGCAATATTTGTGAAGGAAGAATTTGAAATCGAGAAAAAGTACCGAAAAATAACTCGAGGAATATTTCTCGCCGTTTCGTTCTTCTATTCGATGGTGCTTGTTCTATTCTTTCTATGGCCAATTGTTTCAGCAGGAACTATTGTTATGCCGTATTCTTTTCAACTATTGTGGACAAAGTGAATGATTTGGAAATGTTTTCAAATCTTTTTAATAATTTTTCTTCTTTTTCTTAAAATAGTTTGGAATCTCCTTTCATGTTTGCACTGAATTACGCAATTCTAATCTGCTATGTGACATCAGCAATTTATTTCATAATGGGTACAATAACACACATCATTTAAAAGTATTATCAAAAAATTAACCAACATTGTTTTATCGATAGCTTTCGATGGATTCTTCATTTTGTTGTCATTACATTGTATTGCAAAGTTTACAGTTCTCTGTCACCTAGCATCGAAAATTGGAGACTTCAAGAATTTTGAGCTTACGACAGAAAAATGTCAATCACATTTCATCAATGGTTTTGTCAGAAAACATAATCATGCCTTGAAATTAGTAGCAACAGCTAATAATACTTTTAAATTTATAAACTTGGGACAACTTTTCACAGCATTAGGAATGGTTGTCGTCGTGTCGTTTTTGATTCAATTCAATGTTCCCTTCAACGTTTACATTAACTTTTTGACGATTTTAATTCAGCTTTTTTATTATTGTTTCATTGGTGAAGTTATGTTGAATATGGTAAATAAGATTGAGTTGATCGTTGTCAGTAATTTTGTATTCTAAGTCTTTGAACAACTTTTTTTTACAGAGTGATGCACTGAGTCAATTTTTGTACTGTTCTCAATGGTACGCTTTAAAAAGTATCGCAACTAAGAAGAAAGTTTTAATCATTTTAATGATAACGCAAAGGGAGAAAGGATATTCAGCTGGTGGATTCGTTTACATGACTTTGAGGATCTTTTCAATCATTATTAACCGTGCTTACAGTTTCATAACAGTTTTGAAAAGTTTTATCTGAACTGGAAATTGAGAAGCTTTTATGATTGTCTGATTTGATAAATAATCATCTGATATGCTTGTTAAAAACTTAATGTACGAATTTATGCAGATTTGATGTCAACTCAAAATATAAATTGAATAAAACTAATTTCTATTTATCGATGACACATCATTTTATCGATGATCAAAAATGAAAATTTGTTTCTAATTTTTTTTTTAGTGAATGAAATACGATCCGTTACTAGTTAGTTACTAGTACTAAAATTAAATCAGAATATTTACCCAACAACAATTACTTGATTCCATTTAATTTTTCTTATATAATTAAATAAATCAGTTGAAAATTCCATTAAAGAGAGTTTGCATTGAATTTCATTCTTAGTGATGAAACGAAAACTGGCAGAATGAAAACTTTGATCATTTTAATTACACATTTTCGACAATAAGTTTGAGTTTTGCTGTAAGTTATATTTCTTTTGATTATTGTTTCTTCTTACATCCTATCTTAGTTAACAGGAAAAGTTCCTCAGGAATGCTGCAAATATCCTAAAATAAAATTCAATGATGATCAAGACTAAGACATTTTATTTTTACTTGCTCAAACAAATATGTTCCTATTAAAAATTATAATCTAATGATTGAAGTGTATTGAAATCTTCATTTAAGTTGACATTCAAATATTGTTTGTTTTTCCCCATTTAGATCGAAATGTAATCGCAATTTTTTGTGTCATATTTTACATTTAACAACAAAATCGGAACATTCGACCTACATAAATTCATTTCCTTCTTACTAAACTTTTTTTAATGCTACGTTTTTGTATATAAGCAAATGAAATTGAACTGAAGCCTTCAAAAGGGATTTTAGTGAGTGTCTTAATACGTAATCACTGAAGAGTGGCAGAATGAAAACTTTTGCACTTCTATTTGTTTTGTCGGCTGTTAATTTGTGTGTTTCTGCTGTAAGTAATTTAATTACAATTTCAGTCCCTCTTTCATGCATCTTATCTTAGTTATCAGGAAAAAAGAACATTTGCAATGGTCGAAACGTGTTAAAAAAAGACCCCCAAAATTGTTGCAAATATCCAAAATTACTTTTCAATCTTGATCAGAAAAAAGGTTGCATAAAAGAATGTTCTGAGAAAAAGGAAAATAAGGAGAAATATTGTTTCATAACGTGCTTGTTGAAGGACATTTTGTCAGGCGAAAAGGATCAAGAAGAATCTGATAAAGTCAAATTTTTGACAATTTTCTCAGAAGCATCGGAAGAAAAAATTTTGAGTGAAAATTGGAAAACTGTCATTGGAAATTCTTTGGACACATGCTATGGTAAGGAAAGTTCAGAGTTTCCTTCAATTTTATTTAAACTTTGATTGTTTAAATTGTAAACAGAGAAAATTTCTGAAGTAGAAGCACGAAGTGGGAAGATTTTGAATTGTGTGTTTGTAGAGAATTTCTTAAATTGCCCAAGTCCTGTATCAGAGCCACAATGTGATAAAATGAAGGAAATGCTAATTGATTGTTCGAAGACAGAACACTATCGGATTAATAAGCTAATTCCGAGATTTTGGAAAAAGGAAAACTGAAAAAGGGTGAAAAGAGAAAGTTAAAAAAGATGAAGAGTCGGAAAATAAAGAAGAATGAATTGTAAAGAATTAAAATGAAGGAAATTGTTTTCAAATAAAATTGAATTCAATCCTTGGCGCTTTTCTATTTGTTTATATTTAATTCTAAAGATAAATTAAAAGTTCAAAGAAATCTTTATATTAAATTAATTTTATTATACTTCTGCCATTTGTTTTTACAAAGAAATTATGTACTTGCAATGCCACTTTTGAGTTTCCGCATAGTTCATACGGACATGTTCTTAAATTAAAAGAATTCTCATTAATCTATCTAAATCAATCTTAATCTAAGGTTTGTTTTGTTCATTTTTATTTCATAAGAATAAAAAAATATTTATTTATATTCTTGTGGACGGCAAAGAGTCAAGGTCGACGGAATGGAATATTTAAGAGAACCGGAGTGAAGTTTCTTAAGGCCACAAAACATTTATTAAGAATCTTTTGTGATGTTCAAAAGCTTAATAAAACAATAAAAATAGAAGCTTAAGTACAATTCTTGAATGTCTTTCATTATCTCACAACTTTCATGTCTTAATTTATTTAATAATTTTAATTATTTAAGTTGCTACATTTTTAACATTCTCATTCATTTCACTTCAAGTCATATCACATTAAAAGCTAAGTGAAAACCTCAGATCCGTTCATGGAATTTCTCACTTACCCAAACACACACACACACACTCTCACATTATCAAACAATCAATGTTCATACAATGAAAAAATTAATTAACGAGAATCTAAATTAGTCGTTCCTCCGGTGGTGGTTTTAACACGTTGTCCATCTCGAGTCTTGGATTGCAATATTCCTGAGCTGATGGACTGTACGTGCCTCGTGTCGCTCGTTTGTTTCTCGCCATGACTATGAAAGTCGTGAGAACTATGCCACAAATTGCTAATATTCCAACAATTATAGGAATAACAATTATGGCAATGTCACCAAATGATGTGCCCGATTTAAGAAGTGCCTGTGGGAATTGAGAAATGAAAGTTTCTTAATTTTTTTTTAATTAAATTTTTCTTACCACTTCAGAACAATTCTTTCCAGCATATCCTTGAAGACATTGACATTTGTAATCAGAAAATGTCGAACATGTTTCCACACATGTCGCTCCATTCATGCAAGGCTCATTTTCTTGACATGGATCAAGTAAACTACATTCGGGACCGCACATTCCTTCGTTACATTGACATCTGTTATGTAAAATTAAATTAACTTTTATGCTAAACATTTTAATAATTTCTTACTTGTAAGATCCTTTCGTGTTGATACAAGTTCCTTGACCACCACAAGAGATGTTTTCAGTCAAACATTCGTCAATGTCAATCTCACAAATCTTTCCAATGAAGCCAGTCCCAGTGCAATCGCACTCGTAATCAGCTATGAGATCGATGCAAGATCCATTGTTCTGACATGGCACAGACTCGCATTCATTGATATTTAACTGACAATATCTTCCACCATATCCATCTTTGCAATCACAAATTGGTGAAGGAATGTCAGATAAACAAACGCCTTCGTTTTTACAAGGTTCAACGATACAATAAGCGTAATCACAGAGAGCTCCTTGGAAGCCTTCTCGACACATGCAAGTAAAGTTGTTGCCTGTCGTTGAATCTGTTAGATAATTGAAATAATTAGAAAACATTCGATTTTGGAAAATAAAATTTTTGACTTACTAAATCCATCTTGACATGTCGATCCTGATTTGCAAGGTGAATTCTCGCACGTCACAAGTCTCAACACATCGCATTGCTTTCCAGCATAATCTTCATGACAATCACAATGGAAGTCTGCAATCAAATCTGTGCAATTTCCACCATTGTGACATGGTTGAGCTTCACATTCATCAATCTCATTTTCGCAAAGTTTTCCTTCGTATCCGTTCAAACATTGACATGTGTAAAAGCCAATGTCATCGATACATGTCGAGTTGTTTTTGCATTCAGCTTGAAGACACTCATCGATGTTTTGAGAGCAATCATCTTTCTCATAACCAAGTGGACAATCGCATGCATAATTCTCTGAAGGATTTCTACAAATTCCACCATTTTTACAGTCTTGTTCAAAGCACAAGATGCAGCCTTCTTCAGGTTTCGTTGAATTCAAACTAAAGTGAGGCCTGGGTGGAAGATTGTCAGCTTCAAGTTCTGGTTGTGTGAAGAATGGCAAAAGCAATCCATCAATTCTCGTCTCGCCAATGCATCCTTTAAAAGATGCACCATTTGCATTAAGTCCTTTAAGAATTGAATTTGTTTTTGTTTGATCCATTCCACCTAATGAAATCGGATAATCGCCCGAGAAAAGATATTCGAAAGCTTTCATATCAATGTGACTTGATACTGGCGGTTGAAGATCTAAAACTTCCCAACCTTTCCAACCAGCTTCTAATTTATTCTCAGTGACACGAATGAACAGAACATTCCAATCATAGTCAGCTGAATTGTCTTTTGTAAAGCGATGAGGTTCTGGAAGATCTGTCGACAATCGCCATTGAATTGTCACTAAATCTTTATAAGCTGCAATTTCAAAATACATGTCTTGTTCATCTTCAACATACAGCAAGGTTCCACCAGTTTTTGTGCGATAAGATATCTCAATAGTCTTCTCAAATGTCGCTGCTGACTTCTCTGAATCATTCTCCGGCTTTGCTATGAAATAATATTGAAGTGGATGATCTTCATTGCCTTTAAATGTCATGTTTGTTATACAATCGTAGCCATAATTAAGATCAACACATGTCGCCTTTCCAGGACATCTATGAAGCTCACAAAATTGAATTCCTTCGCAATATTTTCCTTTGTAGCCTCGGGTACATTCACAACTGATATCATTCCAAGTATTTCTGCATGTCGCGTCATGTTCACATGGTTTCGTCCGACAAAGATCATCCGACACTTCACCTTTTAACACTGATTCAGTGTTAATTGAAACTTTTCCGAATGGAGGCGGTAGAACTAAATCTTCTTCAGCGTCTAATGGATAAAGTTCAACCATCATTGCATGTGATCCATTTGACACTTGAACATCTTGAATGATTCCTTTGAAATAATCTTTGTCGTCATGTTCAGAGTCAAGTGATGTTGGTGGACCGCCAAGATATAAAACTTGAGCATTTAATTGACCAGTCGTTGATAAAGTCTTTCGGAAATATTCCGTTCCATTAAGTTTCACTTGTACAAGTGTCGAGTTTCGAATAACTTCGATCAAATGATTGTTTCCATCATCAAGTTGCTTACCACCGACTGCATAAGTTTCAGGCGTTCCATTAAATCTCATATGTACAGTGAGTTCTCCTTTTGACAATGAAGCAGATATCGATGATTGTTCTCGAACTTCACCATTCGGTCCAAGTGGTTGATTTGGATCTGATCCTAAGTAAAATATTTGTCCCATTTGTTTTCGTGTTCGTACAAACATTGAAATGTCAAGAATCGAGCGAATTGCACGTCGTGCAGTGTCACTAACGTTAACAACAACAGCAGATTTTGTGACATTCTCATGACCAAATGTTGCTGCTGCAATGCTATATTTACATGTTAGTCCTAAATGTGGACGTTGACAAGCGCATGAGAAAGTATGCCAAAGATCAGTACAAAGACCATTCGAGTTGCACGGATTTGGATCACATTGCTTCTCTCGACGACATCCAATCTCAATTTTTGTTAAGTTGACACTTGAATCGTCTTCTTCCGGCAACACCCATTGACCATTAATGACAATATCTTCCAAACATCCAACAAAATTTGAAGGCGCGACATGATTTGTTAAATGTCTTAGGAATGGAACTGGATTGTTAATATCACGATTGATGTAACCGCCAAGATAAGTCACAGGAAAGCTTGTGTGACTTCCATTTGTGCCCTCGTAAGAATTTATTGGATAAATTGTTTGCTCATCATTAGCTGACAGCACCAAATGTGATGAGTTTATAGCAACAAATACTTTATGCCATTCGCTGTCATTCAAACCAGATCCAATGAAAACTCCTTCCCATTTGTTTAGAAGTGAAGAATGGAGATTTAATCTTCCATTAACTAACTCAAGGATGTAACTGTTAGGACTTACTGAACTATCCAAAGCAGTTCCAAAAGCTAAAATTCCGTTTGGTAACGTCGTACGGAATCTTAGTTGAATATCGTAGCCTTCTTCTCTCATTGTCTTTACTGTGATCAAACTTCCATCAATTATACTCATCGTACTGACAGTTTCACATGTTTTTCCATAAAATCCATTTTTACATGTACAGTTGAATTTATGTTCTGTTTCATCTTCCAAATATGGAATGCAAAAACCATCGTTCTTACATGGTTCAGAATGACATCCAGTAAGTTCAACAGAACAATTCTTCCCACCATAATTTGCATCACAATCACATAAGTAATTATTGCGCCCATCAATGCATGTTCCATGTAAGCATGGATGAGTTTCACATTCATCGATGTCTTCATCACAATGATGACCAGTGAAACCAGGTTCACATTCGCAAGTATAATTGCCGATTCCATCAACGCATGTTCCGAACTTTGAGCATGGATTACTGTCACATTCATTAATATCTAAACATTGATAAATTTCATTAATTTTTTTATTATTTAAATGTTAATTCGTCACTTACTTATCTCGCAATTTTTTCCTTTGGTTCCCGACACACAAATACATTCATATCCACTGACGTTTTCATAGTTAAACTTCTTTGAAAATATTGGTGGAAGGAAATTCTTCTCTGAATGTGATAACAAATACAAAGTTTGATTTGATCTTTCTAAACATGTTCCACCATATTGGCATGGACTTGATTCGCACTCGTTGATATCCTATGAAAGTTTTTCACTGAATTTCTTTGAAATAATAAATTAGAAAATATTTTTTACCTTTTCACAATTTTTTCCTTCATATCCTGGATAACAAGCGCAATGATAATCGTTGATTTTATCTTCACAAACTGCGCCATTAATGCAAGGACTTGATTCACATTCATCGATGTTTAATTGACAAACAGACCCTGAAAATCCAGTACCAGAACAATCACATTTGAATCCTCCTAGCTGGTCAATGCACAAGCCAGAATTAAAGCAAGGTTGAGGTTCACAATCATCGATGTCAATCTCGCAATTTCGACCAGTCATGCCCGGAATACAAACACAAGAATAGTCAGCGATTTGATCGACACATGTTGATCCTTTCGAGCAAGGATTTGACGCGCATTCGTCAATGTCAATGCTGCATGATTTTCCTTCAAATCCCGCTGCACATTTACATTCGTAGTCATTAACTTTGTCAATGCATGTGGCGCCATTTTTGCATGGGCCTGGTAAGCATTCGTCGACATCAATATTGCAATTCTTTCCAGTATAACCAGGCTGGCAATAACATTGGTAAGTTCCAGGAGTATTAACACAAATCCCATGACCGCAAATATCTTTGGAATTCAATTCTTTGCATTCATCAATATCGTCACAATTCGATCCATGATAGCCTTGCTGACATGAACAAGTAAATTCACTTAACGTTCCTGACTTTGGATGGCATGTCGCATTATTAGGACAAGGATTTGCGACACAAGCGCAATTTCCATCCAAACAATCTGCTGCTGTTACTTCATGTTCACAAAGTTTACCATCAAAACCTGGTGGACAAATGCAATCATTGCTGCTATTCGGTAGACACGATCCACCGTTATTGCATTGGCATTCATCTTGGTAAGCTAGTGCAAGTGGCGTTTCACATCGACTTCCTGAATAACAATGAAGCCAAATTAATTTAACTGTCGCATATAAAAATCAATCAACAATCGATCAATAAATTTCAAGTCATTGCACAAAACAAAGCGACGTTTCAAAATTCATTGATACTTTCTCATTCAAATAAAATTCTAAATAAACAAAGCAAATAAATATTTCAAACCTGTGTAGTTACTAGGACATATACACGTTACATTTGTTTCTTTCCCCAAACAAGTAGCACCATTGTAACAATAGCTTGAACATGCATTTGATCGAGCAGTTTTTTGGGGAGGACTGGTGGAAGGCAGGGAGCATTGGCCAACTACACCTAAATTTTGAATTTGGATTTTTTTGTGTGATGATTTTTGTTGAAAGTAAATCAACTGTTAATATTTACATGTCTCAAATAAAAAAATTCGTGCCAAAAGCTTTGGTAGTTGTGTAAATTAAATAAAAGCAAAAAGGGGGGAAGAGTTTAAAAATGATGTCAGTTTGTTTGTTAGTTTTTGAATTTTAAATGCTATTGAACTACAGTAGACTCTTTTTATAATGTCAATAAGAAAAAAATCTTATAACGAGTAGTCATTATAGCGAGACACTACTGCATTTATTGATAAATGTCAATCAGGGATGAGAATTTCTATCAATTTATTTACTTTATTTTTCTTTAATTAACTTCATAAAATGACATCAGTTTAAAACACTTTATACTAATTGTGAAACTTTGTGCATTCATCGAAACAACTTTTAAATAAAAAAAATAAAATGAAAAATGATGTGTGAATGCGCACTCAAAACTTAAAAGCATTCATCTGAGATAAGGATTGGTGTGTTAAGTAAAAGCAACGAATTAAATAAACTACAAGCAAGTCAGTTTATCATAATGAAAATGTAATTTTCTAAAGGGTTTTTTGCGAACATAAATTTTGGACTCTAACAATTTACCTGTCATGCCGTGTTTACAAACACACCGCCCATCCAAACATTCCGAATCACGTGGACAATTGGGACATTGCGGGGTAATTTCACAAAACTCTCCCGAAAAACCTTTTCCACATATGCACTTAAAGTTACCTTTTTCTGTTTCAATGCAGTTGCCACCGTAGAGACAGGGAGACGATTGACATTCGTTGACAATTTGATCACAATTATCGCCACCAAAACCTGACTGACATTCACATGTGTATGAGCCGTAGTTGTCGAAACAAATTCCATTATTTTGACAAGGATTTCTCGCACATTCATCGATGTTTCTTTGACAAAGATTTCCCATGTATCCGGTTCGACTACAATCGCAAGAAAATCCACCAACTTCATCAATGCAAATTCCGTTGTTCTGACACGGTTGCGATTCGCAATCGTTAATATTCGTCTCGCATCTCACTCCAAAAAATCCATCCAAACATTGACATTCGTATGTTTTACTGTTCAGTGGAACGCGACATGTTCCGTTATTAAAACACGGATTCTTCTCGCACAATGGATGCGTGTCAACTGGCGTCTCGCAAAATTTTCCAGTAAAGTCTGCTAAACAGTAACATTTGTAGTTTCCGATACGATCTTCTTCACAAGATCCACCATTCCTGCATGGATTCTTTTCACAAGGTGAACCGAGATCTTTGTCGCAATTCTTGCCGGCATATCGTGCTGGACAATGACATTCATATTCTTCTGGTCGGGAAATGCACTGACCATGCATGCATGGAAAGTTCAAACAATGATCCACTGGTTCTCTTATTAAAATATCGTGATCTGGATTACAATAACCCGGTGCAAGTGGGCATGATCCAAATAAAACGCCTTCAACAGTAATTTCTGAATTATTGAACATCAAACCGGGACCATGAAGAAGACAACCCGAATATTGTCGTCCAAGAATTAAAACTGCTGCTTCATTTTTAATTTCTTGATCAGTTAAAAGATCTCGATTGTGTGTAGAGTTGGCAACAACAACAGAATTTCGGTCAATGATCACATTTAAGTTTCCTAATCGGTATAAAAATTGTATTGTGTGCCATTGATTGTCGAGAAGTTTCGCCGGTATTCTTGCTTCCACACGATTCTGTTGTGGTAAATTAAGCGCAATCGTTAAGCCTTCTTTAAGCACCGTCACAATCAGTTCATGTCTCATGTAAGTTTGCGACAAAATCTCACCACCTATAAAGAAAATCAAAATTGTGATTAAAATCAAAGAACAATTGAATCGTGAAAAGCAATTAATTAGTTCCACTTATTGTAATTTATTGATTTATCTCTCGATGATTAATCTCAATGTTATTGGAGCGTGAAACAACAAGAAAAGCAAAAAAGAAAGGTTTACGATTGATGATGCAATAAAACTTAATTTTCACTTCCAATCAAACCAGGCTGGGTAGAAATTTATGAAATCTTTCACACATAACACTCGTAACATAAACAACAAAAGCAAATCCACAAATCATACATGTAGAATATAAAAACCGAGATAAAAAATGGTTCAGACAGCAAAATAGCAGAGTGAAAGAAATGTGACGAACGTAAAATGAATGCGAACATATCGTGCTGTTAGATCGCTGTTAAGTATAGGAAATGAAATTATGGCCTTAAAGCAGAACAGTTTTATGTAGCGAGTCGCGAAAGATGAAGATAAAGAAGAAATTACAAATAGTTGATGATTCTTTCTCATGGGATTATTAATAAGTTTTGTAACAAGACAAACTCTGAGAATTCAAAAGAATTTTTGTATCTAATGGAAAACTAATTTTTATAATTGGAAAATTTCTGTCGAACATTTGAATTATCTATGATTAATCTCATTTACTGCTTAATCTACATTTAAACTCTTCTGGTGAATGAGAAAAAGAGAAACATCGCAAAACACGTGCAACTCTTTCGACATTACTTTTTCTTCCAATATGGATAAATTGTAGTAATTTTAAATCGATCAAAAATAAAGTTGTAAGATGATTTTCCAAATTCTTACAATTTTTCTTTTCTTCTTTCTTAAGTCTAAGCTGGAGGGCGCATTTAATCATTTCATTCTCAAACCTGTCACGATATCTCATCAAGGGTTCATTGCATCACAAGGAAAATTCATTAAACATCAAAAGAACTTGAAATAAGCCGAATAAAAAATTAAAATCAAACGAAATTCTTTTTGATTCTCTTCACGCGTTTCAAATCAAGTTGAAATGTGTGAGTTAAATAAAAGAATAAAATCGTTTCATGTAGATCAAGTTTCAGTATTTTTTTCTTTCTTCGTCTTTAAGTCGTCTGATTTTCTTGAAGATTAAATGTTAAGAGTTAAATTTATTCCAACAGCTGAGGACGAAATCAACACAAAAGCATGAGGAAATGCACTTGCTTCAGTTTTTTTTATTTTTCCATTAGGTCAGTGAAATTATCAACTTCCTCGACACACAACCAACAACTTTTACACATCATCGCGTGTTTACTTCCCATCCCAATAAAAAAAAACCACTTTACGATACAATGCGTTTCACCTGTCTGACTCGCTTTGTAAAACTTGTTTTATATTCTGACAGAGAATGCACTTCACTTACAATCAAAAATTTCGGTTTATTTTTTCACATTCATTATGTCTGTAGTTCATTGTTAAACATTATTTTTCTCCCCCATTTGCATCATTAAATTTTCGTTCAACACAGAGTTGGCAACAATGTTTTTTGCATCGTTGATTATAACTCATATTTGACCCTTTGTATAAGTACAAATCTTAGGTAAGTCGTTTGCTTGTTAACTTTAACCATTAATATCGTTAGCTTGATTTTTTTTGTGAAAAAATATGTAAGAGTGCGAGATATTTAAGTTTCTGTTGAATCATTCCGTAATCGATCACGATATACTTATACCTTATGAACAATAGATGTCAACAAAAAAATGTCTGGTAACGAAATATTTTACGCCTCTCATTAGAAACATTCTGTAATGTGTGTTATCATGTGAATAAATAAGTGTGTAAAACATTTGGAGTCCAAACACGAACGGATTACAACAAATTGACAAAAAGTTTGCTACTTCTAAAAGAAATGCGATAATCAATTTAAAAATTCAAAGTATTTAAGCTGAAACGAATCTAATTTAACTTCTGTCGACATCGTTAAATACTTTTCCTCGTAATTAACATTTGAAACCAAAAAAAGAAATGATACACTTTCCACAAAAAAAAAAATTTGAAAGTGATTTGCTGAAGTGAAAAGCTGCAGATCTGCGAAGAATTTTCAATTTTCATAAAGCAGATTTTTGTTATAAACATTTGCAACAATTCAGATATGAAAGTGAAACTGTCTTAAAGAGAAAAAAAAACTCAACAATCTTAAAACATTAAAAAATTATTTTCAACCGTAACTCATAACGATGGGATTTTTAATTGCATAATGGCGTTTGTTTGATAATTAAATTGCTTTTACTTTCATCTGAAGTTGATGGAAAGAAATCTAGTATCTGACTTTCTTAAGTAATCGAAATTATAATAATTCAGAAAACATTTATCTTGAAGACAAACGTTGGAAAGAATTTTTATCAATAACCTTGGACGAAAATTTGCTGAGTAAGTTTGTGAATTGTTTGTCATCATGTCGAAAACAAAAAATAAGCGATTAATACTATCTGATAAAAGTACAGAACAGAACACACGTTAAAATATGTTTGAAACTTTATATTTTATGATAATCAAACAGTGGAAGATCTGGTAGAAGTGGGAGAAGCTCCACAATATCTACTAAAATGACTTAAGACAAAGATTGTGAAAAGTCGAAGAAAAATCTCTTTCTGGATTAGGAGGAAACATAAACTACCAACTCTCAAACTATATATCTACATGAAAAATGTCAAAATTCATTGTTCTACAAAGAAGTTAAAATCTACAACTCATTTAAAGAAAAACACAAATAACAAATAAAAAATGCAAATAAAAACGAACTAAAGAAATGTCAATTTATGTTATAGAAAATTAATAATAAAATGTAGTCCATGAAAGAAAGTCTATAAAAGAAGAACAAAATTTTATGAAAAAAAACCATATAGATGGTAAATAAAAACGCTCTATCTGTAGTATCAAATATCTGATAAAATGATATTACTGCCTACATCCGAATAAATTTATTGTCAATATTATTCACAACGTCATGCATCACAATAAGATCTGTTTTTCATTCTAATTTGGATATCTTTAAAAGAAGTTTCAATTTGTTATCTCATTCAGTTTGCGAAGTTCATTCGAATTGATAGGAAGTGAAAATGTGGAAAAATTCAATTTTAATAATTTTCAATTTCCTTATTTTAAGTTTTGTGACAGAATCTTCAAGTGCATTCAAATTAACACAAGAAGAATATGAAGAAATAATCACTTTTACCATATTTTCTGAAGACTTGTCAGTAAATTTTTGCCAACGTGGAAGTTCCATCTTAAATTGAATTTTCATTTCAGATCTAAGCGTGTTAACTCTACATTTGGAAGCGATCCGTTTAGCCAAGGATGTGACGCTAATGGATTGTACTCTTTCGTTGTTCATGGCTGGCAGGAAAATATCAAAACTCTTTGGGTCAGATCAATTGTTAACAGATTACTTGAATATCGTGGTGGATGTGTCATAGTCATGGATTATTCACAAGTTCCTAAATCTGACAACTATTATTACTTATACACGCAATTTGAAGAAATTTCTGCCGTTTTATTGAAAAAAGTTAATCAGATTGGATCTTATGAGAGACAATTTCTTTTTGGGTTTAGTTTTGGAGCTAGATTGGTAATGGATGTTGGTTTGAATGTTGGAAATCAGCTTATCGATAGAATTGACGCATGCGAGCCTGCAAGTGAGTTCTTTCTTTCCTTCTTTTAAGTTAATATAATAATTAGTTTTGGATAATTCTTTCAAATGAAGAACCTTATTTTGATAACACTGTTGATCCTAAACCTGCCGCAAAAAATGTTCAATGCATCCACACAAGCAACAACTATGGAACTGACACTTACAACTGCCATCAGGACTTTAGAATGGGATATCTTGGACATTCGCAAAGAGCTTCAGGGGCTTTCCCATTAGGAAGTCACGGATTGTGTCCTTACATGTACAATTTAGCATTCGAACATGAGTATGTTCCGTACAATTATTATAAAACTACGTCAACAAGGGAAGCACCTTTGACCGCCGATGTAAGAATGGGATATTTAGGAGATTACAACAGGTGACATATGAAATATATTTTTAAAAACATTTAAATAATTATTCTTTACACTTAGAACTTACGTACAAGGAGACATTTTCATTACTACTGCACAACATCCACCGTATGTCATGAATGAAAAAATTCCATTCGATAATAGATTTGAAACCTTGAAACATTTCGCTTATGGAAAACGTGATGAAAAACAGAGAAGGCTCGAAAAACTGATTGAAGAATGAACGAATACGTTAACAGCACACTGGTCCGGCTTTTATATTTAGAACACATTTAATCTTGCACTGTACCACCGATGATGGATTAAACTTAAAATTATGTGTTCTTAGTTAAAAATCAATAAATGAAGCAATTTTCATAATAATTTAATTTCTTTTTAATAAATTTTTACTTGCGTAAGTAGAAATTCTTAATTGCCACGCAAAAAATTATTCGTGGCAAATTTTACTGTTGATGCTAATTCTCAAAAATTCACGTAGCCCAAAATCGATCTATGAAAATTCTCTCTCTGTATGAATAATTAATATTCTGACATCCATCTGACGTAATTGTTTCTGTTTCATTAATTTTAATTATATGTGTAAGTGTTTTCATATTTTCATTCAAATAACAGACATTGAATACATCGTCAAATATGAAACAAATGTTCTTCAGTTTCTCTAAAATTTGTACACTCTGCTAGTTCAATTCAAAGGATCGATAATGAATTTCAGTATAATAAAAAAATTTAGTGCGTTTTTTTATGTTTTATCTATCGCATTAGTAACTGGCGAACCCACAGAAAACTATGAAGAAGATATAAAATTTTATTTATATAAAACAAGTTAGTAAGTATTTGATTAGCCTTTAAATATGAAAACAGATTTGATAATGATGCAAAAATTGATATTCCAGCAATGATCCAGTTATTTCTACTTTCGACATAAGCATTGAAGGACAGGGTTGCGATCCAAATGGATACTTTTCTGTCATCGTACATGGTTGGCAAGAATATCCAAACACATCATGGGTGCAAGTGACAGTTGAAAATTTGTTGCTTCATCGTGGTGGTTGCGTTTTTCTCATGGATTATTCGGAATATTCCCAACTTCAATATGACTTCCAATTGACCCCTCACTTTGAAGGTATTGCAAATGTCTTGATTGAAAAGATCAAACAAATAGGAAATTATGAAAATCAATTTTGTTATGGTGTCGGTTTTGGTGGAAGACTTTGCATTGGTGCTGGTCATGCTATCGGAAATCAAAAGATTGGTCGAATAGATGCATGCGATCCTGCAAGTAAGTTTTTGCTCCGAATTTTATATTTGTTTAGTTTAGTTAAGAAAATATATTTTAGGAAGTGGCTTTGACAATGCTGCGGATCCAAAACCAGCAGCCAAAAACGTTGCATGCATTAATACAAGTCATGACAAAGGAACATGGATTTACAATTGTCACCAGAACTTCATAATGGGAAGATGTGGATCATCACAAGATGCTGGTGCAACTTTCCCTCTCGGTCATCAAGGCATGTGTCCATATCTTTATAATATGGCATTTTATTACGATTACACGTCTAATAACGCTTTTGGATGTCATTCACATCGTTTGGCGCCAGCTGAGGCAAGCAATGTTAAGATGGGATATTTAGGAGACTTCAATAGGTAAAACTTCATCTAATTTATAAATATTGAAATAACTAACTCTCTCCTTCTCTAGATCTGTTGTTCAAGGAGACATCTTCATTGCAACTTCAAGATTCCCACCTTACATATTGGAAAATGGCATAATTGATAATCAATTACCAAATGTATTGAATTTCTTTGCATTATTATCACGACCAGGAAATCAATATTGAGTAATAAAATTTTAATTTTTTCAACGTTCAATAAAAAAACCATCAATTAGTTCTTGATATTCTGATAAATATATAGACAACAGAAGATCACGTAAATTCAAGATGAAGAGCAGATATGTGATGAAAGATAGCAACGCACTTAGTTGTCGCTGACTTTTCAATTGAATAAATCTAATTGGTTGAACGTCAGCAGACTAAGTAAAAGGGTTTTATTTCCGCAGAAATTTCATTTCTTTGTTTTTTTCTAGCTTTTTCCTAGCTTTCGGTTATAAAGATGAGAGCATTAGCAAACTTGTAAACATTCTTCTTATTAAATTCAGTTGTTATTTAACTTTAAATTGTTTTTAAAAACGATGTTTCTGGAGACATCTACAATGCCACTGCAAAATATCCGCCTTATGTTGTTAAGAATTAATAAAAAGCATGAATTAAGCAGCAAAAACTTAAACTTTAAAATATTTAGATATGTTGAAACATTCTAAATGTTGATTTTAATCTCATAAATAAAAGGAATTCACAATGTTCATTAAAAATCTTACTTTATACTTATTTGATAAAAATGTTAACATTTGTAATAACATATTATTCGTTGAGAAAATTTCGTCATTAATTAAACTTATTGACATCGAAATTTAAATAGAAATGTATTTACAGAAAAACAAGATGTTTAAACAACAGAAGATCACACATCCAAATGCAAGATGAAGAGCAGATATGTATGAAAAGATAGCAACGTACTTAGTTATCGCTAACTTTTAAGTTAAAAAAGTTATAATTTATTGAACGTCAGCAGAAAAAGTTAAATGGTTTTATCTCCGCAGAAATTTTATTTCTTTGTTTTAACCTTTTTCTTAGCTTTTGGTTGTTTGACTGCATTGACACAAGAAGAATACGAATGTAGTGTCGTGTTTTTTGTGTTTAATTCAACAACGTAACAAACCATCAAATTGTTTGTAAAACCTAAAAATATTTTATAATTTTTTTCTTAGAGTTCCTCCGATCATTTCTCCCTCAAACGAGCCAATTGACGAAGAAGTTTGTGGTCCAGATGGAAATTTTACAATCATTATTCATGGATGGATGGAAGGCATTCACACTCCATGGCTGCCCAACACTGTTCATAACTTTTTAGTACATCGCGGTGGCTGCGTAGTTGTGGTTGATTATTCTAAATTCTCTAATAATACCAATTATTTTGCTCTGACTCCACATTTTCAAGGAATTTCTGATGTTATTCGAGAGAAAATGGAGCAGATTGGAAATTTGGCGCAGCAATTTTGCTTCGGTTTTAGTTTCGGTGCGAGACTTTGTATGGATATTGGGCTCGCCATAGGAAATCAAGAGCTTGGTCGAATTGATGCTTGTGAGCCTGCTGGTAATATTTCATCATGTTATCGTCTCTAAGATGTTTAAAAAGTAGAAAATATTTTTAAGGCCCTGGCTTTGATAACAACGTCGATCCAACTGAAGCTGCTAAAACTGTCGCTTGCATCAACACAAGTAAAAGTTACGGGACGAGTGTTTACAATTGTCATCAAAACTTCATAATGGGAAACTGTGGACACTTACAACCAGCTGCTGGTTCATTTCCATTGGGAGATCACGGTTTATGTCCTTACTTTTACAACATGGCTTTTTATTACGATTTTGTTCCGAACAACCTTTACGATTGTGCCACAATCAGACCAATCAATGGCACTGACATAAAGTTCGGACCATTAGCAAACTTGTAAGTATTCTTCTTATTAAATTTACATAATTGTTATTCAACTTTAAACTCTTTTAGAACCAATGTTTATGGAGACATCTACATTGCCACTGCAGAATATCCGCCTTATGTTGTTATTGATGGTGTAATTGACAATCTTATACCATTCTTGCATGAGTATTACAACATGTCTTCCCTACCATTATATTGTTGTAAAGAAGATGAATAACAAGCGTTGATTAAATGGCAAAAACTCATAAATTAAAGGAATTCACAATGTTCATTAAACATTTTACTTTATACCTATTTGATAAAAATGTTGACATTTTTCAGTATAAAATATTTTTCGTGATAAGAACTTCGAATATTTAAAACATGAAGTGCCTTCTAAGGAACGTGATTAGTGAGTTGAAAGTGGCGAAAGTTGGAACTTATTTGAATTTGTTATGCTTCTAAATATTTTTATAATATTAGTGACAATTTTTCATGTTAGTTGTGACGAATACGAGGATAATGTGGAATTTGTTGTTTACCGTGATGACGAATCTTTTATTTCTAATTTTAATGATCCGATATCGCAGCAAGGATGCGATATTAATGGGAATTTCTCGATTGTGACTCACGGCTGGCTTGGAAGTCAATCACTATGGATTAAAGATTTAATCAGCAATTTAAAAGTTTATCGTCATGGATGTGTCATCTTTATGAATTATTCTTACTATTCTGATAGAGAAAATTATCTCGATGTCCTCAGTCACTTTAAACCAGTTTCAAATCTATTGACAAGAAAATTAAATCAACTGAGTAACGACAACATATCTGATGACAACATATTTATGTTTGGATTTAGTTTTGGTGGACGTGTTGTAATTGAAGCTGCTTTAAATTATGGTTCAAATAGAATTCATCAAATTGATGGTAAGAAATTTCAAAAATTTTAAAGTTAATCGAATTTTTCTTTTGTTTTAGTTTGTGACATGGCTGGACCTGGTTTCGATTATATTTATAGAAGAGATCCAAAGGAAGCAGCCAAAAATGTTCAATGTATTCACACAAGTGACAACGCAGGGACAAAAATTAGAAACTGTCATCAAAATTGGTTGATGGGATATTGCGGAATATCACAACCAGCAGGAAATGACATCGAAGCAATTTTATGTGAACTTTTTCAAGCATGTGAAGATAGATCACCTGCACCAATCAATAATCACAGTCTCTGTCCACATTTTTACAACTCTGCTTTTGAAAACAATTTCATCGCTGATAATCCCTTTCATTGTCCATCGCAACGAATGGCAAAAAATCTTCCCGAAGACTTCAAAATGGGATTCATGGAGAAGAGAAAGAGGTGAGTGTCAAAAATAAAATAATTGACCGCGTGTTTTCTTTTATTTACAGTTACTTAGATTGAAACTTCTTTCATATGATCTGTCATGTTTCTTTCAGCTCGTCAATTATTGGTGATATTCCCGCTCCCACTTCTAAATCTTACCCATACACAGGCGTATAATTTGCAATTTCAGATTCAGAGAGAAATCAATAAAAAAAGTAGCATAAATTGATTTCGAATTTATTATTATTTTTAATTTCACTCACCTCTGCATGTACGAAAGCTAATTGCTGAATGTCCCCATAGCAGCATAGGTGTCTTCAGTCGAAGATATGCTGATCCATTGAAGTACGCTTCACGCGGTTCCACACTCAATGCGCGAGCAGTTATTAATTGTATCGATAAAAGTGTAAAAATTGCACACAAACACGCTGAATACCGGTAAATGGAGACAGAAAACAAAAAGAAAAAAATAAGCAAAAATGACAAAAACAAATATTTTGAGGTCAAAAACCATAAAGAAACTAAATTCTTTTATCGATACAAAGTCAAGGTGAATTAAATTGTACAACTTTAGTTGCTTGACTTCATTTTCATTATCATCGATTGACATCATTGCCCAACTTCTCAGCACGTTTTTTTCACTGTTGTTATTCAAATTGTTACACTTCACTCTCATATTTTATCCACAATATGCTTAATTATGTCAAATCTTCCAATTTCGATGTCAGGAAATGTTAAAATGTTTACAAGTCATTATTATTGATGTTGCCATCAGATTTTAATCACAACGAACAACGATTGAAGAGAAAGTCCGATTTTTTAATAAAGTTCTCAATATTTTCCATTACCCTCACTGCTGTTCAATTTAACATCTTTCGGAATAAATTATTGAAAGCAGAAGTTGATTTAGCATTAAAACAATAAAAATAACTTCATGGAAATCGCTTTTTTCAATATTAAAAATTTATTCAAATTTATACTATCTTGTAATTTTAATTCTTTTAATTTAACAGTTTGAATGTAAGATGGGAACCGGTTCTGAGTGCTTGAAGCACTGGGCCCAACTCGTATTTAATACAAAATCTTCAAATTATTTCAGTTGATATCAAATATTGAACACAGTCAGTTGTGAACTCTGCATTCGGAAGCGAACATCAAAAAAGGGAAAAATGATAAGAATATTAGTTTTGTTAACTTGTGCGACAATTTCACATTGTTTTAGAGGTGCTTATGAAAATTCAATAACATTTTCCATCTTTAATAGTTTGTGAGTTTAAATTTATCTTTTGCCACTGATTCAGGCATTTAAATCTTCTTAAAAAAATTAAATAGAACTCGTCAGAGAGAAATAACAACATTCGATAAAGATCTGTCGATGCATGGATGTGAAGCGGATGGAAATTACGCAATGGTTGTTCATGGTTTGAGGGAGAATTTAATGACACCGTGGGTCATGGACACTGTTAATAACTTGATGGATTATCGGGGCGGTTGTGTCATATTTATGGATTATTCCAACTTCTCGACAGTGTTGGACTATTATCGACTGGTTTATAGGTTTTATTTCATCGCAGACGTTCTTTTGAAAAAGGTTAAGCAGATTGGTAATTATGATCGTTTATTTATGTTCGGCTTCAGTTTTGGCGCACGATTATGCTTTGAAGTTGGAACAAAAATAGGAAATCAATTAATTGAAAGAATTGATGGTTGTGATCCAGCGGGACCAGGATTTACAAATTTGTTAACAGTTGACCCAAAACTTGCTGCTAAGAATGTTGCATGCATAAACACAAGTGTTGATAGAGGAACGGGAATTTATAACTGTCATCAAAACTTCTTGATGGGAAAATGTGGACGACATCAACCTGCAGCAACCACTCGACCTCTTGGAAGTCATGGACTTTGTCCTTATTTCTATAATGCAGCATTTGAAAATGATTTCTTACCGAATAATTATTTTAATTGTTCATCGAAACGAGAAGTTCAAAATATGCCAAATGACATCAAAATGGGTTATAATGAGAAGAGACTGACGTAAGTTTGGTCACATACAAAAATTCTGTGATACTTTTAATGAAATATTTTTAAACATTTCAGACCTGACATCTCTGGTGAAATTTTTGTTGCTACTGGAATTAATTATCCTTGGAATGAAGTCTGATCAAATTCCAAATTTTAGTTGAAACTTAATTTAATTTTAAATTAACCATAACCAACCCCAATAGAACTTTAGTAATAAAAAACACTTTGAATAGTTTTCATCTGTCTTCAATTTCGTTAATCGCTTGAGGAGAAGAAAGTTTTGTTTCACTTTCTTAAATAAATTTTCTTTCCTCATTTCAACCTTGTTAAGATTTTTTTAAAATAATTTTATTAAACGGAATAAATCGGAAATTGCTTGGTGAATATTTCAATTCTTTTAGAAACTTTTTTCATGGCTTGTCGACTTAAGCTCGTCCCACGCATTTTATTCATTTCTTCCCATGAAATTTTATTAAATAAAACCTGTCATCGCTCTTTAAGAACAATTTCTTATACGATTTCATGTATTTGATCGTCTTTTCCTGTTGACTGATGAAGTTTAATTGCGAGAATATTTCAGATGGATATGTGAGATTTTAAAAATCAGTTCTTTCATTTTCCCAGGATGTCTCACCTTTCATTCCTATCTTCTTTCACGGATCTTGTGAACATAAAACAAGTTTCAAGGAGAAGTCTAATAAAACTCGACCTAGCGGAAGTTAATTCTTTAGTTTTTCGTTTGTTTGTAATTTTATGGTTGAAAGAACAAATTCAAAGTCTCAGATAAGAAGTTTTTGTATCAAAAGTTCATGAGATTATCCAAAGAATAGCAAACCACTTATAAATGACTCATTCGGACATTGATCTTAATCTTAATTTAATGTCAATGACTGATGACGTACTCCCGCTATTACTTAACTTATTAAAGTTTCGAATATAATGAGAGCTATTGTTACCTAATCTTCTTAATTTCCATAATTAATTAAGAGAAAAATAATATTTCGACATGTTAAAAGAGCTTAAAAATCTGGATCTAATGAAAGGTAAACTCAAGCGAAAAATACACTTAAAGAAACTTCACGCTTCCATGATTTTATTTTCATTACCAAACCAAAATAAACAAATGAAGAGTTTCTCTTAAAAGTCTTAACGAAACCTTTTTTTCTCTTATTTCTCGCAGCGCAAACCTTGGTTGATTGTTCTCGACAGAAAACATTAATTTCATGCACGAATTCTGAATTTTGTTCTTCTTTCTTTTATTTCTCATTTATTCAACGAAGTGAATAACATGAAAATGCTTTAAGTAAGAAAGCAAAACATCTCTTAATCCGTTCTCTACGTCTTGAATCTCACTCGTTTTCTAATTTCTGTAATACTTAAGCCATCCAAAGACTCAATATGGCAACGGAATAAATAAAAATAAAGCGTATCTGTTTACACAGCGCTTAAGCAAATTAATTCAAGGCCTTTTCTGTTACGTTTCTCATTTCATTTTATTTTCTCTCGTTTGAATTTTGAAAGCCAGAAAGCTAGACATCCACTAAATTATGTAGCAATAATAAACACTTTGATAAGAATATAAATGAACTGTTTATTACTTAACAACTTATATACAAACATTGAAGTCAATTTGATTATCGTTATCGTAATTTCATTTATTGATGTTATACATTATCAGGTGGTTTTTTATTTATGTTTGAATCATTGTTAATTGAACACAACAAAAAAGGCGATATTAATGTCTTCATAAAACTCGAAAGTTTAAAGTGTTTTTCTTGATAAATTGTCATTAAATCAACTGAACTGTGAAGCGCGACGATCACTTAGAATGAAATCTTCATAACCGCGCTATTAAGATCAACAACCTAGATTCGCTAGAAAATCTGCTAAAAGCAAGAAAAGAAGAAAAAGTGCTGGTTTGACTTGAGAATATTTATAAAGAATCGCGGTAATGGGAAATGGTGTCAATTGTCTAAATTTAAAGCTTTTAATTCATCTGTGACGATAATATGTATAGATATTGAAACTAAAGAAGTTGAAGCTTATTGCCTTGGTGACTCATTGACTCATAAAAGCTTTCAGTTAAACTGTTTATGGTTGATTTCCCAATGAAAATTAAGCAAAACTTCATTGAATCTGTTCAGCATTTTGATTGATGGATTTCTTTTAAAAGCCTCTCTCTTTTTTCGTTATTTATGAAACTTAATCGCGGAAATTGCTTTTGAATAATCTACTCAAATAAACAGAAAGAGTTCATTGAATGAAATCGCAAAAATTCTTTGGTAAAAATCTTTATGAAAGAATTGTTGGTTTGCTCGACTTAACAATGTCTTTGTTTGACGATATTGCTGACTCCAATCGAACATTCTGATATTATATGTTTTGGAAACATCACGTACGGAACATAAATCGTTGTTTATTTAATGGAAATGAGAACGGTTTGCATTTATTATCGACTATTGGACAATTGGGCGTTAATATTCGATTGCGTTGTTTTCGTTCTCCGGTTCCGGTTTCGCTTTATTAAATTTCGTAAAAAATTGCGGCAATTTTTGCAACATAACGTGAAATTGTGACTGAAACTAACAAGATTAAGAAATTTTCATAGTGAAACTCATCGGCAAGTTATATTTAATTAAGTACAGATAATTTAACGCAAACAACAGTCTTAGTCACGTCACAGTTATCAACTCAACAATGTAAAGTCATTTGATTCTCCTTGACGATTGAATGAAGATCTTAATTATTTAACACGAGAAACGGGAAGCTTTCAATGCAATCGCGCATTCCATTCAATGTAATAAAAGTTCATTAATTTCCAAAGCAAATTTTGTAATTCTTTTTAAACATAAATAGAAATATGGAAGCTAATCCAAGAAGAAAATCTACATTTAATCTAAAAAATTATAAAGAAATGAATAAAAGTTGTGGGTGGAAATGTTTACAAATGTTTTATATTACAAATTTGGTCTCCAATTCCAAATTGGCCTACAAAAACATGTAACGCAATTTCTAAGAAATTACTTTGACTCACTCGTTATACATAAATAGTGAAAGGATTAAATTGGAAAATCAATAATAGCGTGTGAACAATGTTGAAGTTTGAATATATATATAGATATAAAAATATTCATCAGGTCAAGCAACTGACTGACCAACATTTGACGTTAAGTGACGCATATTGATACACGTGATAAACATTTACAATAGAAAACATTTTGCACTAAGCAGACTTTATCATTCATCATTACCATGTCCATCAATTATTCCAACTTAACTAAAAATTTGTTAGGTTTCATTTCGTGGCAGTATGTGTTGGTGTTTTTACAAATGTCATCGCTTGTTAGCGATGTCTTAATTCAACCACAAAAAAATGCAATAAAAAGTTTGTACACAAAGATTTGACGTCTTAAAATGGAATAAATTTATCTTTGTAGTACAAAGAAAGACTTTTGTATGATGAAATTGTATTATGGACATTTCACAAAGGAATTGTAATGATTTCTAAGCTGGTTATTATCTTAAGAGAATTCTATGAATTTCTCAACAACGCCTCTGCACATTTATGCAAATAATTACACAGAAAGCCAACATTTTTCCCGTCCATGGGAACTTCGAACGGGTCTACAATTCATTTACACAAATATCGTTACAGCGTCAGACATCATCAGACCTTCCCAGGCCAAAAGAAAGGTCTCGCATCGAGTCGTGACGGGTCACATTTAAAGTTTAAAATGAATGATGAAAAATTCTTAATTTTCTCTTCTATTAGCTTGAGAAAGGTTGGTCGGAAGAAATAAGTGAGGCAGGTAAATAAATAATTGATTTGAGAGGGTCAGTCAGGTAGAATCATTCATTACACACTCGGAGTTCCCTTCAATTCCGTTTTGTATTCACCGTCAAGAAATAAAATAAAATATTTTCTTCCATTTGTAAACATTCACGTAAAACACACAAACATAAGAGATTTTGAATACAGGTCGCCGCCGAAATCGTCATTAACAATGCTGGACGAATATTGGGGAAGAAAAGATGAAAGAATTTCTTGAAATTCCATCTTACACGTTTGTTGGTTAATTTTTACAATCTCGCGTGAAGTCAGAAAGAAAATTATGTTGGAGAGCGATTGAATAATCAATTTCTGAGTACCCATTCCAGATGGGCTCGTCGATATTTTCTCTCCGTCCCATTCCTTTGTAACGTTTCATAAGAAATTCTTTTAGATATTATTTGATCAGAGAAAAGTGATCCAACTTGGCGGTTATTTGTGTTGGAGTCAAAGACAACTTTTTTTACATTTTTCTGCGAGTGTTGTTTATTTGTGTGGTCTGATTAGCAGTACAACAATAACTTTCTAATCTTATCATTCTGCTTCTACTTTGATTTCCTCCCACAATTAATATTTGTAGTACCCGAAGTATTCCAAAGTGATCGGGCAACACAAATAATTTCATAATAATCTCAGGTGTGTATGTTTCATACACAACACAAACACAATTACGTCACATTCTTTGTGAAATGCTCGTTTGAACCATGAGCCACTCTTTTAGATCATTTATTAATGTACTGATGAAGATCCAATGGTTTTAACAACAAAACTTCTTGCCACTTAAACTTTTCGCATCAATTTATTAAAACTTCAAGTCACTTTTCAGTTTCTTTTATCACATTTTTGTCACACATTTATTAATGAGAAGCTGAGCACGATGAGTCATTTTTTTTCAATAAATATAACTTTATGTTTAACACCTACCGGACACAATGCCCATCGAAGAGTGCATCATTACATTAAATTTCATATCTAATCTCACTAAATCATCCGATGTTCATTTGAAAGTCAAGCGAAAAACACGAAAAAATACGAAATGTTCAAAAACATAAAGGGATAAATTATCCAACAGAAAATAAAATCAGAGCCACGATTGACCGCGTCTACATGTACGATGTGATCACTTTAAAGTCCAACACTCAACTAGGAGAACTGCAAACAAAAGAGAGAGAATGTTGGTTTCAGATTTGGTTACCAACACTACCAAAAACAGGTAAACAAGTGTAAAGTATCGTGTGCCTCAATAAATAATATGAACACAATAGAAATGAAAGAAATGTTGAAAACTAACACATTGACCACTTTGTACCTGTGGCAAGACTTCTCCACATTCTTAAGATGAGAATTAACTGGCGCGAAAGAGTTGCATCCAAACCCAATTTAACATTTCGAATAGGAAACAAAACTTGAACGATTTTCTCTTAAACACCAACGGAAACAATAAAGGAAAAACTTTTTGTCTTTAATTCATTTAATGGAACTTTATTTTAATCTAATAATTATTGACTTTCTATTCCGATAAAATAATATAAATAAAGATTTATTCAGGCCATTTTTCTTGTTGGAGGCTGAAAGAAATTTCAGATAAATAAACAATAAAGTGAATTCAAATGGTAAACTCACATGAACAAAAACAGATTTTGGCATCCACCTGTTTAATAATTCGTTAACTTCGTCTTGCTTTGGATTGACCTCAGTTTTTAATGTGCTTTCAATTAAAGTTTCTTTAGTAGAATCTTCTTGACTATTCATCACTTCAAGTCTCAATTCTGGTAAACGTTGGAAATTCGGCTTTAGTGGGTACAAATTGAATGATAAATCTGTTTGAGAGTAAGAAAGTATTGTGACGTTGACTTGTCGATGTCCTGCAAACATAAATCCATCTGAACTGTTCGTATTGAATGTTGCAATTAAATTGAGAATTGATGCATGAGGATTCTTCAACGTGACTTTATAAGTGAAGAATTCACGAACGAAAACTCTGTTGTTAATTGCACAATAAATGTTGAGTAAAGGTTCTCTAACATCTGTGAATTAATTTAAGAAATGTTGAAAATCTTACTAACTTTTTCATTTCCGAGCTTACCAATTCCTTTAATAACAAACTTTGATTCATTGACAACTTCCGAGTCCAATTTCTTCCATTTAATGCAATACATGCCGAACTTTTTCATCGGATCGACCGACTTTTCATCCAACAAATTCAGTTTTGCTTTAATAAAACCTTTCTTCTTACCATCATCAGTTGGAATCAGTTCGGATATGTCAAGAGTATTGTTGATAATTTTCTTACAAGCTTCACTACAATTCTCATAGTTTAATTTATGATCTTTGCTTTTAAGTGCAAATGGATCGTCTTCAGCATCTTTCACAACTTCCTTCACGTTACTGATCTTCCTTTGAACTTCTGTTGATTTTATGTTGAAGATTTTTGTTGCATCGTCATTCACCGGCTTCTTGAAAGTTTCTTTTGTCATCCAATTATTTGTCGTATTTTTTGGTCGAAGAATCAACAAATTCTCAACTGTTGATCCAAGTTCAACCTTTTCTTTAAACTTCTCATTTTGATTCGAAACTTCATCAACATTCACATCAGCGATGAAAAACGCATCAAGAATTTCAACATTAAATGGCGAAGTCATCTTCAAAGTACATCTCATGATGATGTCTTCATCTTTAAAGCAATTTATTGCTGGATTACGATTCAAAGTATAAAATTTACTTTCAAAATGAAATTCTTCAACACAGGGAACGATGAGAATATCATCACGCTTCTTACGAACAACATTATTGTCTAAATATTCGACAAAGATTTCATGTTGATCATCTTTATCAGCAAAACATTTCTCAATGTTCTTTGCAGTTTCACTTGGTGATGACAATTGAGTAAATGTCGACGAATCGTCAACTGCTGTTTTGTCTTCAATTTCATAGCATAAAGACTGCTTCAATTCTATGCTTCCCTCGATCAAACTTGTAATGAAGAAAGTTTTCGACGCATTCGAATGCGCTTTCATTGTTCCTACATCAATTTGAATACGTGAACTCAACTTTGATAGTGCTGATGGTTGATCGGCAAGAAGATAAACTTTATTTGCTAAATTTGTTGGCAGACTAATCGTGATTGTCACTCTGTTGAGATCACCTTCGTGATTATTTGATAAGTTGATTGTTATTTTATAATATTCGTTGATCAACATTGGCTGATTATGAATACTTTGCGATGTAAGTTGGAAGCTAATAGAAGAAAACAATTAAAAAATTATAATTTTATTAGCTAATTGAAGTTTAATCTTACGTTGGTATCACGTAGCAAGTTTTAATGATGTTGAGTTTCTCCAAGAAGTCGCTATGAATGTCATATCTTTGGAAATATTTAACTTGATTTAATGATTTCCGCAATGCTAAAACTGCATAATTCTTTTCCGTTCCCATCGTTATCTCAACGCAAGTTATCTGTGATGAAACGATTAAAGTTTTTATATCACAAATTAACAAAAATTCTTACCCCAACTTCAACATTCTCGACAAATTCTCTAGGATTTACTTCGAGTTCAAATTTAAAACATTTTCCACTTTCGAGTATGAAATCTTCAGCTTTAAATTCATTTAATAAGTTTTGAGATTTTGTTGCATGATTGAATTCATATTCGTATCCTCGTTTTGCAAGGTAACGATGATTTGATCCTGAATTTGTCATCAAACAAACTGCTAAACTTCGAACTTTTACCGGCACATCTGTGTTAGATCGAACGAATAATTGCACAACAACAGCTTCATTAAGTCGCACTTGATTCTTTTCAAAAGTCGCTTTACAGTCAATAAAGTTTGGAATGTCATCAATTTCAACTGTGATTGGTGATCGATGAGTTTCTAAAACAGCCTCCCAATTCTGCTTGATTTCTGGCGCTATCTGATTATGATATGTTGGAGCTGAATTCTGTTGAAACAATTTTTATTCTTCATTTCGTCATTTAAAATTAAATTCATCAACTCACATTAAAAACTTTCCACAAATTCTCTAAAATATTTTGTCGCTCAATTTTTCCAATCTCAATTGAAGGCGACAAAGCTTCAACGCTGCTAGTAACAAAATCATTAACTGACGATGCAAGTATTGCTGATTGAATTGTTTTCATTAAAATATCTGTGAAGATGACGAACCATTTTTCTTGACGATAATCAGAAAGCATCAGCGAGTATAATCTGGGGGAATAAAGTTTGAATTTTATTATCAAATCTTCTTTAAAATCAAATGAAATGAAAAAACTTACGTCAGAGCTTTGGTGTATTCGCCACTCTTGAAATATTCATCTGCCATCATCACAGCGCACTTTTTCCTAACGCGACCACAACGATAAACTTTAAACTGTGACATTGCTTGCCCAAGTAAATTTATTATTCCACTCTAAGATGAAAAGAAATTTAATGAAAAATAATTTCCTTAAAAAAAATAAAGAAAACTCACAGAATAATTAAATTTTGCTTCCATTTCCTGAACCAACATAATAATTTGTTGATCGTTTCCAGTTTCACTATTTTTATTGGCGAAATTCCTGACTCCAAAGTAATCGCTGTAAAGTGTAGAAAATTGTCCAGCTGACATATCATCGATCGGTGTTGTGGGTAAACCATTAATTTGATTGAAAGTATCACGACGTTTATATAAATACTCGGCAGCTTTGAGATAATAAATTCCAGGATGTTGAGTTTGAAGAGCCGCCAATCCATTCTTTACAGCATCAGCAAAAAGTTCAGCAAAACATTGAAATTGAATCGACATCCAACTGTGATGTTCAAACAGCAATTCTTTAAATCCAGTTCTTGTCTTATATTTCTCAATATGCGCTTTAAATTGAGTGATAGAATCTCGTGGAAGATTCAACTTAAACATCAATTTACACATTTTATAGTTGAGAAAACCTGCAACAGTTTTGATTTCCAAACAATTTGTGTCAACAATTCGAATGTCCTCAAGATTGGCGTATGCTTGCGTGTAATATTTTAATGCAGTTGGAAAATCCAACCTTAATTCGCATAAGAATCCCATTTTGAATTGATGACGAACTTTAAGTGTTTGATGTGACGAATTTGTTTGATGCGATCGATAATTCTTAAGCAATTGAATGTAAAATGTTTGAGATAATTCCAAAAATGCAGATTCTAGGCGAATTGTGTAACCCAACAAGTGCTGGTCATTTACAGGAAGAACGAATAACTGTTTCGCATTAATCTCACATACATTGGCTAGCGCTGATGATCTTTCAGTTGCAATCAAGTCATCGGTTCCAAGAAATGTTGAAGTTTTTTGAATTAAAACAAGAGCAATCTTTGTAAGACGATCTTGAAACTTTGTTTTCAACTGTTGAATTATTGTTGAACAATTTAATTGCTTCTCCGACCAACTGGGATCTTTCCATTCTAATTCCACACAGACAACTATTAATGAAGGCAAAACATGAAGATACTTCAACATCCAATTCTTCTTCATTATGTGTTTTGGATTGTACCACTCAAAGCTTTGTCTCTTTGGCTTTTTCGTTGGACATTCATAATTGAATGGAATGATTTTATATTGAATTGTGGGCCTGGAAAATATAACTTTTAATAAAATACGGAAATAAGCAAATCAGCCAGAACAACCTATCAACACGATTGTTAAAAGAATCAAAAATTGATTTGTGCACTGTGTTGTTCAAATCTAATCCATGAAACCCGATGAGAGGTTGTGGAACTGCTAACAACTCCGATGGAAATTCAGACATTGAAGGTTCAGATTTTCGAAAAACTCAGTAATTTTAATATTCAGATAGATTTATAAATTTTGTAAATAAAGAACGAGGGGTGTGTAAGTTTCTGAAAGCTTAACGAGGGGAATTTAAATTTGTTCGACCGTTAAAATAATGTAATTTGAAATTTTTTGAATTAGATATGATAAAGTCATATTTAAGTCATATTTTATTTAAGTCATTTCTTTTATCACGGATATGCGATACATCCTCTAGTGTAATCTCCTGTGACAACTCGAAAATCTGTAAAAAGACATATATGAGATGTTAATAATTTAGTATGCTTATTTTCATCTTACTTTGTCGATTGCAATGGTTGAAGTTTCTTAAATAGCAGATGTTTCGAAAATATTGATATTCATATCCATTTGATGCACAAACGAAGTTGAGACCCTCACATCCACTGAAATTACAGTTCATATTTTCTTGCAGAGGTTTACAAAAGATTTGAAGAAGAAAGGTGAAAAGAAAAACAAATAAACTTAAAAGCTTCAAAAGCTCCATCTTTAACAGTTTCGGTGATATTTACATACTAAAACTACCTAAATGCTAAACGATTTCATTTCATCATTTCAAACAATATTTTTATTTCTTTTATGGAACTGGAATAGGAAATACAATCTTTAAATACATTTCAGTCATCTCAAGGAAACATATTACATTAATTTATTTATTAAATAATGAAGAACCACCATGAAATGCCAGAAAGCTGTCAATAATTTAATTCATCCTGCATTTATTCTGGTTTATTTTTTCATAGTCTGTTAACGTAGAAGAAAAAAATGTAAATTATCTTTCCATATCTGTCTCAATAAAACATAAATTTGCTTACTGTCTCCATAGCATTGGTTATATTGTTCCATTCGGCAAGTTCCCATGAACATTCTTTGATCTTCTCCATTGTAAGCGCAAACAACTTCATCAAAATCATCATCACACGTGTCGGGGCAAGTAATTCGGTTATTATTGTTGCCATTACTAGATCTACGCCATCTCTGCGCATCAGTGGCGACTAAGAAAATTACGACAAAGCAAAAAATTAACTTCATTATTCTGTGTTTAATCAATTGTAAACTGTTGAGAGTCTCCTATGAATCCTACCTTTAAATACTTTATTTTAACGAAGGCCGATCATAACTCACAAGCTTTTATCGGCAGAAAACTACAGTGTTTACTTGTCAAAGAATTTGTTTTATAACCGTTAATGAAATGCCATGTTTTTTAATGTTATTACACTTTGTTATTGATATCATTAATTTCATATCGGTAAAAGTTGCGAAATTTAAAATTTGGAAATAAAACTTCGTAAATAACCAAAAATCAGGAAGAAGGAAAAGATTGTTTTGTCACAATTATTTTTTAAAAACATTAATTGATCATCTTTGAGTCATAACTAACCTTTATCATCAAACACGCCATAGCACATATTTGAGTATTTCAAATCAGTATCAGAAGATTTCATAAAGTTTGAGAAGCTTTCTAAACAATGCATTAAAAGGTTTGAGAATCATAAGAATTGTTTTTGCCCAGAATAGATAAGAAAACTGAAAAAAAACTACAAAAATACTTTCAAACAACTGACTCACCTTTATTTTGTTGTTAAATATGAAAGAAGGTTTTACGAGATAATATTTAATTTCAATATTTATTTTTCCTTTTTTTTCTTCTTCAAATAAATTTACATTCACTTTTTTTCTCAAAATTTCTAATAGATGTCTGTGGATTCTGGATTGTTGAAATTATAATTGAAGAGTAAATTGAATGATGATAATTTGTTTTTAATCTCCAATACATATTTTCAACTCTTGTCACATTCATCAATTAATACTTATTACTTATACAATAAAACTACATTTAAAGTTTCTCATTATTACTTTTGAACCTTTAACTCGTTACATTATTTTCTCTTTTGTTTGTCCACATTTGTTTTCGTATCAATATTGTAGTTTGAAATCAGATTCAATTAAATTAGTTAGGATTAGTTAGGTAAGAAAGCTCAGCGTATAACCCGGAACATTGAGACAATCTAATTCATGACTCAACTTTTTCTGTTTCTCCGTCAGTCGTAAAATTTCATCACGCTCTGATTTTGGTAGCGAGCGTCCTTTCTGTTTCGCTAATTGAATACGCTTATGATGCTCAATAATTTCATGATCAACATCGTCAAGTTTCTTTTTGATTTCTAAGCGTTTTATCTCATTTAATGCTACTTCTTTAAGAGTCGCTAATTGGCTTGTATTCGACTCAGCGATAGCCATAAGATCAGATCTTACACGTTGGATCTCCATTAGAACTTCATCAACATCATCCTGCCTCTCTCCACTTGGCACAGCATCTTTTGCTTCCAATATTCCCTGTTCTATCAATTCTTTTCGTATCCGCCTCTCAGCTGCGATACCATTTTTAAGAAGATTTGCAGCACTCCGCGTATGCACCATATTTGTATTATTTGGTATGTTTTCAAGACTACTGTTGGAATTCTCTGTGCTTGTTGTTGTAGCTGTTGCTGTCGAATGTCCATCACCGATCATATTTTCTTCCATAAGTGCGCTTACAAGCCTTTGAGTAAAGGGCCCAGTAATTCCATCTCCCATCTTCTTGCTATTTCTTAACACTCGCATAACATCACCGTTTTGTTGGAAGTTTGAAGTCTTTTTTCCTTTTATTTGCGGATGTCCAACATCTTGCTCTTCCTTGTGTTCTTCAATACCCCATTGAGTTGTATAATGTGGTCCAAGCTCAGGAATTTGAGGTGCCAACGTGCCTGAATACTCTTCTAACAGCCCATCAAGTAATCTGATATCTTCTTGTGTGATTGGCACTGTGTAAGGTTCTATAGAGAGCCAGAATTTGTTCGGAGTGTCATTGCGATGATAAAGATTTTTTGGATTATGAAGTGATACATCTGAACTGTCGTCTGTGTGTTGACTTGGCGCGGGAGAAACTGACGATGTCTTTAATTTTGAGATTTTATTAGGCGGGTGATTAAGAGGAGAATTTCCGGAGGAGAATTTTCGAGGTTTTCCACTACTACTTGGCGCCCCACGTCTTCGTTTGTCAGGTGATATTGGAGCTCGATCGAGATGTTTTGTTCTTCGACTATCACTAGACTCTAGTTCCGATTTTAATACTCGGTATCGTAGTGCCACTGTTGAAAGTAAAGCTTCGAGCTCAGATTGAATGGGTTCGAGGTCATCAGGTGGTAGTTCACTGTTTGCTGAACGAGTCAGTGCTGAATAATATTTTGGTAAAGCATCAGCATTATCCTGACATTTTATGTGAGGAATGTGAGGAGCTGGAGATGATGGATCTAACGATTCTGGTGATGGTTTTGACATCACTTTCCCTGATCCCTTGCCCTTCGTGTGAGAAAACCTCTTCCCACTACCTTTCTCAGCCATGACTTATTTTTTGACTTAAACGATGAACACAAGAAAAAATAAAACACCAACTGAGCTATATCAACAGTTAGCCTTAATTGCTGCTTCTGTATTATCACCAGAAATCCACCCGAATGGTTTTTCCAATCAGCGTGCCATCTTTTTTTTCTTTCTTTTTTAATATGAAATGACGACGGGCGGAAAAGAAGAAAACTTTAGAAAAAAAAGTGGTGTGTATATGAACAGAGAGAGCTAAAAAGAGAAAAAACAAAAACAAAAAATATTAGTTCCATGCGAAGGCTTCCTACGCTTCTGCACTATCTTCCATTTTCATAAATACATGTGAAAAAACTGATTGTGCATATACATTTGAATTATAAACAGCATTAATGTTGCTTCAAATGATTCTTTTCACACTTGCTGGGTCAAATTCAACATTTCGAAGAAAAACTGTTACACCAGCATAGATATGCTGATCAACCAATCAGATCTTTTCCTGAGTGCAGAAGTAAACAAAAAATATTATACTCACATATAACTTAGGGAATTAGAAAAAAAATGCAACTTTTTACGCTGCTAGACTTTATGGACCAAAATCAGAAAATTAATTGTAAAGTTTGTAGAATAATTTCTTCTCTTTCAATAACTTTGAACCATGGAATTTTGGAATTAACTGCAAAAAAAATTATTTTTTTTCCTAGAATATCCAAAGTTTACTGAACAGATCAGGTTTTAACTAAACACACTCTCAACTATATGAGTGCGTTCAGGGTATTGAAAAATTCAGTTACATTTGTTTATGCCTTAAATGCATTCATGCATAATAAAAATTAGAAAAAAATACTAATGATGCTGCTTGTTTATGTGGGGTAAATTCCTCAACATCTTACTAAGATGCATAAAAGTCTTCTAATCAATGCTCTAGCCTTAAATATATTATTAGGATATTTATATTGTAAATTGCCGATTGCAAACATTTTAATAAGTTTTATTGTTTTGAAAGAATTAAAAAAATTCTTTATCACTTTAAAACGTGAATGAAATCATGTCTGGTTTATGACAATGACTTGAACGAGTATAATTCTGACACAATTAGGTAGATTCCATTCACTTTTAAATAAACGTGATTAAATGTCCAGATAATTTTCTATTAATTAACATTTCCCATTCAAACGTGATTAACATTCTGGCAAATTTTATAATGACGACGAGCTACCAAATACCGAGAACAACCGATAACCTAATCTGTGTCGTGCTTACGAGTGTGTGATGTTTCAATATTAAAAAATAATCAACATTATTTGTCACTCGACATCAGGCGATATTTCAACGTTTAAATTTATTAATCACTAAAGGAAATAAATTTACGAGTAATTTTTTTATTTACTCGTGCCATCGTCGTACGAGTATTTCTTATCAAATCCATTGACAATTTTTTTGCTATTTTAGAAAGTTTATTAGTCATTTATTATGGATTATTGTAATCGATCACTCATTTAATGATTTCTTTAAATATTTGAAACAATTCTTCTCAAGATAACGTGTCTCATCATCATTCTCGTTGAAACTTAAACTCATTATTAATTTACTTATCAATATTTCTTCAATCAAGCTGATAACACGGCATAAATCCATAAAATCATTTTAAAGCTCTTGAAAAGTCAATTTAAAGAAAATAATGAGAATTGCTAAATGCCTTTCTTGATAAGATAAACTGTAAAAGAAGATAAAAATATTACGAAACGTGTGAAAGAAACATGAGCTAATTTATTTCCCATTGTCTGATGTATTAAATTTAATAACACTTTAAAAATTAATAAAAATTATTCGTCACGAAGAAGAGTTAAACTAATCTAATTTTGAGCGTTGGCCTCCAAGTTTTTTCGTTCGAATTGTTTGCATATGCGTCATGACGAAATATATTCCAGGCAGAATTAAAAATATGAGATAAATATACATAAAAGTTGGCATGTGAAAAGACATGTTCCATTTGTTGGGCATGGCAACTGTAAGCCGTTTTGTCTCTTCAAAGTACGGGATGTTTCTGAGGATGATTATTCCTTCACATAACACACCCAAAGGATATAAAGGAATCCAAAGTGAATAACGAAGCCATGTAAGTAATCCCATTTCAAACTTCAACAACTGCGACAAATAATATGGATATCTCACTATTTCTATGACTCCCCAAATGATAAACAAATAAAAGACAACTGGTTTCGTCATCATTCGTGGTTCATGCTCAATCATAGCAAATAAGATGAATGCTCGACCAGAAATTTGTACGAATGGGAAGAAAGCACCACCTTTTGTATAACCAAAGAGTGGATGCATAACTTCTAAATATTGAAGCAGTTGTACAAATTTGTATGCATTTCCAACTGCTTCATAAGTTCCCGGCATAGATGCAGGGCCATCACGGTAATATCTGATGCCCATAACGATGAGTATGTACATGAAGCCAACAAATTGGAACAGATTATAGAGCACTAAGTAAACCTTCTTAAATCGTTCTCTTCTGAAGCCAAGTTCTGCTTTTTGCAATTGATCGTACATATTTGGATAATCTTTCATGACATCTCGTTGCAATTCACCTTCTTCATTATCTTCTGGGTCTTCTGACTGCCAACGATCAAAATCGATTTTCAACCATGAAGGTTTTTGTGGCTGACAAATCTGGTGTGATAAAGAAATTAAATAAATAATTTAATAACATTCTAATTGAGAGTTGATTTCTTAACGCGATAAACTTACCAGCCGTGACCAGAAGCCTGATTTAATTTTAGGCAAAAAAATGTCAATTTTATTCCCAGTTTGTGATATTTTGATTCTCTCATTATCGATTTCATTTAATAGATCTAAAGTAAATTTATATTCTTTGAACCCTTGAGCTCCAACACCGGTCGCTGAAAAATTGACCTTTGCACAGTCGGCCTTGACATTTACATTCTAAATTGTTAGAATGTAGTAATACTTTTATTATTATTTACTTTATCTTCACGCATAATTTTCATAAAAGAAAATTTCACAACTTACCGTCGCATCTTTCAGATCAACTTTTAATGATACTTGATCTTCACTTTGCGCCCAATAAACAAAAGGACTGATTGGCATACTTGTTACTATCAACTATGATTGAATATTCTTTTAAATTTAATGTGATTTAAGAGAAGAAAAAAATACTGACTGTGAAGTCTGAAGCAAGCAAAACTTTTTGAGAAACGAATAAAAAATTCTATGAATTTGCGATGTTAAAGATTTTGAATTCAGGCGCAATTTTCAACCGTTAAATTTTATTGAATGTCCAATAAATAAATTTATATTGTACAGCAACATTTGTCTTCTACATTAATTTTTTGAAAGACATCTGATTCACATGACAGAGCACAGCTTGCGGTCTGGTCAATTATAAAGGAGCCGTCATTTGCAAATTCACACATAGGTATTACGGATGGTTGAGTATCGCCTCCGGTACTTACAGGGACAATGTGAACAGTGCCTATGAATAAAAATATTTGTTTTAATACTTTCTCCTTAATATCTCATTCTTACTTAATAAAATTAGCAACGCGCTGCAAGTGAATTGAATGGCCACTTGATTCATTTCGTATCAACACGGAAGATGTTTCACCGTTCATTAATCAGAGTTTTTCTACTACAAAACAAAAAGACCAATCGATATTTATATATCAATTTGCAAACCTGTGCAATACAATTTTGGACAGTAAATGAATGATCTGCATGAATTAATTTTTACTTTCAAAGATAAGCTTTAAAATCGTGACTTGTGACAACTGTCATGATACCATAAAAAAGGACATTAACTGATTAACGATCATTTTTACAAATGAAATTATAAATATTTTTACAACAGTCGACTACAGTCGTGACGTTACGACAAGAAACAAAATCCTGAATGACTAAGAAGTTAAAAACGTCGTGTTTAAATGTACTTTGTAAGTGAAGCGCGTCGGATTTTCATTTCTCTACAATATTATTAATATTTCAGATAATGTTTCTGTACGAGCGTTTGTCAGTTGTCTACAAATTTTATACAAAGCTTGAAAACGCTTTAAGCATTCTGTTGCCATAGCAATACTTCAATGAAAACATTCATTAGAGAGAAATAAAAATGGCTTTTAAAAGTGTTCGAGGTAGTTTAATTCATTAATTCATTTTTCTTATAATTGACGATTACTTCTGGTAGATTTCGCTGAACATCTGAAGCTTATCGGTTATCAAGAAAATATTCCTCTTGCTTTATTAAGCACATTTAATGGAAATGAAACGTCATTTAAAGCATATTCAAATATTCTGATTTGGCTTATCAAATGTCTTGATCCAGATGCGTTGATTCATCAAGACTCTCATACTGAAGCTGATCGTGTATTGTTGATAAGAACCACGACAGAGTTTCTGGTATGATTTATTAAAAGTTGATTAAGACATGTTTTAAATTTAAAGTGTAAATCTTTCAGGCAGTCTCAGCTGGAATTAAATTAAATCCACGAAAACTTTACGCCAGTAATTGTGCAACAGCAAAAGAGTTACTGAAGGTGACGTCAGCATTGTTGAATGCACCAGAAGATTTACATGAAGATGAGAATCAAGTCATCAACTTTGAAGATTCAATAAGCAAAGATCAGATAAGAAAAATTCGAAATCTCTCAACTGAACTTACAACACATGGCGTGAATATGTTTGATTTTGTCTCAAAAGAAACAATTAATAAGGAGACTCGATCACAGTTTTCAAGACCATTGGAATTGAATTCGGTTGAGAAATCTTTGAAGCAAGCAATTCAAGCGATAAAAAATCAACTCGAATCTGGAAAGTCAACAATTGAAAGCCAATTGAATGAAAAATCAAATTTGGAATCGAAAATTCAACGAAAGGAATCAGAACTTGAAAGAACAAGTCATCGTTTGGCAACACTTCAACGTATTCGACCAGCTTATCTGGAAGAGTTTGAGAAGATTGAAGTTCAGATGAAAGAACTTTACAGGCAGTATACAATGCGGATCAGATGTTATGATGCCATGAAAATATTTTTAAACAACAACACCTCAACACCAGCATCGTTTTCTCCTTTGCAGAAAGTTCACGATAGCTCGATTCCGATTTTACCAGAAGAAGGTCTGACTGATGATGAAGACGATGGCGATAACAACTCAAACGATACAGATTTCAAAGACGATCAATCACTCTTGAATCAAGACATTTTCAAGCAAGTTTCCAATCGTTTGATATCTCGAAATGAAAGGAAAACAGAATCAAGTGATAGAAATTTGAAAACTTCTGTTGATTTGAGTGTTTCAGAATCATCGCCCGAAAGTGAAGACTTGGAAAGTGGTGAACTTGAATTTAGTGAGTATGGATATGATGTTAATTATACTTACTATAATTCTCTAAATTTATTTTCAGTAATGGATATCGATAAAGGCGAAGAGAGATTGATGAATTTTAAACGAGAAGCTAACAATAAGAATGAGATCAGCGATGAAGACTTTTAAATTTTTTATGTCAGCACGATGAATGTGAGGGAAGAATTTCACTTGTCAAATTTAATAAATAAATGTTTATAATAATCAAAGTTTGTTCTGCAATTTATTGTCATACATGACAAAAGAAATTAAGCCATGACTTTCGGTAACAATTAAGTGAACGATAATCAATCATTTAATTTATTAAATCTACCTGCAGTTGACAGTGTCAACATTTTATAAACTTTTTAAAATTATTAAATTTATTATTAAATTTCTCATCCCAAAACAACAACTAAAGCAAAGCCACTGACCTAATAATTTCTCCAATAACCTATTGAATTATGAACCCGCATCAACAAACAGAGATCAGGTTGTTCGTCTGCAATTTTTATTTTATTTTCTTTACGCATTCTAGTTTATCCACTATAAAAGGCAGGCAGCGCATAGTTCTTAAGTTTAATGTTTCGCGAGACGTGTATAAATGAAAAAGTGTTTCCGAGAGTTGAAAGATGTTTTTATTAATGCTTTTCTTGTCGTTTTCGTTGTGGATTAAAAGTGATGCATTTTCTGTCAGAAGTGAATTGCACAATTTTATGGATGAAGAAGAGTTGAAGTTTTACTTTGGAACTGATTCTGATGTTAATTTACCTGACTATGAGGTTGTCGATTTACCAGAAAATCTGTTAAGTGCAAGAGAAAGTGTTGTCGATGATGAATCAAATAATGAACATGACGATCAGAAATATTTGAGTTTTAAAGTGTTTGGCAATCAAAAAATTGATCTGCATTTATATCCAAACAAGCATTTGATATCTCCTTATGCACAAACTGTGATTAAATCAAAAAAAGGTGTGACGAGGTCTTTGCACGATGAAAGTTCGTCAAACAATTTTTGTCATTTTCTTCATTCAAACATAAATTCAACAGCAGCAATCAGCAACTGCAACACGAAAGAAATTTACGGATTAATATTCACGTCTCGTAACACTTTAGAGATTCTTCCGTTAACAGTGCGACTCAGATTCATTTTGAATCGAAAAGAATCACCTGCGGAGTCACTGAAAGATGGAAGGTTTTTCAACAAAGTCCCGCATTTAATTAAGCGCTCTCGCTTTGATGGCGATGACTTTTCTGATGATTTTCTCATTTCAAATTTTCGTGGAAAGAAATTTCCAAACGTCGAAAGCTTCACGAAACCGAAACAACGTGGAATTAATTATAATCAACCAACAGTTGAACTTGGACTTTTTTTTGATGAAGCTTTTTATGAATTTTTCGCACCTTTTTATCAATACGATAAGAAAAAGTTGCAGAATTTCATTCTTGCATACATCAATGGCGTTCAAGCCCTTTATCATCATGAGTCACTGACACGAGATGTTGATTTCACAATTGTTTATCTTGAATTAATGGAAGAACAACCAATCACCATGCCACATGCAAATGGTGAACGAAATGCTTTGATTGATAACTTTTGTCAATATCAAAAGTCTTTGAATCCTGAAGACGACAGAGATCCGATGCATTGGGACATGGCAGTTTATGTTTCTGCTTTAGACTTCTTTGCATGGGAAAATTCTGGATTCAAAAGTGGTGGAACAATGGGATTGGCAACAGTTGGTGGAGTGTGCAATGATGAATACAATTGCATTATAGCGGAGTTTGGAAGCATCAATCGATTTGGAAAGCCTTATCCATCATCAGGTTTCACTTCTGTTTATATTCTTGCTCATGAAATTGGTCATAATTTAGGAATGTCACATGATTCAACTGGAAATTCCTGTAGCAAAGATGGCTTTGTGATGTCACCGTCAAGAGGTACACAAGGTGAAACAACCTGGAGTCCCTGCAGTGCCCTTATCATCAGAAGACTTGAGTGAGTAGGAATTTTATTTGGGGATCAAAATTTATTTCTTGCTTAACATTTAATATTATGAATAGTTGGGCGAAATGTTTATTTGATAAACCAACAGAATCTGTGACAGATTTAGATCCTTGGGTGTACAGCGGTTATCCTGGCATTTCATACACAGCTAAAGATCAATGTGAAATATTGTTACGCGATCGTGACGCTTATGTTTTCGACAAAGGTCAACCATTTTCAATCTGTAATAACATTCATTGTAGAACGCCACATCGTCCAGGATTCTTTTTTGCTGGACCTGCACTGCAAGGAACTGCATGTGGCAATAATATGTGGTGTGATAGTGGAATTTGTGTTGACAAAAATGTCATCAAGACGACAACAAGCAAACCTAAACCAACTTGGGGACCATGGAAATCATCACTTTGTAAATCCGAGTGCATTAAAAATGGTAAAGGATATCAAGCAAATCGACGCTTTTGTAGTCAATTTGGAGACATGTGTGATGGACTCTCATTCAGCATTGGCATTTGTGAAGATCGGAGAATTTGTGAAACAAGAAAAACTGCAGTAGAGTATGGAACGGAAAGGTGTCGAGAATTTAGTAAAAAGCTTGACATTATTGACCCAGATGGTTTAGGATTGCAGGCATCTCATGATTCTCGACAAGTTTGGATGGGTTGCGCAATTTTCTGTAAAAGGAAAAACACTTCTTCATACTTCACACCACGAATTCAGTTGAATGAACTTGGATTGAATCCTTACTTCCCTGATGGAACTTTATGCCATCGAGAAGGAAATGAAAATTTTTATTGCATTCAACATCATTGTTTACCGGAAGTAGGCAAACATTATTAACATAATTCATTTGTTTTTCTTCTAATTAGTTTTTTTTTAATTTTACAGAGCACAAAATTCTCAAAATCTTTGACAATACAACTTTAAAGATTTCACCTTTGTTTAAGGGTTCAGAATTTGAAGAAGAATTCTGAGATTTATTTGATTTAAAACTTTTTAACTTCTTAAATGAATGCTTACTTAGCTGTAAAATATTCTAATTTAGATCAATAAATGTTTCAAACAACATTAAAATAAATTAAATTTAACTTTTACGTTCAAAAGGTCATAAAATGACATTCATGAATTTTTATCTTGCTCGTATTTGGTTCACGTTTTAAACAAGTGCGTATCATGTGAATTGTGCTGCTTTCAAAAATCGCTTTTTTTTGATAAGAAGGCGATAAGAATTCGTTCTTATTTATAATTTGATAAGCGACCAATTCAATTCAGTTTTAGTTTAATCCTCAAAGTGTCTCATTACAATTTCCTTAAACGTTTTATTTATTAAAAATTAATCAAAGATGGGAAATTTCGAGATTATTGAGCAACCAACTGGGGACCGAATGATGGGAGGAGGATTAGTAAAACCTAAGGATGAACGATGGAAAAACTTTGCACCTTGCATGGTTTCCAAAGACGCCGTCAATTGTCTTGAAAAAGTTAAATCATTTGAAATATTCTTGGATGACATTATTCTGACGGGATATCCGCGATCGGGAACAACGATTGTTGCTGAAATGCTTTGGCTTATTGCCAGTAATTTCAATTTTGATAAAGCAAAACAATTAGTGACTGACGACAGAGTTGCTTTACTAGAGTAAGTTTAGTTGGATCGGTAATGTAATTTTTGTTGAGAAAATATTCAAAATTCTTATTTTTCATACACCCAGATTTAATGATTCTACACAACTCATACAGAAAGGAAAAGTTGTTGACACTTTTGCTACTTTAAGTCGACCTCGTACATTGAAAACTCATTTGCCACTGCAATTTCTCCCCGATCAAGTATGGACAAAAAAGCCAAGAATGATTTATGTTTCACGTGATCCACGAGATGTTGTCGTGTCGATGCATCATTTTGAAAGTCATATGACTGGTCGTCAATTGAATGAAACATTAGATGATTTCTTAAATGATCGTTACTTTAACTGTCCTTATCATGAATTCCATCATAATTTCTTAAATATTCCTAACTATCCCAATATTCTTTATTTAACTTACGAATCAGTAACATCAAACATTGATGCAACAATTCAAAAAGTTGCTGACTTCCTGGGTGTGGAAATTTCGAGTGAAAACTTTGTGAAGGTCAAAGAACATTTAAAGTTTGACAATATGAAAAGTAAGCAAACTTTCAACTTTCTTTCTAGGAAATCTCAAATTAATTAATTTTATTATAATCTTCTAGAAAACAAAGCTTGCAACAACACCTTATTCTTTGAAAAAGTCAATGAAATTTATAAGAAGCGGACAGACACTGACAAATTTATAAGACGAGGGAAAGCTGGCGGATACAAAGATGAAATGTCACAAGAATATATAGAAAAGTTCGACAAGTGGATGGAAAAGAGAAACGATGTCAAAACAGGTTTCCCAAAAAAGCATTAAATTGAAATTTATTCCCTCATTCGTTTCGTTAACAATTAAACTTAATAAAAAAATTCTTCGGTGTGGTTAAAAATTAAATTTTTCACAAAAGTTTTTTTCTTTCTTCATATGAAAATGTTTCATTTCGAGCGAGTTGATTATGATGTCCAATGAGAAGTTTGTACCAAGAAAATTCTCTCAATTCAGTGTCGAATTCTTTGCATGTCTTCATAAAAACGTCATTTAGTTGTGGAAGAATTCCGTGGTCCAATGTTGGAAAGAAATGATGTAAAGTATGCTCACCTAGATGTGTCAAAACAAGGAACTGAGAAACTTTTACATCTTTCCTATCGACAACAGTGTCAAGTTGGTAAATTCCGAAATCCATACTCTTGTGAATCTCATCACCTTCGTGGACTATTTGAGGGGAATGATGACCAACAGTGACCCCAATTATTCCAAACCATAGACCACCAAAAATCAAAATAAGATTCCAACACTTTAACACTTCAAACAATTCATTCCTTCCAAAAATGTACATTGCTAATGGTACTGAGAAAGGAATTAAATCTTCCATAAAGAAGGACTTGACAGGAGTTGTAAAATGTAACACCAATCGTTGAATTAATAAAACTTGTGGAAATATTCCGAATACGAGCCAAGAGTAGATCCAAGAACCATAACGTTGCATCCACGATTTTTCCTTTACAGGAAACCAACTGACTGCTGGTTCAGGTAAAGTTACTTCCAAATCATTAAACGAATTTGTGTAAATGTGGTGGGAGAAAATATGAGAAATTCTTATTTCTCTGAAGCTCATCAAGGAAAAGTTTATCATAATTTTCCTCCAATTATTTCGTTGATGCAAGAAATTGTGGCCAATGAAAAATCCCCAGGCAAAAAGCAAACCTGTGAAGACCATCAAAAATGTGCTTTTCATCCAAACCGAACAAATAGAAGCAGCAAAAATTCCAAACATAATCAAATCTGAATAAATTTTCGATCGCTTTTCCGGCCCATGATCAAGTTTGAAATCACGGACTCTTCGCTTCAAAGTTCTAAAGAATCCATCTTCTTTAAAAGTTAGTTTATAACTTCTTGGCTGAGCAGCATCACGAACATAAAACTTTGGTAACATCTTCTCAGCTGTCAATTGAATGTGATGAAGTTCAAAAAGCTCGGTGATGTCATTGCCCTAGAAAAGAAGAAAAAAATCGATCAAACTCCAAGGTCAATGTCAGATGTTATTTCATAATAAATTATTTACTTTCGTAATTTCAAGCCATTCTTTTCCACCAGGATGACGATCCATAAAATCAGTAAGATCGTAAAGCTTATCATGAATTCTCCACAAGCCTTCCGCATTTTCTACAGCACGCCTGCATTCCAACCAACTGTTGATTGAAAAATTTATTTGTTATCAATTTGTCCTCAAGTTTTCTTTAAAAAAAATGTTTACTCGTAAACTGTTTTCACTTGTTTATCCCTAAATTCAGGATAATAAGAAGCAATTGAGTGTTTGCCTGCTGCCTTCATTTTGAACAAATTGAAGCTACACTTCTGTATAAAAAACTGTTTAGTTGACAATTTTATATGTTTTTGCAGCTCCTACTGAAATCAAACTTAACGTAGGTAATCTGAATTTAAGACTAAGCAACGACTGGTTATACAAGAACGTACGTCAAAAATATTTTACCATAAAAGGTCGAATTTTGATATCACAAAATTTTATCTGATAAAATCATTTTATGTAATTTCATTTTATTTCGATTAGTTCGTCATTTCGCGTAACATTATCTTTGAAAAGTCTTCCGTACTGTCTTAATAATCGTCGCCAATAACATTCAACATCTTCAAGTTTGAGATTTTTCCATATCATTTCAAAGCCTCGTTCGGCTATTTCTTGAGCTTCATCTTGATGATGTTTGAAATAATTTATGAGAATTTTGAGATCTTCTGGTTTACTTTTGCTATTTACTGGGATGTAATGAACCCAAGGTTTAAGCGAATCATAGAAGAATTCTTGCCACTCATCACCAACATGAAAAACCAAAGATTTGCATAGAAATAAATGTTTGAATCGAAAACTTGCAGCAACTCCGCGATAATTAAAAAGAAATTTGTATTTGCAATGATCTTCAAGGGAAACTTCTTCTGCGGGTTCAGCGTTGAGTGTGTCAGCTGGCGATTTCCATGCCTGATTTTTTGTATATTGTGCATCAACAAGTTCTGGATTCGATCTTGATAGTAACACTAAAGCATCACGTTCATCTGATGTTCGTGATCCTCTGAAAAAAGCTTTGGATTTCTTTTTATTCCAAGGAATTTTTTCTGCCTCGCTTTTTAAAGATTCTCGAAGTAAATCAAATCGACCAAGTCCAGTCGGGTATAATTTTATTGCAGGTCCACCTTCATAAAAACTCCATGCAGGATACATTATATCTTGATAATCTTTCGTTTTACTGAATGATAAAACAGGTCCTATTGGTCCATGATGAGGATAAACTTGAGGATAATCGCGAACATTTATTATCAAGTCCATGTTCGGCAATTTAACTTTTTTCAAAACTTTCTTTATGAAATGTTCGACACCAGAACATCTTGATGGAAAATTGCAGTCTTTTTGTCGGTATATTTTGTTATTAATTATTTGATAGATTATTCCATGAGATCTGAGAGATTTGATCATATCTTTTGTGATACCAGTCTTGAAAGGCTCGAAGTCCCTTTTAAGAACATTGACATGACATGAGCAATTTTCACTTTTACAAGGTATATATGATTTCACAGCATCCTTTATGTTTAACGTTATAAGATTTGTCGCTAAAGTTATGGAAGAAATGTTAAATATTTTATAAATCTAAAAATTAAAAATAAAACTAACCTTCGTCATAATTCGACTTATCAATATCACAATTTTCTTTCTTCTCACAATACTGTGAATTAATGCGTAATGAAAAAGTTATAAAACATATAAAAAGTAATATTTTTCTTAACATTATTCTTTAATTCTTTCATAAATCACAATGAAATTATCAAAAACCTGAAAACAAATTTTTTGTTTGTTGACAAACAAAAACACCGGAAACGTAACTTTGACGTACGTGTCAACGTACGTTCGCTGGAAAACGTTGCGATGAAATTTTTATAAACTTTTCTATGTTTTTATTGTGTACTGTTATAAAAACTCTCACAATCTTCTCATTACGTCTCCAACTTCGTTGCTAGTAACATTGAATTTTTAAAGCTTAGCTTGTAAAGTGTTTTAAGTGAAATAAAATGTCGGCATATCGTAAACCAGATCCTTCAAAGATTCAAGAGCTTAAAGACATCGCTCATCGCTTGAGAATTCACTCAATTACAGCAACTCAAGCTTCAAAATCTGGGTAAGTTTCACTAACAAAAAATGAAACTTCCTAACACGAGGTTTGACCTCTGAGTTTTTATCAAATTCCAATTACACTACGCTATGTTTCAAACCGGTCTAAGCTCTCTTTTGTCCACTCTTGATCATTTTATAAATTTCACTCAAGATAACGGCAGTTTCTTATCATTTATCATGCACAATTTTGTTTTACGTTATCGTCATGCTTCTATACAAAGTCATTATTATTCTTGTTTTTACTTCTTCTGTCTCTCTTTCCATTTATACTTTGTCATCAAGATTCGCGATGATTTTATGTGAGTTAGAGTTTGATACTCTCCTTGCGTCTATTTTATTCTAAGCGCAACATGTTAATGTTAATATGAATTGCGACCTTTCACGACCTTCGCTACCTTTCGATTCATACAGTTTGCTTTCAAACACACACATTTACCTGGCCTTGAATTTGTTCTCGAGAGCTTTTTATTATTTTCTTAAAAACGGTAAAGACCTTAGGAAATATTTGACGTCATTTTATTTCAGTCATCCAACGTCATGTGCATCAATTGCTGAAGTCATGTCGGTGTTGTTCTTCAACACAATGCGCTATAAAATTTCTGCACCTCGTGATGCTTCATCAGATCGTTTCATTCTTTCCAAGGGACATGCTGCTCCTATTCTATATGCTGCATGGGCCGAAGCTGGACTCTTCCCAATCAGTGATCTTCAGAATTTACGTAAAATTGATTCCGATTTGGAAGGACATCCAACACCGAGATTGAACTTTGTCGATGTCGGAACTGGCTCTCTAGGCCAAGGCGTTGCTGTAGCTGCAGGCATGGCGTATGTCGGAAAGAACTTCGACAAGGCCGACTACAGGTGAAGTCACCTGATGTTTTTAAAACTGTAACTGTTTGTTTATTTGAAGGCTTTTACATTTCTAGAACGTATGCCCTTGTTGGTGATGGAGAATCAGCTGAAGGCTCCATTTGGGAATCTCTACACTTTGCTGGGCATTACAAGCTTGACAATTTATGTGTTATTTTCGATGTTAATCGTTTGGGACAATCGGAACCAACATCACTTCAACATCAAATGGAAGTTTATCGTAAACGTCTCGATGCTTTTGGCTTCAATGCGATTGTTGTTGATGGTCACGATGTTGAAGAATTGTCACGTGCTTTCTTTGAAGCACAACAAACGAAAGGTCGTCCAACAGCAGTCATTGCGAAAACATTCAAAGGAAAATTCTTCCCAAACATTGAGGATCTCGAGAATTGGCATGGAAAGCCTCTTGGTGATGCTGCTGAAGCTGTCATGAAACATTTACAAGCTCTGATTAAGAATAAAGGTCAATTGACTCTCGGACCCTCAACTCCAGTTGAAAATGCTCCCGTTGTGTCGATTGCAAATGTTAAACTTGCATCACCACCAGATTATAAGTTGGGAGAAACAATTGCAACTCGTTTGGCTTATGGAACAGCACTCGCTAAGATTGGCATGAATAATTCTCGTGTCATTGCACTCGATGGTGACACTAAAAATTCAACTTTCTCTGACAAGCTCAAGAAAGCTTTTCCTGAACGTTACGTTGAATGTTTCATAGCTGAACAGAATCTTGTCGGTGTTGCTATTGGAGCAGCTTGTCGTGATCGTACAATTGCTTTTGTTTCAACATTTGCAACATTCTTCACTCGTGCTTTCGATCAAATTCGTATGGGAGCTATAAGTCAGACAAATGTCAACTTTGTTGGATCTCATTGTGGTGTGAGCATTGGCGAAGATGGTCCAAGTCAAATGGGATTAGAAGACATTGCTTTGTTTAGAACAATTCCTGGTTCGACAGTGTTTTATCCATCAGATGCAGTTAGTACAGAACGTGCTGTTGAACTTGCTGCCAACACAAAAGGCGTTTGCTTTATTCGTACATCACGTCCTAATACGGCAGTGATTTACGCAAACGATGAGAAATTTGTCGCTGGAAAAGCAAAAGTTGTTAAACAATCGGCTAATGATCAAGTGCTTTTCATTGGCGCTGGAATTACGCTTTATGAAGCTTTAAGTGCAGCTGGTGAGTTGGAAAAATCTGGAATTCATGCTCGAGTTTTGGATCCATTCACTATTAAGCCTTTGGATCGTGATGCCATTATTTCTAATGCTAAGCAATGTGGCGGACGAATTGTTGTCGTTGAAGATCATTATCGTGAAGGTGGCATAGGAGAAGCTGTTTTGTCAGCTGTTGCTGACCAACGTGACATTATCGTCAAGCATCTTTATGTCCCAACTGTTCCACGTTCTGGACCACCAACTGTTTTAATCGACATGTTTGGCATTAGTGCACGTAAAGTTATTGCTGCAACTCATGATATTTTGAAATTGTAAAACATTCTCTGCTTGATTTTATATTCCTTTTAGCATAGCTTAAATCTTTTTTTATTCCCTGAAATCATTCCTTAAAACAAAAATTACAGAAATTTAATTTCTTGGAAACTCAAAGTTATCCGGTTGGGCAATAAAGTTTTAAAAATTTTTATTAAACAAAATATTGCAACTTTATTGATTTTTTACTTTTAAAATAATTTCTTCATTCATTGTACCAATCAAGAAATAGAAGGCTGAAGGACATTACAAGGAGAAAGAACAAAACATAAACGCGCAGACCAGCATTTCTTTGAATTGCTTCTTTAATCTGTTCATTAGCTTCACGAACGTTCTCAGTTGCGCTAACAACTGTATTGGAAATGCGCTCGATGTCTCCTTTTTGTAGTGCAACCTAAATTAAAATCAACATTAAATTATTTTAAATCCTGCATCATAATTTTTATTTACCTTCTCAGTGAAAAGATCTTGAAGTTTTGCAATGTCGTAAACGTGTTTTTCGATCTGTTCAACTTCTGCATTTAATCCTTTAAATTCACTAATCATTTGCTTGTTTTCAATCTCAAGCATTTGTAATTCTTCTGCGGTAAGATTATGTTCGAAGTTTTGTTGATGACGGCTTGTGTTAGCATCATCTTCGATAAACATGGTATTTGCACTTGTGTCAGTATCAGCAGATTTACGTGTTGTATCAGGTTTTGTGATGAGTTTATCACGTTCGATGTCATTTTGACTTCTATCTGGAAGTTCATCATTTTTCTCATCAGAATTTTCACCTAAATCCATATCTTCCTTGTATTCAATCCTATCTACTTCAAACTTATCATGTCGCTTCTCAGAATCTAATTTCAAGAATTTATAAGTCTCAAGATCACGTTGAATTCTGTAATTCTTCTGATCGTTAAAAATGTTGTAAACTCCTTTAAGGTAATTCGCTAATAATTCAAAAACTGCATCGCAATGAGTTCTATGTTGTTTTGTCAGATGTTTATTATTGTATTCAGCTTTCAACTCACAAATAAATTGAGTACAAATATTAATGATTTTTTCTGATTCTCGGTCTATGACATCACGTTCTTCATTCGTCATCTAAAAATTTAGGAATAGAAAATTTAACAAAAATTCACATCGCTTTTCACCAAAACACATACCTGAGCAGACCTTTTAAGATGAGAAGCATATTGAATGTATGCTGTTCTGTTCTCAATAAGGAAGTTTCTCAATTGACTGATTTGATATTTTATATCCTTCGTCTTTTTACTGAATTCATCTTTTGGCGATTTTTTCAAAATTCGATTCTTATCAGGTGACACCACCGATTTATTATGTAGTTTTATGGTCTTTACACAAGCTTTAAACAAAGGAGTTATATCCATTACTGCATAGATTGACTAAGTGTATCTAAGATTGAAATAAATTTTAAACAACAAAAAAGAAAAACACGTCAAACTTTAAATAAAGAAAACAAATTCATCGAATTCTATGAAAATATTTGAAGTTGTAAAAACCGTTAAACTTTAAAAGAAAAAATTAAATCAGATATCCTTATTATCTAGGTATCTATATAAAAAACTTTTTAATCAGGCTTTTTTATTTGTAACATTTTTCATGTATTAAAGAAATAAAGCAAGTATAAAAATTAATCTTTAGTTTGATCACATTAGTACAAGAATTTTTTGCTGTAAGCTCGAACAAGTTTTCCAATATCTTGATTTTTATTGTTTTGAAAATCAAGCAATCTTTTTGCAATATCTTTAAAAACTAAAATAGAAAAATCAGAGAAAATTATAATGTATTAGTCATGACAAGATGAACTGGGTAGCAATGTTATTAGCAATCATATTACCGTAAATATTTATGTCAAAATTACATTCTTCAATAATAAGGTTAAGAAAGCTCTCAATAGCAAGATTAACACAGATTTCTTTCGACATAATTAATCCCTCAAACAATATATCAATGCAGCCAATTGAAAGAGCATAATTGATTTGATTTTCGTCCCCGTTACAAATAAGATTCTTTATGAGATAAAGTATTTCTTGTTTGTAATCTCCATTTTCTTTGAAAATATTTATGAGATCTTCAAGAATGTTGTTATCGACGAGTGACTGAATGTGAGTGATTCCTTTGGCAGTTATATAAGAAATCAAAATAAAAACACGATTTAGGATTGTAACGTCTTTGATATAAAGAAGCTTTGGAAGTTCTTTCAGAATGCCGCAGTCAACAAGCATTTGAATTTCGTCAACAGTTTCTGAGGCAACATTGTTACAAACAACTAAAGCAGAAGCAACAATCTTCTTTGATTGATGACTATAGCAACATAAATAATTAATTACATAAGAATAATCAATGTATGTAAGTGTAACCTTAGAAGTTTAACGAATTTTGAAATTGTATCCTTATCAAGTACAGCAGATCTTTCAAAATGCGAGATGTAATTAAACGACCAACATGCAGTGTTAAGAATTTCTTCATCAGAGTGATCAAGATAAGCTTTCAGAATTGGAACACATTCGGAAATCTGCATAAATTTTGGATAAGGATCTTTGTGTCTACATAAGTTAGACAATAACCAGAGATAGTTCCGTTCTGCTTCAAGAGAATTAAGTTCACTCAATAATGTTAGACAATGTGACATGACACCAGCATTCAACAGATTATCACGAAATCCTGCATTATCACCAGCTATATTTCCAAAAGCCAAAATGATATTCTTCTTAACTTCAATAGATTTTGTTGCTTTTAATATTGAAAGGAAAATTTCAGTGCATTTGTTCATGATGAGCTTTGTGTGTCGCGACGGTCCAGCTGCTATATTCGCTAATGTCCAAATTATTTCACCCTAAATACAAACAGGTTCTTGCTTACAAGTTCTTTTAAATAACTTTGAAACAAGTACCTGGATTTCATCATTTTTTGTTTTTTCAAGTAATTCAGCGAGGCGTGAAACTATTCCCAATCTAATAACAGAATCTGCTTTACCTTTCTCAATAATTTTGCGTATTCTTCTTACACCATTGACTCGATTCCGGAATGAAGTTTCCTCCCGAGAAATCCAATCAATTGCTTGATAAATTCCAAACTCTTGAGCTTCAACATAAAATCCACCCATGGTTTCAGATGATAGAGCTTTTAATTTATCTTAAATGATCTGCAATATTTCAATTCTTTTTTTAGAAAAAAGATAAATTAGAAATTTAATATCTATTGTTATCAGAGAGAAGTCTCGAATCATACCAATCATAAAGGTTGCTATAAGAAACACGTCTGACAATAATTGAAAAACTCTTGATTGCTAAGATAAATAAATAAACTTGAACATAAATAAATTTGACAACTTACTCAAATGACTTATTCAGTGAAATCTATCTTGAAAGCATTGCATTGAGTCTAAATTAAAAAAACTGTTTTACAAATCATGTTCTCGTATTTCAAAACATAAATACAAAAATAATCTTCCATTAAAGATTTCGCTAGCCGTCCAACATTTATTGAAACTGAACTTGAACTGACAAAATGTTGGAAATCTTGAAAATTTCCCCAACACGTTCAACTTTCAACTTGACACAAGTTTTTGCATGTCATTAGAATTGATAGTTTTCCACATTTCGCTTACCGTTCTTTCCCAGATTCCGGTGTAAGGGCTTCCAATTTTTAAAGAAAAAGTCATCATTACACATTGTCAAATTATGTGGTAGCGCGAACCTCTGCAGCGCATTAAAATTTTGACATTGTAAGGATGATGATGCAATAAAGAAAACGTTGTTTCCTTCTTTCTTACCAATCGACTCTAAAGTACCTACTTCGTAAGTGTGAAAATCATGTTAGTCGGGAATTGAAAGCTTTAGAATGATGTAGGCTTGATGTTGAACATGGGTGGTTAGATTCCCATTAAAAGATCAAAAAAGTAAGAGAATAAAATTACAAAATTACCCATCAACAATGGTGAAGTTGATTGCTACAATAAAAGCGGTGATTACGAGAGTTATTTTTGCTGCCCATGGGGCCATAGCGATTTGGCAAGTGACACAATATAAAAAGAATCCAATCTATTGGTCGCTGAGTGCTCCGATTGGCCTTCTCGTCCTTGAAGGATTTTTTACTCTGGCTATCAAGAAGAACCAAGAGTGGAGATGGTAAGACATTAAAGTTACTTATCTTAGATAATTATAAATTATTTAACGTAGTGCTTTTTATAAAGCATCTAAGCTTAAATTTTTAATGAATTTTATTTTCCCTGAAAATTCTCTAACAACATTTCAAGTATTTCCGAATCTTTTTGTAATTTTATCTAATTAAAGTTTCCTTTATTTACATAAAAGGGCAATAAATAAGTGAGAATATTAAACTTTTGTAGGAATTTTAGAAAAAGTTGGGTCGTTATGCCAACCTCGTACTCTATGATTAGATTTTTGTTTCATTTCTTTCCTTCTTTTTGTCCAATTTTCATTTCCAATTCATTGCGATTATTGATTTCATCCTTTGGAAGACTTTTCTCTTCTGAAACTGCTTTATATTCAATGAATAATTTATAATTTTAAGAAATATCGTCGAATAGCTTTTGTGGCCTTTGCAATCGTTCAATGCTTTTCAGGATAATTAAATCAAATATTTTTACAATTTGGGAAATTGAACGTTTGATAAAATCTGTGGAACGAATAAATAATAAATGAAAGTGTTTGAAGAACATCCCATTTATTGAATATTTCCATTGATGATTAAATTTAAAGGTACTCAAGATTTCTCTAAGTACACTTATCGCTTTTTCAATTTGTTCAAGATAAGAAAAAAGTTTTCAACTTTATCAAGAAAACATGAAAAAGTTTTAAATACTTTCGTTAAACAACTCTTAAAACATGAGAAAGTTGATCAGCCCAATAGACCATGAATCGTTCAGATGTCGTCAAATTAAACACATAATTGCCAGTTATCATCGGAGCTGTCCAAATTAATTCTTGGTAGCTTCTGAGAGTAACATTCTTTTGCGCTGCATAGTCATTGCCTTCAAAGTCTTCATTAGCACAAGACATCGCTTTACCTAATCCAATTCCAATCCACTCACCAACAGCTGTCGTATCAAAAGTTGAATGTGCGCGAATCAGAAAAGCACCAAAGTCAAAGCTTGGATCAATTCCACGTAGAGTCACGCGAATGTGTTGACCAGGTGAAAAAGTGTTAAAAAATGGATCAGGAAATATTTCAAGTCTTAGTGGAAATGATTCTCTTAATGGTTCAGCTGGAAGTTCATTGCTGCAAAGTGCTTTCCAAATATTTGTGTTGAAATCAGGATCGTCAATCGATGGTGGAGTTTGCGGTTGCGAAAGTTTCAACAGAAACATTGAAAACACTAATAAAACAACTTGAAAGTGTTTCACGCTCATTTTCTAAAACTTGACTGCTTCGAACAATGACTTTCAATCTTTGATACGATACCTTCAATACTGAAACTTTCGAGCAAATTCTTTAAAGTAATTATCTACTTGATAACATTCTATCTTATCCTAAAAATAATTTTATGAGCATTGTGGTATTGTTGAAGCTTAATGTACTTTCATTTTCGATAAGCTTCTTCACATACTCACTTCAGTCTTCTTACCTTCTGTAAATTTGGTCAGCAAGCCACATATTTGCATAAAATTGATACGATGAATAAAGTTTTGATAATTCCTAGAGTATCTATTACAATTTAAATAAATTATTTAATAGAGAAAATTGGTAATTACAAGCCTGACATTCATGACAACATGCAAATAAATATTTACATATTTATTCGGAAAATTTTTCATGTATTTTACTCTCAATTTTGAGTCACTTTTAAAAGTTCAAGAATACTTTAAATTTTCTCATAAATATTTAATTCATTCCTCTTCGTAATGTTATTTTGACAATTTAAAAAAAGAATTTTTACGGAGGCCCACCTTTGGTGAGGTCACCGTATTGTATTCGACATTTTTTTTTGGAAAATTTTTTTTGCTTAAATATGCTTAAAATAGCATGAAACGTCGAGAAAAGTGGAAAAAATGGACTTCCATTTTTCCGTCGCCTTTCAACCCTGTCTGTATGTATGTATGTCTGTAACTTTTTTTTTGTTAACTTTTCTGAGAATTCTTATCAGGAATTTTTCTGAGAATTCTTATCAGGAATTTTTCTGAGAATTCTTTCTAGAGTATTTCCGAGAATTCTTTTGAATAGGACGATCGGTGCGCGTGTGGGAGAGTGAGTGGAAGACCAAGGACAGTCGGAAGGTCCATGGACAGTCGTAAGGTCCATGGACAGTCGGAAGGTCCATGGACAGTCGGAAGGTCCATGGACAGTCGGAAGGTCCATGGATAGTCGGAAGGTCCATGGATAGTCGGAAGGTCCATGGACAGTCGGAAGGTCCATGGACAGTCGGAAGGTCCATGGACAGTCGGAAGGTCCATCTTTCTTTTTATACAAAAATATTAATAAATTTAAATATCTATCGATTAAACAACTCTGATAACAGGCGAAAGTTGATCCACCCAATAAGACATGAATGTTTCAACTGTTGTCAGATTGAAAACGTAGTTTCCTGGTGTTGATGGAGCAGTCCAAATGAGATCTTGGAAGGTTCGCATGTTGGGTACTGATTGTGAAGCGTAATCGTCACCAACAAAATTTTCATTTGTGCATGACATTCCTTGAGCATCTCCAATTCCAATCCATTGTCCAACAGCTGACATGTCAGATTGTGTATGTGCACGAATTAAAAATCCAGTAAATTCGAAATCTGGCAGATTGGGACGTAAAGTTACACGAATAGCTTCACCTGGTGAGAATGTGTTGAATATTGGATCAGGAATTATATCATACCAAAGTGGGAATGAATCTGTTGCAGGTTCTACGACAAAATTTCTAGTACACCAAATATCCCAAAAGAATTCTGGTCCTGGTGGTCCTTGAGAATTAGCAACAGCAATAAAAAATGCTACTGTGAAAATTTGAAGCAATTTGAACATTTTTAAAAGTTTCCAAACGAAATCAACTCAAAGACTGATAATTTTTCTACAAATTTCTTGGTTTTATAATCATTTGATAACACTTACGACGTAATCTTGACGTTAAAGTCCGAATTGCAATCTTATCGTGATTTACAAAAAAAAAGAACTTAAAAATTGATAATATTAATCATTTCTTACTATCACAATGTCTGGAGGAAAGCTTTAAGTTATTTACTATGCAGCTTTAACTTGTTTCGATTTTGAGATGTTTAAAATATTTTTAAGCATATCATTAAACTTGACGGTTAATTTTCTTTTATTCTTTGAAAACTCCATCACGATAAGGAAGAAAAGTTTTTCATGAAATTAGAAAATCGTGAAACGATCACAAATCCATCGGAAATCGGAAGTTGCGTAACAAAAGAAATGATTGAAAGATAAAGAATGATAACCATTCAGTCATAAAAATTTCCTTCTGTCACGAAGCTGAACAACAAATTTCAATGTGAAATGGTCTGTGAAAATTCTTTCAATTTAAAATGTCAGAAACTTTTCTTTCTTTCAGGTTTTGTCCGTCAGTATTTTTGTATTTGAGTTCAGTTGTACCTGCGATTTGGCTGCTCGAATTGGATAAAGTTGAGCGACGACACAAAATTGTGGAAGAGACATTTAATTTTGCAGCCGCAGCGGCGGATTTGAAGGAGCTTGATAAACTGTTGGGTGTTAACATAAAGCTTCCAGATATCCAGGTCGATGCGGAGACGTGGGTGACGTTAATTGAGCAATTTCTCATGCTTGTTTTAATTATCGGTCGTTGGCTCCTACCTAAGGGAGATTTAACGCGTGACCAGCTGAGTCAACTCCTACTCGTTTATATAGGTAAGAAGAAAAAAACGTCTTGGATGATGAATATTATGAGACTCATGTCAAATCCCTTGATAAATCATTAACAGGCACAGCGGCTGACATCATTGAATTTTTTGATTCGTTTAAAGATAAGAAGATTGCAGATGAGCCAATTCTCGTGTTCTTGACGTTATCGATTTGGTCATGGAGCTTAATGCAATTTACAATTGTTTTAACAGCAACACGCTCTCGAAAACCGCGTGGTGCAACGAGTGGTGACGCAATGATTGATGAAGAGTATGGAAATAATTTTATATATTTTATATACGATAAGTGGAAGTTATTGACCGTAATTTTGTTCATTCTTTTTATTGGCATCTTTCCAGATCGAATACTTGTTGCTCTGATTGTTGCTGTTCCATTGACATATGGGGAATAGCTTTGAATATCATATTACAAGACGCTCCTTTTCTTACATTTCGATTGTTGATAATCATCCATTATCAGATTATAAGCTACATGAACGTTTTCTTCACATGTAAGAAATTTGATTCACTCGTTATATATTACTTTGGTTTCCTCAAGCCATCACGTAAATGTTTCGAAAATTATTTTAATGATATATTGTTAATCTTGCAGTAATGGTTGTAACAAGTCACTTGAAGATGTCTTTCTGAAAATCTTGAAGAACATTGGAAAATTTATTCAAGTTTCCAGTTGACTTATGATCAAAACGTGGCTTAAATTATTGAAATTTCAACAAGAATTTATGTTTCAATTTGATTTTAATCTTCTCAAAATGTTTTTATATTCACAAGTGTCAAACTTTTGTTGTTACAAGCCTTGTCAAAAAAAGTTTATTAACTCATATTAAATTGTTTTCATACACATAAAAAAATTCTTCAAAGTATCTTGAAATATGCATTTAAACTTAACTACACTTAAAAATGTGTTCAGTGAAAGCGCTCCTCAAATATTTTCCAAACGATGTTGAAAGTTGACAAAAGCTTTGATGGAAGAGAGTTCAAGAGACTTAAGAAAATTTGCATTATGAACTCTCCTCAGAAAAGTTTCTTTCATTTGCCATTAAAAAAAGTTTTCATGTTCATTTTTCTTAAAAGTGTAACAAATTTACATTTGTTCGTCCACTTTTGCTTTTCTTTTGAAGGTTTTCTAAGAAGACAAAATTCAATGGTCAAAGGTTGAAGGCATTGGAAGGCATAAATATAATTTTCCACATCCACACACAAAAAACCCCAAAATAGACTTCGTTAACCCTTTTCAAATTAAGTATTTTCCTTTTCTTCCAAACTTTCTGTTCTCTACAGGTAAAAACACTCTGGTTATTCTTTTACAACTTTATCGACTTTATGTGGTTCATACCGAAAACAGGAAGAGCAAAATGAAAAAGAAAAAATTGAAATATCATCAAGATAGAAGTCGACAGTCAAAGGGGAGTAGAGGACGAAAGTGGGACTCCGATGTTTACATTATCTCGAATGAGAAATCGAGTAAACATAAAAGAAGGTCAGTTGAAAACTCTTGATCTTCTGTGATATTTTTCTATCTACAAAAGGGTCGAGCTAAATATGTCATACACATTATTTCTACATACGTCAAAAAAAAAAACAAATAATAATAACAAACAAAGTCTTTTCCCTTCTTCTTAATATTCAAAGCGGAAAAAGAATGTTTGAAATTTTTGCGACATAACATGAAAATATTTTATGATTGACATTTAAAAACTGACTACAGAACAGATTTCAATCTCTTATATTCTGCTATAATTCCTCCCGTCTTATAGAAGACATGATGGTGACAGCAGCGAAAGCGAAAACGATGATAATAGGAAGCGAGATAAAAAGAAGTAGATATGTTGACAAACGAAAATTGCTTGGAATGCATAATAATGATAAATAAATTTTGCTCGTTTTCAGAAGCAAATCAATTCGTAAAGATACGGGTTACTCAACTGGTAGTTCTCACGACGATAAAGGCCGTGGTGGGAAAGAGTCAAAGCGTCGAGATAAAAAGAAATCACGCAAGGATGATGATAGTCCCGAAAGGTCAACAAAAAGACGAGGAAAAAGTCGTGAAAGCTCAAAAGAAGAAGAGGAAAAGTAAAATTTCCATTAGAGAAGATTTGGGCTGGTTTTTTTTTTGATAAATTTCTGACCCAGTGAACTTTTTTTTTTTGATTTGTCTTAAACTTTTTTGAGGCTTCTTCATTTTACGCTAATTAAAATAATACTAACTTCAGCTTTTCTTTCTTTCTTTTTATTTTAATTTTTGTTTTTGTCCTTCTTTTCATCCTTGAAAATCTCCAATTTCATATAAATTTAATTTTCTCGCTCAAATACAGCAAATTACAGAGAATTCATTAGAAAGAAATTCTTTTTTTAGTTACTGACGCATAATGATAGAATGATTTTAATACAATTATATATTTCAGATCAAAGCGTCGCTCAAAGAGGGACAAAATTGAAGAAGAGTCCGCAAGTGAAAGATCGACAAAAAAGAAATCAAGAAAGAAACGTTCAGCCTCAAGCTCGTCATCCAACTCGTCAGATTAAATGAATCTGTTTGTTGATATGAAATTGCTATCGCAGCATTTTTATTGTGCTTGTTGTTTAATGACAAGAAAAAATTTGTTGTATTTTTGGATTGTGCTCTGGGGGATGCTCAGCGGTCGCCGGAAAATCCTCTCTCGAACACGCACAAAAACAAAAACCGAGAATTCGTCTCGGCAAAATATTGAGCAAAGCTCATTATTTAAATTAAAAAAAATTGTTGGACAACATTTTTCATTTGGTGGAAACTTGCCTCAAACTTGGAAATATATTTGCTTTCAGATGGTTCAATGACTTTGAAAACATCTTTTGAAGGTGGATGCAAAAATGTTTTGTAAATATTTGCTCTCAAATGCTTTTGTGAAGAATAAAGTATCTAAATATCTAAAAATCTTAATATTTTTCCATTGGTCTTTGCCAATTATGTTGATATAAGTTTCCCACAGTTAGATTCTTAACTGAACTTTCTGATGATTTCTTATTCTTCTTAATTACATCTTCATCTTTGTATTCGCGAGAATTGTTCCAGATGCACGTCAATCTAAGTATGAAAATGGAAACAAGAACAATGTTTCAATGCACTCTCAAATCATGAATAAAACATAGCGGTTAACATGAGTTCATTTGATAAGCTTTGATCTTTGATCTACTTTGAAATTTGCAAATGACAATACTTAGAAAAAACTTACCTTAAAATGAAATAGTAGAGTATCTCAATTAGAGAAAGTACTGATACACCCACGAACAAACCAAGTAATCCTCCTGAACATAAAGTGAAATAATTATACGAGGACAGATTTACTGTCTTTTATTTTAAAATTAATTGAAAAAGTTCTCTTGAGATTTTGAGAAATTTCTTTCAAGAAACGACTCAACATTTATAATCTCAAGCTTATTAAAAACTTTCTTACCACAATTCGCTAAAAAATCGATAGTTCCGTAAAGTTGAAAGCGCTTTAATGGAACAAATTGATTTTCCTTGAAGAAAACTTTCATAATAGCGGTGCTGTTAGTTTTTCCTAAACTGATCTTACGGGTCTTCACTAGTTCAACGTCATATTCCAATGCATTGCATTCTGATAAACATTGACATGATGATAAAGCTGCATATTTTTCTTTACGATCTAAACTTTTCGAGTAGATATCGCCATTGAATAAATCAAACTTAGCTTTTTCAAAACATTTAAGCTCAGTTGCATCGCATATCTTTGTTGTGGCATCACCTAAAAATAATTCATTGCTAGAAGGTTTTAATATTTCTTACAAAAGATAAAGAAACTTACGAATGACGCTGTATTTAACACATCCGCATTGACTTCGAGTATAATTGCTGGAAATTAAAAAGTTTTTCATTTCTCTTTTATTTTTTTAAGTGTTTACTTAGAACATTTTCCTACCTAAGACATTCTTGTTCGCAATTGTATTTTGTGTATTGTTTAAAGAATCGTAGCGCCTTCTCTCCCTCGAAATAACAATTTCGTCTGTAAATAATAAGTAGAAAGAAAAATATATAAAAATGATGATTCAAACTCGATAGGTTTAAACATTGAATCCATTCAAAATAACTTTTGTTTTTCTTCAAGAACAATTTCAATCAACGTTAAAGAAATATTTGTGGCGAACTCTTAGATAAGTTCTGTTTAAGTTCAATCACTTGAAAGTTTAATGAGCTATTTCTGTGTTTTTAAGCTTCTTGCCATTTCCCACACGAAGAAATGTTCAATGATAATAAAAGCAGAAAGTGAAAAAATTCAAAACGTGACAGAACTTTTTATTGAGAAGCTTAGGGAGGATTGTTTCGCATGAGAAAAATGAATTGGAATAAGAAATCCCACAAAACAATTTTTAAGACATGAATATTACAGGGAAAAATTGATAGAAAGAAAATCCTTTTTGATTCGAAGGAAAATTTTATCCACTTATTCACATCTGTGAGTTTATGTTAATAAAAGCACCCTGGTGTGATTTTCTATACCATTAAGAACCGAATGTCACACAATCAACATGCTACGACCAGACAGTTTTGTGTTAAATTCCTTCAACATTTACATTTCGAGCCCAAAGAACTTACCTTTCCAAATTGTAGCTTCCCAAATCCTCTTCTGTTGTTATCAGTTTCGGCTTTATTAAAACTTCAGTAAGCTCTCCGAATTGTAATTGAAAATTATTCGTCGATGACTGTAACTCGTTTGGGCTATGAACATAGAAATTAAAACCTTCAAATCTTGAGCACCACCAATCAACTGATGTTATGGCAGAGTTTAAAGTTAAAGTCAGACCGCTATCAGGGGCCGAATGAGTTGAGATCCATGGGAAATCATATGTAGAGTTCATCCTTTCCTGTGGCATATCCGAGTTAGTATTGATTTCCCTACTGTGCATCATGATATCTCTATCGTAATGAAAGTCTGGGGAAACTCTGTTAAAAAGATAAGGAAAAAATGACTTTTTCTTCGATTTAACCACCCTCGGGCATCCATAAATTCATACTCTTTAAGATTCATAACATCCGAAGCGTTCATGATATTAAATGTAAAACAGAATCCGAAAGGCGTTAAACGAAGTGAAAACGGAGCTTCATAAATTTCGTTCCAAGACCCTGACTGATCCTTAAACCATTCCAACTGCGCTCTCTCACGTAATATGGCAATAAGATTTGTGGTTTCTCCAATGAAGTTAACTGCATTTAAATATTCTGGCTTGCATAACAAAAGAATGGCCTGAAGTCTTGTTTTGCTAAGTATTAAAGTCAATTAAATCAAGTATTTAACAAAATTCAAGTATAATCAACCCACTCAAGTGCATTAAGGGATGAGAAATCAAATGAATCACCCTCATCGACAATATCACGAAAATTGAATTCAGAATCTTGAAAAATTGTTTGAGTTTCCGCGCAAACTGAAATGTAACGAGAAAAAAACACTTCATGATGAAGATACGAAGTGAAATGTAAATTTACAAAACAAGGAAGGAATTAGAAGGGCATAAAATGAGATTAAATAAAAGTAGGTATATAAGTATGCATGTTCAAAAGGCGATATATTTGCTTACCAGTAACAGCTGGGAAAGGTATCTGAAGAAGAAGGAATTTAATTTAAAAGTAATTAATCCAAAGTACTTTGTTGTGTTGCAACATGTTGCTAAGAAGTTAATAAAGTTGAAAGTGGTTCATTTACCTCTTTAATTCTTGTTGGTTGTTCTGCTAAACTGACAGTTATTGGATTTGTTTGCAATTTATTGAACGTCTCAGAAATCAACAACGCACAGCCAATCGTTGAAATAGTAAAAATAATCATCCAGAAAAATCTTTCAATCCATGGTCGAGATGTTGCTGCCATATACTTCATAAAAAATATTTATAAGCATGACGAAGTTGAAACATTAAAAGCTTTTATGATTCTTCAAGTTAAAATTAGGTTTACCTTAAAGCCATGAATGGTTGTATCGTTACAGTAATCTAAGATATACTGATACACAGCTGCCCATTTTATCAACCGCTTTTTGGACGCAGACTTTTTTATAGAATTTTTTTCCTTCTTTTCAGCCATCAATTTTGATGAATTAGGAGGTCGCCTTAACTGACGTCTTTGAGAATTTTACAAAGTGCTTCTTGAAAAGTCTTTGAAGAACCTTTTCTTAAACATGTTCATGTAAGAACAAATTTTGTTTTTATATAGAAATAATAAGGAAGGAGAAAAGGCGGAGATGGTAAAAAGTTCTCAGAATTGAAAGAAAAGAAATGAAACAAAGGTAAAAACCATGATAAGATTTCAAAAAGAATGTATCTAAGTGATTACATTAGACTTTCGCGTTATACTTTGGTCAATTAATCTTCTAGCAAGAGGAAATTCAATTTTGATTTAATAATCGTTAAGTCACTCATATTTCCAGTAATATTCAAGCCCATTCGAGAAGCATCGGTGATAAAATCATTAATCTGATTATGGAAGAAGAAGGCTTATCAAAAGCCATAACCTGGCTTCAGTTATCTGCTGAAAAAGACACGTTTCAATTTAAAATGACAGCAAATGTATAGAAATTGAAGCTTGCATTATAGCCAGGAGGAGAATTATTTGATTGGAAGCTTAAATAGTGAACAAATTAATCGGAAACATTCAATGTAAATTTTGAAGCTTTTAGAATTACAAATTAATTAAATAGAAAATGTACAAGCAGAATTTATAATGGAAAATATTGAAAAATTAAATAAATTGATAACATTGTGTGACTTTAAAGATCAAAATATTTCTCAGCTCTCTCTCCCACTGGTTATCTACAAAATACCAAAGCTGCTTATTTCGTGGTAACGGAAATGAAGAAAACATTCCATCCTGTCCCTGAACAAATCATCAAACTGAATGTAAAGCTCTAAATATGCGGATTTACAAGAATTTTCCATATTTTCTCTCTTCCAGATGAAAATGAAATGATTTTTGAGATTCTTTTTTCCTCAAGCGAAAACTGCCTGCTTTATGCAAAAGATTTTAACGAATATTATCAGATATGCAAAAGAACTTATGTAGAAAAAAAGAAATCAAATGAAAGCTTTATTTTTAAATTTGAGATGAAAACTGATTCAATTAAATTGATTGAGATAAAAAAATAGCAAAGCTTAGAGTGAGATGTAAGAATGCTTTCTTCTCGGAAATAAAGCATGATTGAAATGTGTTGGCTTCAAATCAAAAGTCTAGTTGGAAGCCTTTTTCAAGATCATTGAATCAAGTTTAAATGTAAATTCAATTCTGCACCAATGGAATCGAAACTTCTGTTTCAATAGCAATGAATTTTTATGATTACCTGATATTTCATGCGTTTCCAATTCACATCAATTCATAAAATTATTTTTAAATCTACTTATCATTAAAACGATGTCTTTTCAAAACATGAAATCGTTTTTCAATCGCTTCGAATTTTTAATGTTGCCATTAAAGCGTCAAAATATTCCTTTCTGTTGTTGTACATTTTATTTAAGCTAACTGAACCGAAGCTCTTTTTGTATATTTTTCCTTCTTTAGTTAAAAATACTTATTAAACGTGTGCTTTTAAAACATTTTATATAAAGAAAACTCTATGAACTTAATAATGGCTAACAAACGTGAACGTTAATAAAGAATAAAAAGTTTATAGCAAATTTCTGTGAAACGAGTAACAGGTATGAACTCCGTGGAAGTTCATTGGTTTACAAAAAAGGACGTCACACTGATGTGCTGTGCGATGACATCCTTAGTGTGAACGTAAGCTTTTACTAGATTATTTTTATGCTCTTCTAACATGTCATAAATTTAGGTGACAAGAGAAACACATTTCGATGTTTTATGGCTTTGAACAATATTGTTATTGTGTGGTGTTTTATAATAAAAGGAAAATGCTGAATATCTTTCTAATATACAAAGGATGAAATATGTGGTAAAAGATAAGTTTAACTTAATTCGTTTACTCTTTCAAAGCGGAAGCTTTGCAAGCAATAAAATTGAAAATTAGATGTAAAAATTCTAGACGTCATGAAATTTCGTTTTATTTTCAAACGAAGCTTTCCACAAGAGATTAAAAGTCAATTGCTTGGCAAAAGTAAAATTTAAATGAAAAAATCCATCAGTTGTGATTTTTCATTATTTCATTTTGTTTTTTGCTCTTTTTATGAACTTCCTACAAACCGTAAATCATGATTAATGTTTTATGCTTTTCTGTTTCAATGGAGGTGGAAACATTGCGGGTGAAATCCGCACGCTTGTGTATTTATCTTCTCTTATTTATTTGGAAAAACTGAAATAAAATCACTTCAAATAAGAACAAATAAATATTTCAAGAGAAAAATGGCAGTAAGTGCTTTATTTAAAGTTTGAATGTGAATAGTTTTGTAGTTGCGTGATGAATAAAGATAAGAAAATTAAAGAAATAAAAAGTTGTGGTCAGTCAGTAAATTGAGTGTTGAAATAAATGATTTAATAACTGTGCCTAATGTCATAAATTAAGTATAGCTTGACATGCAATCACTAATTTTATATATTTTAGAGTCATTAGGTTTGTTCAGTCTGAGTAAATATTAAATTTTTGCAATTTGACGTTGAATATCATAATCCTTGATGTTTTTCTTCGAGAATTTGTTTTCCCTATTTTCACGTGATTTTTAAAAATTATACTAATTAACTCTTAAAAACACTAAATTGGAACGCTTAAAAATATTTTTATTTTGAAGAAATCTTTTCCAAAGAAAAAATACTGAAAATTTGTGTTTGAAGAGACAAAGAAATATTAGTTGACATCAACATCATCTTCATCATCGTCTATCGAAATATTATTAATATCGAAATTTATTTTTATGCGAACGTGATTTGCGTTCGTGATATTTTTAGCACAATTTTCTTTTTCACATTTGTCTATTCGACCTCGCCTCGAATTTATCTTTGCACAATATTCAATTAGGCATTTTCGTTTCTCAATTCGAATTTTTTTTGTTCTTTTCTTCTTGGCATGATTTTTTTATAATGAAATAACAAATCTGTAGATGAATTTCCTTTTTCTTTTTGTATTGCGATCAGAAGTAATCAAAAGTTTTTTTCCATCACCCGAAAAATGTTAGAAATTCTTAGGAAAGAGTCCTAAGTAGTCAATCAAATTAATCAATAAACACCCACAAAGATCTTAATTGGGTTTGACAACCTTATTGGTTATTTTCATCTCGAGTGTTGTTCAACAGTTAACGAACCATGAGGAAAGATGTCTAAAGAAAAACTTTCATACTGACTCTTCTGTTTCTTTACCTTATCTATGTGCTTTTCCTTACTCACTGAAATACTTATAAGCTAGAAAGAAACTTTTTTGTCACGATACTTTTAGTTAGATTCACAAAACTTCTGCTTTGAAACTAAAAAACTTTTCTATCTCGTGGGCTTTATACATTTGTGGAGCAGCAGGTAGCGTTCTGGTAATCAATTAAACAATCTTTTGTTTCGTTATGCTCCACTTGTTGTTTGAAAATTACTTTACATGTAACATTTAAATGTTTAACATGCAATGAGTAACTATCCAAGCTTTTATGAAAATTTAATTTGGTTTGCCTTGAAAATAGCGAGACAAAGGAATTTTACAAAACTGTTTTAATGTATACAAATACAAAATATTTACCATCGTCATAAGCACTTTAAATTTTTCACATAAATGTTTAAATCAAAGAAGAAAAGTTTAAAGAATTCATTTTTCACTTTCATTTGAGAAAAATCCTGAAAAATGTCGTGAAAAAATGAGCTTTTAAAATAAAATATTAAAATAAGAAGAGATGGAGAAAAGAAAGAAAGTACAAATGATGAAATATTTTAGCGAATTTTTTATGAAAACTTTTCTCAAAACCATTCTATAAGGAATCCTTTTGGTAACTTGAGAAAATTTGTCTTCATTTTACTGTAAATAATGTGACTTAGTACCTGACTAAATATTTATAAATGTTAAAGAAAATCTTGGAGTGAGAAAAATGTTTTTATCCTTCTCAGAACTCGAATTCAAAGAAATGTTGAAATCATATTTGATTTTATTGTGAGATGTTTAAAAAAGGCTTCCACATTTGTAAGAGAATCAAACAAAATATTTGTCACAACATTCGGTTACAAACTTTATTGTTTGTTTGACTGAATTATTTCCCTTTTTAACACAATACACAATGAGCAAACGGCATGATAAATTTTGTAGTGAATTTAAATTTTTCTCTTAAAGAGAAATTGCTACAATTTCTCGCTACATCCACAACAGATCAATCTTAATGTAAAGCTTTTCAATGTGTTACCCTTTTTAAGATTTACATACCTTAAAGAATACTAAACTCGATCAAACCCCTTTTCTTCACTTGTCTTCAACTTTCATCACTTCAGTCTTGAGAAAGATTCACTCGATTCATGAAAACTATAAAAATGAAGCTTTGCCATTTTCCTCTCCTTCGCATAAATGTCATAAAAATCTTATTTATAGTGATTTTATTTATTTTTCAAGTACCTATCTGGATACTTCTTTTTTTTCAATCCTGCTGTTTCTTGTGTTTCAGCAGATAACAACAAAAACAAGCAGCAGACAAAGATTATTTTTAAAAGATATTTTAATTTATTTCTCCTCTTAAGAAGGAAAAGTTTCTTTTTTTCGTTTCCAAAGAGGAACGAACTTAAAGAAGCTTGTCAAACTATTTTTCTTGTTTATGATGCTTAAAATGGTTAGTGAGATTGTACAAGATTTTTTTCCTTTGGTATTCAACTTCCTTTCGACAATATTGTCCTAAGAATGGTGGGCATTGATACTTTACTGTTTCTGTCACGAGGGTGTCTCCATTGTTTATGTCAGTAAATTCGAATTCTCCATTTGCCTTCACTGAAATGAAAATAAAATTTGTTTCAATCTGATATTTTCAAAAAATTAAATTTTAGTCTTTATTTACAACAAAAGACACTAAAGAAGCAGGATTTATGAACAGATTCAACCAGATAGAGATACTTTCGATCTCTGATAACCTTCCGAACGTGGAAGTTGGCATTTATTTTGTTCTTCCAATGGGGCCAGCCCGACATTGACTCTATATACTCAACCGTATATTTCCAGTCCTCATTGTTTCCATGATCTGATAATATTTTAAATTCATGAATCGTTGGATTCAGACTTTTCATTTTGCTAAAATCAGCAACAAACTCCCAAACAGTCACCGGTTTCACATTCTTTATTACTTCTTGGATTTCATAAGTTTGATAACGCGAAAAAAGCAAAAGATAAACGAATATGACGGCACAGATGCCGAACATGTACTTTCGTTTGCTTTGCCGGCCACGATTTGTAAACATTTCGCTGCAAAGATTGAAACAACACTGAATAATTTTATCTCAATAGTTTCCGTTTTCTCCGTTTGAAATGTCTTTTTTTTTGGTTTCTCGTTTCAATTTGTTTACAAAATATTTTAAGTTATTCTGTGTATGGATATTGTACGAAGAATTTCTGAATGTGTGTGCATGGAACTGACAACACATAACCGCTCCAAAGAATCATAGAATGAAAGAAAATGAAAGATTTTTTAAAAAAATAACCAGATGCTAGTCATATTGTTGATTTAAACTGCTGTTCATCGCTTGTGTGGGTGAAGATCATTTGTGAAGCAAATTCAAGAGCAACAAAGATTTGCGGGCTTTCAAAAGTGATTTGTTTTGAAAGCAGTTGAAAAATATTTTTAATCATTCTTGCATCTGTATTTATGTGGAAAAGAGATTTAGGTGTTCACGAAAAAATTTCAGAACTAATTTTCCTAAACATCTCTGAGCAGTCAGGTAGATGTAAACAAAGAAATAAATTAGATGGAAATTTTTCAGGCTGATTAAGAATTTATCTTTAAACTTTTCATTTAATTTAATTAAATTTACTTATCCCCTCACAAATATTTGCTTCTTGATGAAATAATCAATGTTAGGAAACTTTCAAATTATCTTGATGTATAATGAATTAAAAGTTTTGAAATCGTCTGTCTTCATCTAAATAATTTAAATAAATAATAAAGAATTAAAAGAAGAAAATCGATCCATTAAATAAGGAATGGATTTAAAAACTCCTTCCTTGAAACTTAATTTCAATCATCAAGAACAAATAATTCTTCTCCAACATATATCTTTATGTTATAAAGATCTATATAATGTTATTCAGTTCATTCCACCACTGTAAACAAAAATAATTGAAAAGCCTTTTGAATCCCTTTGCTTCTGTAAATTCGACAATCTGATACTTTATAATCGTTGTGTTATATCCAGTTACGTAATTAATCTCTAAGCTCTGAAACCCTCGTAGATTTTACAATTTGTAAGCCTTTTCGAAGCAATTCTTGTTTAGGTTAAATACAGGGGAAAAATCGATTGTGCAACATTTAAACATTCCACTCTGCTTATTTAAATTTCTGTCTACATTATGCATCTTTTATTTTCTGATGTTCTTTACAGTAGTTTGAGGAAACAGAACAATAGAACTTGTTGCATAACTGCATGTATTAAGCTATCTCGAATGTATGCATAGCTTATAAAGCTGAAACAATATTTTATTTATCCTTGATCATCTTTATCAGAGTGCACGTTGCATAAATTTACAAATTGTGTTCTGTGAAAATTCTGTTTTTAGCATGACTCGTCTTGAATGTTGATTCCCCACACTCAGTTGATTCGTGAGTGAATTCAATCTGAAATTAAATAAGCGAAAGCATTCATTGAGTGTAATCCATATAACGTTTTATCACATTGCTCATCAATGTTGAAATAAATCCCGTCGTTCATATCACATCTAATTTAAGGAAGATAATTGGAAACTATTTTCTCATTCCCCCTCTTTTTCTTGTCATCAAATTCTTGTCTCATATTTCTGCTTTTCTGCCTCAATTTACATTTTCTCATGGGATGTTTACGTTTTATCATGTCATCATTCAGGACACAAAACATGATGCTAGAATAGAAATGGGGACACATAAATAGAGCATGTACATACACATATTTATTTAGCTTCGTTCTTCTTTCTTCCTGTTGAAATAATGAGGCATGATGGAAGTTAATTGAGGAACATTCCAATTAAGGCTAACTTTAAATACTGGAAATTTAATTGTTCTTTCATCAGCAAGCCATAGACGTAAAACAAAATCATGACGTCATGCTGAACCACAAAGAAGAAAAATAGGACAGAAGAATAATAATAATAATAATAAAATTCGGTAGAGAAGATACATTTTCCACCTAATTAAATTAGCATCTGAACGTGTCAACTGTTGGACAGGCGTATAGTCCCATTTTTAGGGAAAAAGAATAAGAAAAAGGAAAGAAAAATTCTCCTTTGACCTAAGCTTTGACAAGCAAATTTCATCAGAAGCCATAGGAAAATTCATTTTAAGTTCAGGACGATACCTAGACGTGCTGCGAATAAGCGATTGATGATGATGATTATGGTAATAAAAGTTCATGGTGACAACGCTTTTCTGAAATTTTGTTACCACGTTTACCCTTAACATTATTTCATAAGCTACGAAGTCTCTGTTTCTGTAAGCAGACAGATACTTAATAGGCATCTGTAAATGTTTGTAATTAGATTCAACGCGAAATTAATTTCAAAGTTAAATGAAGACAAAAAGCTCTTCAAAAAATGTGTAGGAAATTTCCCGATGGAAATTTTGAGACGTAAAGTTTCGTTGATTGTTACATGCTTTCTTTCAAAAAATTGGATTTTAGAAGTTGAATTATGTCAATTAAGTTAAGCATAGCTAATATTTCTATTTGTTAATTATAAAAACAAGCAATATTTGTATATTACAATGCAATGGTGGAGAGTAGAACAAGGAAAAAATACGAGCTTTTTTATTAATGACCTAGTTGTGGTCTTTCATTTGTTCGGTGAAATAAGTAGGTAAGCATACTTATTAATAATTAATTTAAATAAACATCATGTACACATATTTATGAAACTATGGGAAATCATAAATTATGTTAAAAGCTTAAACATAGGTTTATGATATAAAAATCTGAGGTTGTTTTTGAAGTGAAAACCACTTATGAGTTCAAGCATCGAAATTTGAAATATTTTCAACTTTGTGACTCATGACATAGTAAATTATTTCCGACATCATAAATAACAAAACCACTAAAGTCAACTCTTCAAAGTATTCAAATTAATGTTGTAAAAAGCTATGAACCATGTAATTTATTTAAAAAAGAGCTTTAAAAAATTGTTTGCAAAGCTGAGCTTTCAGATTAATGAAAAACATAAAAAATATATATATTTGCTGTTGTGTAACATTTATTAATGGAAAAATTTAACTTCAGCATATATCTGATTATTTTTTTTGATTCATTGTGAATTTTAACTGGAAATGTTGGGAAGGATCATGCATGAAGTTGGTATTTATGATTATAGAGAGAGAGAAAGGAAAAAATATAAAACAACAAGAAATAAATGAGATTAAAATTTTACTATGTAGAAAGCAAAAAAATGAAACATTAATGCACAACATGCAATCTATTTTTCAATCATTAAATCACTTCTATGAGTCAACTGCACCTGGTAGGGTGAAACATGAAAAATCCATTTAAACGGATATTGCCAAGGACAAATAGTGGGACATAAAACAAAGTTTCAGCTCACCATGGCTCACTAAGTGAATTCTGCGTTAAGCAAACAGTGACGAAAGAATAAATATGCTGCATAGAGGAAAAAAGTTTGTTTATCGAATAAATTTTCATAATTATTTTAATTACATGTTTCATGTATGTAGTTAGGCGAACGTTCTCAATTTATTCTACCAAGTTCATTCTCCCGGGGTTTTGAATTCAGAAGTCTCGTTGATGTACCTAAAGGATTTTTCTGGTTGCTTACAACATGGAACCGAGTATATTTAATGAACCGTATCATAACTTTGGGAATCAAATAAACTGCCGAGAATATTTGAATAAAAAAATGTATTAAGGGAAGACAAAAACAAATAAATGTAAATGGCTGTTTTATGTGAAGGAATAAATAAATAAAAAACAGTCAAATGGAAACCAATAATGACATTCATTTATATATTGTTAACAGTTTATCGTGAATTTTATGTTGCTAAACGATAAAAAGATTATTTTTCTCTTTTGGGTTCTTATTTCCATGCTTTTTTCATTTAGTTGCTAACTAAAGCTTTGTTGAATAAAATTCTAATTTGGTGAAAAGCGGGACACATTTGCATATTACGACAACAGTTTTATGTTTTTTATTTACACCCTACACTGTGTGACGATAAATTGTCATTTAAGCAAATTCAGAAGCTTCAACTTTGTCGCCTTGGAAATGCTTGTATACAAATTACAAAAGCTTAACACGACAACGCAGTTACCTTAATGTTTTAGGTAGCATTGTTCAGTTAGATACGTTGCCTGTAAACATTATTTTTCTCCCTTTTTCTCTCTTCTTTTGAAAATATAAAAATAGAAGAAAAAAAGTTGTTCTGAAAAAGAAAAAAAATTATTTATAAAAATGCGCCTCGTAAAACCCGGCAGAAAATTATTCCCTCACAGAGAGAATTTCCCACAGCACTAGACATTTTTCATAGTTTTTCTTTGCTATGCAAACGAATTAGACGCGATGTTTTGGCGGGCTGCCTCGCGCGATTTAAATAAAGTGAGAAACACTTTCAGTTTTAGCGAATTAAAAAAAATGATGAGAAAGAAGCGATAAAATCTGCAGCACGAGACTCGAAGATTTATTTTAAAAATCATTGAGAAAAAGAAGAAAAAAACTCACGTCAAGAAACAAAACTGAGGAAATTTGTTTCGTAAAGCGACAAATCACATTTGCTCAAAGAACGTTGAAGTGATCGGTTTGTGATCTTAAGTAATTCAAATTCTTCATTTTCACTTTCTTAGTAATCATCTGTGAAAAAAATCTAAATCTGATATTTCAAATGCGTTTACTTATTTTATATTAAATTAAATGTGTGAAGAGTTTGAAAGTTTGATTATAAAATATTTACGTGATGCTTCAATTTATACTGAAGATGAATGCGTTTGGGAAATCATAGAAAAAGAGCCATTTGGCAGATGTCTGATAGCAAAACGCGACATACAAGCCAATGAGTTAATACTTTATGATAAGCCATTGCTAATAGGGCCACGCGTTAACAATTATGATAAAATATTTTGCGTATGCTGTTACAAGATTCTCACGAAATTGACGCTTTGCACTGCTAAATGTAAATTTCCAATTTGTCACGATTGTGCCTCCAGCAAGCAACATAAAAAGGAATGTGAACTGATTAAATCCTGGGGGTTAAAAGATGAACCGCGTTATTCAAAGCATCTATTTCGTGCCTTAACAGTGATTCGCGGATTGCTGCTGTCAAAAGATGATACTAAACTCATGTTCATGATGGCGAGTCATGAAAATTCATCACAACAGAATCTTGAAGTCGAGAAAATAATAAATGAGTTCGAGAGCTTGACAGCTGACTGCGTCACAATTCGAACCTTGAAAAAGATCTCTTCCGTCCTCAACACGAATGCTTTCGAAGTGGGAATAGCATTCAACGACTCTGGACCTGAACATAACATTAGCCTTCGTGTGAGTATGAAACCTAGAAAGTTTTTAATGTTCATACTATTAACATGACTTTGTATTATATGCTTTCGTCCTTCTGGTGCACTGCTGATGATGTTAATAAATGTTTTTATGACGGGGCAAATACGTTTAATGATCGTGCAGGGCCTTTATCCGCTTGCTGCTGTTATGAACCACAATTGCGTTCCTAATATACGATACGCTTACGAGAAAAACTCTATAATGGCTGTGCGCGCATCGAAATTTATCCCCAAAGGTGAACAAATATTTAATTCCTACACGAAATTCCTTTGGGGCACACAACAACGACGCGTTCATCTTGCTTATTCAAAGAATTTCCTTTGTGAATGTCAGAGATGTCTTGATCCAACTGAACTTGGTAGCTACATAGCAGCTTTAAAATGCATTCGCCCAGGATGTAAAAGTGTCATGTTGCCAAATGATCCTTTAGTTGTGACATCGATGTGGGAGTGTAGAGAGTGCAACTTGAAATTGGATCATGCTCGCATCTCGAAGATATCTGATATATTTTCAAAACAGATTTTTCAGAAAATTCTTAATGAGCCAATAAGTGCAATCAATCATTATTTAAAGGAAAAACTCTCAAACATATTACCGTCTTCCAATCAATTTACAATTGAAGTGAAGCTTCAAATCATTTTAAGGATGAAGCAAGATCCTAATTACGTGATGACTTTGGAGGATTATGAAGATGTCGAGAGATATTGTAATGATGTGCTGTTTATAATTGATCGATTGGCGGTTGGTGAATGCTACGTCAAGGGTCTGCTTTATCATGAGCTTTTAACTGCAAAGATGAAATTAGTGGAACTTCGTAACCAAGGATTTGATAACGTAAGACAATAAAATGTTTTTCTATATTTATCCATCTCATTTTTGCTGCTTTCTCGCTATTGCTTCAATAACATTCTTCACATGAAATCAACTTTCCAAGCAGAGCTTCCATCACTGCAATTATATAAGTATAAAGTTCACTTTGAAACAATTGATTCACACTAAGGTAATATTATCAACGTAGATGTAAAGGTATTCATGTCTCCACTGTGTAATCGATAGATTAACTTAACAATTGTTTCTTGTAGAATTAATTAAATTCTCTTCCATATCAATCATTGCATTGCATTGTAGCAAAATCCAAAAGTTTTCATTTGTTGTCATGGAATTTGCTAAACGTAAACTTATTATCTTATAATTTCTCAAATATGCAACTAAAAGAACCTTTTAATTGTGATAATACTAAGTTTTCATTTGAACACATTATAAACATAATTAAATTTTCATGCTCTTGAAAACTCCCTTCCGCAAATAATATATTCGTAATCCCCATCAGCAAGGTTTATTTACAGGAAAAAAGTTTTGTGTTTCACAGAATTTGTAGAAAGCTTCACATACGATTATTACACCATTCCTTCACATTGCTAAATTAAATGTTCATTGTTGAACTTGAAAGCTCAAAGCATTAAGATAATAAATAAACTTTTCATTTCATCTCCCCCTAGGATACCCGAAAATACTTTGCTGAAATGCTTCAAAAGTGTTGGTTGATACTTGGAAATACGACAAAGGAACCTAAAGACTTGAAATCTCTTATAAAAAATTTCTAATAAATCAAAAGAAAAGTTTGAGTTTTCTTTAAAATATTGCAGTCTTTTTAGTTCTGACTGTAAACGATTCTCCTGACTTGTTTAATAATGAAGTGAGTTCAGGTTTCGTTGTTGGATGGGTAATAAAAATTCACTTTACATAACTTTTGCTTTTCGCTGTCATGTGGATTATTTAAATAAACTTAGAAGCTTCCAAATATTTCGATAACATCAACTTTTGCTTATTAACCACCTGCGTAATCAAAATTTTTAAATGTTTATTTGCGAACAGAACTAAATGTGTCAAACACATCAACACAGATTGTTAGTAGATAAATGAAAATGTCACATTTAGTTAATTTCAATGACAGTAATAATAATTATAATTGTTTGTACATTTTTTAGTGTCGTAATTAATTTTTTTATTTTCGTTCTGCTATTTCAAGTTTATCGTCAAACTTTAAGCAGATTAATTTTTATTTTTCATCTTTCTGCTTCTTTGATGGTTCTTAATTAAAATAGTTTTTCTGTGTCATGTTTAGGGGTTTGTTGTTTCTAAAATTACAACCCAACTCTGAATAATTTCTGAACGAATAGTTTTGCTAAACTCATTGGACTGGTGATTATTATTCAAAATCTTATTTTTTTTTTATTAAAAAGACAAAATGAAGCTAATGTAATTAAATTATTGAAATCATTCAATATGTTAATGTTGTGATAATTAATCATTAAGTGCGAGATCGGATTTTACATTTCGCAATCGTCTGAACATACAAATGATAGGAATATGTAAATGTCTGAATTTTCCTATGAGAAATGGCAAATATAAAAAGCAATTTTTTTCGGTAATGTAACATTTACATATTCCCAAATATCAGCAGCTTCAATTAAATTATTCAGCTGAAAACTGGTGTTAACATATAAATTAAATTTTCACGGCTCTTGAAGTCCTTCTACGAGAAATGATTTTTTTTCATTTTCAATTAATTTATTTTGATTGAAAAATATGTTGTGGTTCTGTATAAACACATCATTCGAATGATAAACGTGCTTAGCGAATCACCATAAATTATTTTCAAGATTCCATCTCATTTCATCGGATTTCCAACGATTCATATTAACAGAATTTTATTTCTCTTCCTAAAACAAATTTATTGCGACGAATGTCATATATTTTAAGTAATTATATCACTTACGATTTCATTAACTTGAAAGATGTATCAGAAAGATCGTTTCAGCATGCCGAGTCTCGATGTGGATGGAATAAACATTTGATCTCGTAAAAAATAAAGAATCGAAAGTGCGAGAGTTCAAGCAATTTAAGTCTCATCATCTTCCACGCTCGTTTCTGTCATAAATTCACTCCATTCACTCTCCTTTTCTCATCTTAACGATAGAATAACATCGTAGCGTCGTAAAGTTGTGATATCTCGCGGGAAAATTTTTCAGAGCTGTGTAAATATTTTTGTGTTCATCAAAGAAATTGTAAAAGAAAATTATTTTCGCCTTTTTCCATCTTTTCATCTATAAACTTCAGCCACCTGTTTTATTTCACAGAAAAAAATGAAGGTGAAAAGTAAAACACGTGGAATCAAAGTGGATAATTTTTATTTCCACATAATTTCTAAAAGCATAAGAATTTTTCAACGTTTAATTAGATTTTATGTAGTGTCTGGAGTTTATATTACAAGGAAAGAAATCTTAGAAATTTAATTAAGTTTTCTCATTCTGAATCATAAAAATTCATCCCCTGTTAATTCTTTTTAGTTTTTAACAAAGTCGAAAGATGAGAAACAAGAAAAAGCATTTAGGCGTTTTTAAATTGAAGAGAAGGAAGTAAAGCTTCTTATAATTATTATTAATAAATCTTTTGATAAACTCGTGAAGCTATAAAAAGATGCAAAGGCGATGCTTCCTCCCATTAGTACGTATTTAAAAGAAAGGAAGTTATAAATTATTTCGTTTGACAACCTTGATATAAAACAATTTGCACAAAAGCTTTTTAAAACTTTCGGTTGCTTATTGTACGATGGAGAGTGAAAAGAAAGTTTTTATTTCAAGCTTTCGAAGAACTTACTTTCATTTTGTCTCGCTGTTGTGCCAGTAAATATATTTATTTCTCAAGTTTTCTAATGCTTCAACATCTTTATTGCTAGAAAAACAAGTTAATTTTAAAAGTCGTTCCTGGTAAATTGTGAAATTTCAAAGAATATCTGAATACAAAGAAAAAATGGAAATAAATATATATCTATCAAAATTCAAATTCCATGAACTACCACTCGAGTGGGCGAATATGAGAATTAAGCTACCACGTTAAAAATGGCGAATAGGTTTTCGCTTCAGGCAGTTCATTATTCGTTGAAAGAATTAAAAATTTGAACAAAATTCTCTTTTGTAATGGAAATTTACAACGATAACATTTCAAGTCACGTAGTTGTGCTACAACCCTTGGAATTCAATCCAAATAACTGGGGATTATAAATTAACTACGAATCATGCTTCAAATTCTGATAAATTTCAGCACTTCATTCTCTAACTACGGCGGTTGGTGTTCCATTAACGGATTTAATGCTTTGATAAATTGTTGGCATACATTTCCTGGATAATTCGGAGATGTCATAATAATAAATACTTACAACTAACTGGTGAAGCACGAAACTCGTCTAATGTAAAATTAATTAAAATTTATTGCGAGGTGCTGAGAACATGTGGCAGAAAAAAAAGGTTAACTTGAATCATCGCGGATGCTTAACTTTTACCAGAATTATTTCGGGGTTACTTTCTTGTTGACTGACGTTGTTCTGCATAATTATAATTTATAATCAATAAAGAGAAGATTCTGACCATTTTATGTTTTTCTTTCTTCAATTTACCCGAATATTCGAATACTTAAAATTCACTTAAGTGAGGAAAATTTTCCTGAAATAACTTCTCAAGATATTTCAAGACCTTTTAAAATAAAAAAGTTTAGTTCAAACATATTTTTTCTTTCTTTTATTTAGCAAGGTTTTGTTTGTTTAGGACCTAAATCACAGATTCCATACAGTTTTACATTCAATATTTTGAAACATCAACATCGTTACGCTTGATAGATTAATTCATGTGGCGTATGCATCTTCGTTTTGATAGAGCTAACATCAAAAATATTTTACTTTCGGTTTAGAAGCAGATAATGGAAAAAGGATTTTCCTTCTCTTCTTTAAAATAATGAAAAGAATGTTAAGGTTTCATTTTGAAATTACTTTTTTTATGTGGACATTGTTCATACAATTTTGGGCAGTCTACATTGTTTGAGAACCTTTAAAAAAGAGTTTGTGTCCATTTAAAGCCTAAAAATTCTTTTCTCAAAAAGTTTCTTTTCACTTTCTTTTAACTTCAATCCAATTTAAGAGACTCAATCTCTTCAAAGACCTTTCATTTGTTTCTTTTGCGTGATATTATAAATTATTTTGATACATTATGTTACTAAATAAATTCCTTTGATGTCTAATCAATAGATCCAAGATGGAATTTACATTTGCTTCAAAGCATTTAAATATTATAAATCGCTACAAATATTTCCACTTGATCTCATTTACAAATGTCATCATTTTTCTTTAAAAATCTAAATAGATACAACAATAATATTTTATCTATAATTCATCAAATTAAATATCGCTTTCCAAATATTTTTGGCAATGTACTTGCGCTTTAATCACGCTTGTCTCCTGTTTATTAGTTTCTGTTTCATCTACTTCGGAAGTGCTCGAGTCAGTTGAATGTTCGGAATTCCTGCGATTCATTTCACTGAATTTTTGGTTTATAAAATCAATTCCTTCGTTGTTCATACTCATATCCGTAACCATGTCCATAACATCGTCATAATCAATGCTTTTACAGTTAACGCTGCTATTACGTGAAAAAGCTGATTCACAAACATTCTCGTCATATTTTGTTTCACTTAAGCTTTCACTTCGATCAAGATTTGGCCTTCGAATATCGTTTAAAGTTTGATGATCATTCAAATGTAAATCATTTGAATGATTTGGCTGAATATTTTTGTCAACCGTAGCTTCGCCCGATGCTTCGATGTCACCAAGAACAAAAGGCAATTTCAACGTTACCTCACCGCCCATTCCACTTAATGATAACTTAACTTTCACATAATATGACACATAAATAGCAAAGACATTCCTCTCATCGATTGGCGTCTGTGATGATGATTGAGATGGCTGTGGATTTAATTGGAAGGGCGTGTATGTACTACCTCTAGGTGCACTTGAAGCTAACTTTGAGTTTAAGGCTGCCAATGAAGTGTCATAGTTACTCGTGCTAAACAAAGCTCCCTCGACTGCGATCCAATTCTTTGTCGAACCTGTAATGTCAAAATAAATAATAAATAAATAAATCAATCATTCACAAACAGAGCATGGCATGTGTGCTTGCTGATATTCGATGCTATTAGTGAATAAACGTTAAGATGTTCCATATAAACATTTTTATGTACATACCTCGAATTGGAAGAAGCGAATAAACGCCATGTAAAGTTTCGCTAGAACCGATTTGTTTACTGACGTCAACTTCAGCTACAATATTCTTAAATTTACCGTTGCTGAACATACATACATCAACATGTTGGACAGCAAATATCTATAGAGAATAAAACGGTGAAGAAATCCATTAGAAATAATTTTACTGTGTTCCTGTCGTAAAATGCCATGAACTTATGTTCATCCAACAGAGGCACTTGCTGTCGTATGAAACAAAATTGTTTATATTGTGATCTGATATGATATTTTATATGTCATGGAAGTTTGCTTCATAGCATCAGTTGAGCCTATTTCTTTTCCTTTCATCAACCAGAAATGAATAAATAAAATTTTCATGTTCTTCTCTTCTAAGTCACATCATTGTCATTTCGGAATTATTGTGTTCGACACACTCTGATGTTAGTTTGAAGCTTTCGCGTAATAAAATGAAAGATAAATAAATATTGAAATCACGATTATCTTCATTGATGAAATTGAAACATAAGATGTGTCATTGTTGTAACATATTTATTTCTACGCATGTTGCGTTTCAATTGTGAATGTTTAGAAAACAAAATCTTCGAGACATTTTTGGAAAGAAATGAAAGGAAAAAAAGCAAAAAAAAACTCGAAATGCGATTTTACTTTCATTGCCTGAGGAATTCACTCGATGACATGACTTTATTCTCAAGATTACTTTCCCTTTTGTCTGGAGAAAAATCAATCTTTAACACAAATTCGTTTTATCGGGAAATAAATATATTTCTATGTTCGAAGCTTGTCACAACAACTTTNTAATTAACATAATTTTTAATATTTTTCCATGACTTTAGCTAAAAACAAGTCAAGAAATGAGAGAAGAATTTACGAGAAGCTTGCTAATGGTAAGTATGAGCACCAGAATAAATTTCAAATATTTATATTCTATTGTGATTATCACTTACATTTTAGTGATATATCACAACATTCAGTGATTAATCACTGAACAAATTTTCAAAATCTTGTGATTAATCACCGCATGTTGTGATAAAATCGCTGAAGTATTTCTGCAAAAAAAAATAACCACATGGTTTTTTTTATCTGGCTGTCCAATTTCCGAAGCAAAATTTCTGCTTCATTTTTGAGATTGTGATATTGTGATATTGACATTTTGACAGTCAGTCAATGTCTGTCAGTCAGTCAGTCAATCGAGTTGGGCGTGCAATTTGCCCAACTCTGGTCTGGAGAAAAATCAATCTTTAACACAAATTCGTTTTATCGGGAAATAAATATATTTCTATGTTCGAAGCTTGTCACAACAACTTTTCCTAACTCTCTGTACATAAAGCTTTCTAAATAAAAAGTTAACATCAATTCAGAAAAGTTACACAGATAATTCTCGAAACAAACTTTAAAAGCTTTAAACTTTCAATGTTGATTCATGAAATAAATATTTTCTACGAAATAAATTAAAAATGTGATCTGGAAAAATTGAATTAGTTCTTATCTTAGATCAAATATGTTTTCAATTTATGCAAATAAAAATTATTTTTTCAATGCTCGAGGCTTACAGTAGATACGAAAATATCTAAGTAAACAAATTTCCATACAATTTTTCTCCTTTTTGTACAATCATCGCTATCTAAAATTAGAAAACGTCGTTTATCTTCATTCTAAGAAATTCTTGAATTCGACATCGTTGATTCATCTTATTCATTGCAATATCCAACAAAGCATTAAAAAAATATTTGAAATGAAAGCTTCGATGGAGGAAAAGCCACAGAAAAAAAAGACGAAGCGAGCAAGTGAAGGTTTACGTTTCATGAATCTACAAATCGATTTTTCTAAATTTTTCTCTCCCGTTGCATTTGCTTCGTGTACAATTTTTCTTTCTTCTTCATAAATAATTGAAAATAGACTTGGCGTAGTCGAAACTGAATGGAAAATCCATGTCAGCTACACTGCTTTTGTTATGATTCGTATATTTCCTTCATCTCCCCTAAAGCTACAAAGACTTGTTACGTTTTTTATTTCCTTGTTACAAAATTTTATCCACTTCATATCTCCTGTGTTGTTTAGAATGATAAAATATGAGAATTCATCTTTCGGGAGATGTTGTACAAATATAAATGTTAATTTCATTAGAGCTTCGAGATAATGGAACCGAACATGATGAACGTGTAAAGCGAAGAAGTTTTCGCTTCACTTTACTTTTATAAGAAGATTAAAACTCACCCGAATCTTTCTTACAACTTTACGACTATCATTTTTCACATCAATTGTTACATTCACATTCTCCCCATGTGTATAAGCCGACTTGTTCAATGATGCTTTGAGGTTCACTCGCCCTTCAGTCCATAAGAAAGGCTTGTCAACAGATCCTTGAGGCCCCTGAAAAAGAAATTAGAGGGAAAAGAGAATAAAAGGAGAAGTTAGCGCACGTGACAACAAAGTAAAATTAACTTTCATTTTAGAGCCAACATGCGACATCTTCATCAACTCATGTTGTTTATTGCGTTTTGTTTCAGATATAAAGGGAAGTTTTTCTTTCACTCACACTCAATATTTGTGTCGAACTCACCCGATTGAGACTATCGACAACATCCGTTTCCACAATCGATTTTACATTTCCATTTGAATTTGTATTTGTGCCACTATTACTTCCATGTATTATCAAACTTGTTTGCTTAATTAACTTTCGTGCTTTTGGTGATAGTCGAAGTCGTAGAGAGCGTGGCACAGTTGGTTGTTGGGATGGTTCATTCGATAAGTTTATCTCCGGACATATTTTGTGAATTAGTCTAATACCCAGTCTTACAGTTGATCGTCTTTGTATTCTCTCGTCAGCTTGTTCAGCTGTTGGAACTGTTCTCGGATGACAATTTAATGGATTTTTTAAATGAGATGATAAGTAAATGGAGAGTGAAAGTGACATGATAAATGTTTTTAATCTAATTTTTTCTCTAAAACTAAAGTGACAGAATTTAATTTAAACGTTGTTGTATCTTAATTACCTGTATAAACGCGAATGTCGTAGCTTGTACCAATGGGTGCCCCCGTGTAACGTTTTGCGGGTAGAAGTTGCACGCTTGGCGGTGTGATGGAACCAATTTCAATCATGAATGGAATAGAATTCCTTCCCAAGCGTTCAATCAACGCTTCCTACGAAACAACATAAATTAATGATTAATTGTTGTGGTTTATGTTCGAGGCTCGTGTGTGGATTGATTTGTATACACACATATGAAGTTACCTGAAGTGGAGTCAAGTCGAACTGTTGTTCGGTGTCAATTTTTGGCCATACTTGCTGCAATGCAATGATTGCTTCGTTACAGAATTTTAATCCCATGACTTCTTCATCTTCCCGTCCGTATCTATGAATGAATAGAAACCAAATATAAATTTCAAATACCATTTGTTATGTTATAATTAATTATGTATTCTGAATAAGTGATTGGAAAATTCATGTGAAAATGAAAGACTATTCAGATTCATATTCAGCTTTCTATTACACAAAAGCTTTTATGTATTTCAACTTGAAATTTGTGAGCTTGAAACATTTCAAAGTCTTTCATTAGAGCATACTGAATTCAAAAGAAGTTTGCATCATTCAAATGCTTACCTAAATGTAAGAGTCAGTTGACAGTAAACCTTTTGATTTGATTCAATAACTCTGGGATCAATATAGATGATTCCTTTGATGGGATCAACAACACCTGCGCGTGAAACAAGCTCTCTTGTACCTAAGTACAATGTTAATAATTGATTTGACGATGTCTTTTTATACACCCTAAAGCAATGTGATAAAAAACACAAGGATAATCATTTCAAAAATTTCATATTCATGTTGTATCAATGGAATATAATAAATATGAGATGCTTGATATTTGATGCAATAATAAAAGGTAAAGGGATAAAGATCAATATATCACTATACGAACGAATAAAAAAGCTTCAACACTAAGAAAACAAAATTTATGTTTAGCTTTTGGAAACAAAGAAAATAAAAGAGAGCGAAGATACATTACAACTTACTTTTGCGAGCCAAGCGAGGCGTCTTCATTCTCATTTGATTTTCTGCACCATTTACGAGATGTCGATAAAAATTTTTATTAAAGACAACGATAAAAAGAAAGAAGCAACGTTATTAAAGCGGAGATATGTCAGGCGTCGCAATCATTTCCAATTTATCAGAATTAATTTGATTTATTTATTTCTTTAATGCACAATAAGTAAATAAGAATCAAAGCTTGCGAAATTGAGAAAACTTGTCAAAGCTTTCATTTATTTATAACTGAGTAAATTTTAAGTTTGCTGAAATTTATCATTGCTACAGATTTAAATTTAATTCTATCTAGTTTTGAATAGTGAGAGTTTTCAAACTCAAATAAACAATGTCTGAAATAATAAAAATAAATGGATTTCGCTGAAAACATGATTGAAAATTATTTCAACCTTGTGGGATGTCTTGTTTATTCAAAATTTCACTAACTACTTTACTTCCACCTTTCACGTTTATGTTATAAGTTATAACACGTAAACTATAACAAGTAATTATATAATTACTTTTTATGATTGGTTGATGCATACATATTTTGGTTTTGTAAATAAATAGTAAAATATCAAGCGAAACAGTACCAGATTTTCATTTTCCCGTAAAATAAATATTTGAGAAAAAATCTTCCATTTGAAACATCGAGGAAAGAGTTCGAATATAAATATCTACCGGGAATTTGACGTCAATGGCAAACGTCAATATTTTAATGTCATTTAATAATATGTGGCATGAAAACACAGAATTTTAAAATTTAAACTTGCTTTTTAAACACCTTTAAGAATTGAATAAGATATTTATGTATAGTTAGAATTGCTCGATACAAAAAATGGGACAGAAATATTTACATTTTCCAGCCAACTTTTGATGAAAGTTGTTTTCTTCCCATTCGCAAGTTGTGAGCTTGAGGCTAGTTCAACAGATCTTATAATATAGAAGCAATATGCTTCAATGAAGGGACATTGTTTATGTTTGTAAAAACCTAGATAAGCGGTTTTCAAATTCAACAAAACAAGTTTTTCTTGTGTAGAAAGAAGACAAGGATTGGTTTTTTTTATGAGGGTGTATCAACCCTTGTTTTGTTGCTTTGAATACTAATTAATATCTGTTGTCTTCTCACTCAACCCTAATCAACATAAAAAGTTTTATCTTTAACTAATCTTGTGATTCGATTTTTAAGAAGCTTTTGACACTGCCAGACCTTGAAGAGTTGTTAATTAAATTGATACTGAAAAATTTAAGCGTTTTATTATATCATCGTCTTGCGAACTATTAATTGACAGGAAATATCATTTTAAAATGAGCTATCTAAATAGATCTCGACCTTCTTTAATGAAAGGTTAACTTTTCAATTAATTTGTCGAATTAGAATTCAAAACAAAAAATGAATTTACAAATGATATTAAATATAGCTTTCTTTGTGTCTAAATCTCAACTCAACCCTTCAAATTCTTTAATAATTAATTAAAATGTCATGTTAAGAAACACCAAAAGTTCAAAGAAATGTTATTGGAAGTTTAAGCATTCAAGTGAAACAACGTGACAAACTCATTTGTTTCAGCATTCCTTACTATAAATTTCAATTAAAAATTCAAATTCCCACACCATAAGAAAGAAAAACATTCAACGTTACTCACTGATACTCGTTAGGAGTAGTTGGAGCTTTAGAAATTTTTTCATCGTCGTTTTCATTCATTATTACAGGTGAGAAACTTTTTTCATTATCCAAGCCCATAAAGCATTTCTTCCTTTTGTTCACTGCCTTTTCATTTTAACTTTGAAGGACGAAAATATCGAAGTTTATGCTACAAAGCACTAAACTATAATTATCAATCAACGATGTTTGTGATTTTCACTTCCACAGGTGAGCTTTGGTTATTTATTTAATTTTATTTATTTTCTCATTAACGCAAAAGTGTTTGCGAGTTTTCCCCACTGTTTAAGTATTTAGATAATTTTCGTTGATACAATATTGACTTTCGCTGCAGTTTTCCTCAACCACTTAGGTGGTATTTGACTTTTTATCATTCTGCGACGTTATAAAAAGTTTCAACAATGCTTTATAATCACTATAGTAGCTCATTTCTGTTTTCCTCCAAAAGCATCTCACAATATTGATTTCTTCCTTAATGAGAAGTGATAATTCAATTGATTAAGATATTTTTAGTTCACTGAAAAATATCTTTTATTTTCATACTTATTTATTTGTTTGATAAAGCAAATAAGTAAATACATAATAAAAATTGCTCACGATCACGTTTGAATAATCATATGGATGAGCAAACGTGAGTGATAACCTTTTTATATCTCAATGATACTTCTCAGGAGATTTTAAGGAGATTCTTTTTTTTTTTGTTTGAAAACGCTATAAAAAGCTTTCAAGCACTTTCAGAAATATTTACAAGACAAGATAAATTTTTCGTCTTGATTTATTGAGATCCCGTATGAGACTGGAATGAAAATGATTCTTGGGTAAAGTAGAAATGTGAAACTGTGAAGTGTACTTGGCATTTGATGTTTCACGCCAATGTTTCGAGAAGGCAAAGCATTCAAACATTCTTCCACTGACAGTGGAAATACAACAGAAAAGCACGTGGAAGCTTTAAATGAAAAAAAATGTAACAAAAGAAATATTTATATAAAACATCGCAAAATGAAGTTGGACTGAAACCGTTTTCTGTTTTCGTCGCTTAATAGTATAATTTAGTTATAATTTCTTTCCTTGACTCGATCGGCTTTTTTTCATTTTGTTATTTCAAATTCTATTTAAAGAATTTGCTGAGTGCGAACGTGAAACAGACATTTCGTTAATTTTTTTATTATGCCATGACTATCGTAAACTATTTCTTGATTTCTATAAACGAAATTCATTCATTCCTAAAGTATATTCTAACATATTTATGATACGTAATGTGCTCAGTTATTTTCTCACTTCGTTTATTTCAATGGCACTTTGAGGGCTTTTATGTGATGAAAATTTTGTGTGCAATTATGAGGTTTGTGCTTGGTATCCCTACGAATGAGCAAAACAAAGTAGTTTCAAATGTTTTCGTACCTTTAATATCCTAAACATTGATTTAATGAATCAAAGAGTATTTATTTCTATAACGAGAATGAATTTCCCTTTTATTAAGATTCATACATTCATGTTCAATTGGCATGAAGTGTTTAAACAAGCATTCCAAAGGAGCGGCGCTAATATTCCTTAATAACGAAGACATTAACCCTGCATTGTCTCTTTAATGACGCAATTTTTCTGTCTCTCATGAATATCACCTTTAAGGATTTCCAATGTTTCTTCATTTACTAGAAGATAATTTGAGGGAAAAACTTCAGTGTCTCTAACGACGCTACTTACAAATAAGTCCAAAACATCGTTCGTTAATAGCGCTACCATTAATCTCCGTCTCATGGTACTAACTCAGCAATTCATGACTAATTGCATGAATTTTTAATGAACGCTATTAATGATTCCGATTCATGAATTTTCTTACTTTTAATTGTAAAGAAAAACATAAATTACAACAATGTTAAATGTTAATGAAAAACAAAAGCGACACGGATTATATTTTGAGAAATTATGCTGACGTAAATAGTTTCATTTTAAAGATAAATCGGAAACGACTTTATACTTTGAAATTGAAAGTTTTGAGAATTAAGAAAAGTGACGCTAAACGTTCATAATGAAATGAATTTCCATTACCTACTCTACTCTATCATTTTCATCGTATTGAGTTAATACATTTTTTATCACTTCCTTCCCATCTGAAATAATTAATCAAGAATATAAATAAATATCCATCTGGAGAGAAAAAAAGTCAAGCTCTCAACAAATCAATTTACAACTTTGTGTATATTCATTGGGACTTGATTAAGGATAGTAAGAATTAGAATGTTGTTTAGTCAGATAGATGTTTACTTAATTCTAAATATTTCGAAGCTTTATCTTTCATGATGATCAGAAATAGATATTCATAGTTTGGAAATATAAAATCAATAATATTTTCGTTGTTTTTAGTTTTAGTAGCTGAGGTTAATAGCATCGCATTAAACGATGCGTAGTAATCTTTTTCAAGCTGAGTTTAATTTGAAATGATTATCATTCAATATGAAAACGTTTTTAAATTTAAGATACTTCGCTAAGAGTTTCAACTTTACATATTATTTTGTGAATATCCAAATTACTGTAGAAAATAATTGACGAAACAATTGACGTTATTCCTAACAACTGAAGCTTAGGATTATTAGCAAGCTCAATTATTATATCATTCTTAAATGGAATCTCACAGATGCGCATTTCACATTCAATTATGAAGTTTAAAAATCTCTTATGGAAGAATTCTATCTCGTTTTATTTTCTTCAACAACTTTGCAGACAATTTATTTAATTAAATTTTGTTTTATAAACAAAAGATTTACATTGTATCATTTTTAATTTTTTAGAGAGTTAATTAATGAAAAATTGATAAGCTTCACTTAATATCAACTCGTGTGAACGATAAATATCTCAATAAAGTTGAATTGTTAGCTTTTGTTACTAATAGTAACTAACGATGAAAATCAGTAAACGTTTTTTAGATATCAATACAAAAATAATTTCTATTTGAACTTTTAAAGAGCTTGATTCTGCTATGGTGATATCGACAATAGAGATTCACATTTCATCAAATTAATTGCTATTAATATGATGAGATGTGCATCCCCAGGTTGTTTCGATATCAATATATCTAGCAGAATCAAGCTCATTAAATTTCAAATAGAAATGGTTTTTGTATTGCTATCTAAAAAATGTTTACTGATTTTCATCGTTAGTTACTATTAGTAACAGGTGAATTTTATTGAGTTATTTATCGTTCACACGAGTTGATATTAAGTGAAGCTTATCAATTTTTCCAATAATTGCTTTCTCGTTCAGATTTTTATTTCTTATAACATTTCCTGACTTTTTTTTTGATTAAACTCATAGGTTGTTTCAGTCTAAAAATGGAAAATCTGTGATTAAATTTTCTTTTTATTTCCACGTTTCAAAACAAATTTCTTGAAAATTTAATTTGTCAGCTTTAAATGTTATTTGTGTTGATATTTTGACGATCAAGGTTTGTTATGTCATCTTGAAAACTCCTTCAAACTAAGGACGCGTGGGTGTCATGTGTAAATTTAACTGAAACATAATTCTTCATCTTGCTTTAAATCTAAATCGTGATTGACAGAAAGCTCACGATTTCATTTTGTTAATCGTGACCCAAATAAATTTATTGAAACTCTCAACTTTTATATTTATTTCTTCCTACGTTAGACGTGACCTTTATCATCATTGAAAACCTTTTTGGTAAATTATTTGTCAGTTCATTTCATTTGAAAGCTCAGAAGAGCTTTTCCACAGATCATTGGACATGTCATTTCGAGCTTAAAATGTCAAAGTAAATAATTCGCATTTCTATTCAGATTAAAAATCAATTTTCTAATGAAAAACTTTATTTGATTTTCTTCATGTTTGTTTAGAGATAATATATTTGTTTAGAAAGTCTGGCAATGATTTTTATTACATTTTCATTTCATCATGAGACATTCTTTATGAAACATCTCTTTTTATTATTTTTCCATTAGTTTGATAGGGCAAAACATGGCACTGCGAATGGGATTAAAGCGATGGAAAAAAGAGATTTCCAATTTTATGCTGCAGATAAAGAAAAGATGAAAAGGACGCCTATCGATGAAAGATTGAGGAAAATAAAATCTTTTAGCTTTCTTTAAATGATTGATACTAAAATTTGAAGTTAAATCTTTAATTAAAAAAAACTTCTTCAATTTTTTCTTCTCACCACGAGACTTTGATGTTGATTTCATTTTTCTTACAAAATAACAACAAAAAGCTTTTAAGAGTTCATGAAATTCAATCTTCGTAAGGAAATTACTGCAATTACACGACGAATAAAGAGTAAAGAAGGAAAATATGAAACTTTTTGTGTTGGTTGTAAGGTGATCCAGACAGAAAGAGATTCAAAATCTCCACTAATTTCCTACGGTTTCTAATGTAAGGAGACATCAGATTACACATTTTTGAAGTACTTGTTCAAGGCTGATACATAAATATCTCTTAAAATTTAATACGTTGGCGTTAAGTTTAGCTTTACAGCTTTCGTTTTGAAGATTTTAACGAGTGACTGCCTTCAAAATGTAATCTTCCAAATTGCGCATCATGAAAGCTAATACCGTGTGACGCTCGTAAAGTTGCTTTCAATATTTGATTACATCTCATGGGATCAAATCTTTCTCTACATTTTCCCTTCTGCAAACGCGAAAAACATTTTTATTTTTACATATTTAAATTTCATTCCGACTTTCTACTTAGCTGTTATTGTCAGTGTAATTACGATTACAGTGTGGAATAAGAATTCTCATCAATTTTTAACATCAAAATTTGCTGATTGTGTGCATGGATAAGAATAAGAAAAGTTTTCTTCCAATCTTTGAATCTGTCGGTAGCATTAGCGAGTCGCTAAATAATAAATGAAAATTTTCCTGCTATGCTTAAGGTAATCAATTATATTTTCCCCCTTGTAATATATTCGTAAACACTTCAATTGGCAATAATGATAATACACAAACACACATTTTACTTCATAAATGCACTTCAGCGTCGTACATCATTTTTTTTCCAATCGCTTATCGAAAGCACACAAAGTTGGGAGGAATTGGAAAAGCGTTGTCAATAAGCCTTTGTTTAAATGAAAATCAATAAGTTAAGTCGTAAATCGGCACACGCAATAAAACATGAATATTTGAGATAACAAAGAAAAATAATTTTCTGATGATTGCTTACATTATCATAACTCTGAAAATGAAGAAAACTTTTTATGACTTTTCAACTTTATGAATAGCAAAATTATGCCTTAAGTCACTTCATATTTAATAAATTCAATAATTTTCATCTTTAAACTGATTTATTATCGACAAAAAAAGTTCGAGTTGGAAAATGTCACAACTCAACGTGCCTCAGTGCACCATTACAGAATTATTTGATATTTTAATATCCTTCATCGGAGCACTCGATGCTGTATTCATGGTATTTGGTAAGCAAGAGTTTTCTCGTCTGTTCATGGTCTGCTTTTCCAAAGCCCTACGTAAATTGTAAGATTATCAACATAAATAAATTAATAAGCAAATTATTTCCTTTTGTTTTATAAGCAACGGAACTTGTACATATAAACAATAATTACCTGGGAATATCCATAAACTTTAATTTCAGGCTTTGTTGATGGGTTGTGAGCTATTCGGCCGCCACCTAAACATTCCGTTTCGAGTCCTAAGGCTTCGAGGGCTGAACTCACTTCATCATAAATGTCAGCTATATAAATAAATGATAAACATCTTAAGTTCATTGATTTCTTAAGTCAATATAATTCTCAATCAACATTAACAAGTTCTTTTTTTTGTTTGATCATTAGCTTCGATAGGCCATCAATTTCCTTGTCAAATTTTACTTCATCTAAAAGTTTCTTATCATTTTCACGTGCTTCAAATCAATCATTTTTCTGTCGTTCATTGACGCATGCAATATTGCTTACTGGAAGGTTATGAAGCATTGTGAAGCATTCAATGTGAAAGAAACATTGAAATAGAAATTATTAAAATTTCACAGACAAAACATCCGACTGGAGGTTGAAATATTTCCATAATAGAAACTTGGGACACTTAAAAAAGGAGATTGAATGCTTCCAGTCTTCTTTCCTTTTTTTTCAATGCTAATATTCATAATTCAAAAGCTCTTTTATGTAGATACCACAAAGAAGTTGATAAGTGGGGAAATAGAATCAAATTTACGCTCAGCATAAATGAAGCGGTTCCATAATGAAGCAACACAAATCGATTATTTTCTAAAGATAATATCGTATTTTCTTTTTCAAATTACGTACCTTTTTGGTGAGAAAATGAATGAACGAAAAGAAGAAATAAATAGCTTTATAAAAATATCGAAACTCATTTTATATTTATTTTTGCTTAGCTTTGCGTAAAGAATAAAGAAAAATAATTTCTAAAGGTAAAGAAGGGAAGTTCTTCTTTAACGAGTTATGCAAAAAAATCAAGAATAAATTGACTCTCGCGAATATCAATGTAGCTGTCGCTGAAGTAAAAAATCAATTGAGATAGAAAAGAATTCCATTAAATAATGAAGGAAATTACATTTCATCCTTCACGAGTTGTTCGTTGAAAGCACACACATTTTTCAAGTGATTGTTATAAAAAAGGCGCAATCTTCCGGTATCCTGATTGCGAAGCTTTATCATTAAAAAACTTTTTCAAAGTAATTTTATATTGTTTCAAACATTTCAAAGAAGTTTTTAATGCCCAATTATGAAGATGAAATGAGTAAAGTAAATTTTTTCATGTTTCATATTTGTTTTCGGTTTTTAACTTTAATTTTTTTTCTCTTAAACATTTGAATTTAAGATCCAATCTTGTCAAAACTTACAAATAAATGCTAAGATAAAATGAGTTTTCACTTTTCATTAAAAAGAATGTATTTAATTGAGATCAAAAACGAACAAAAGAAAGCTTGCATAATTTATTTTGTTTGCGTAAGTTTCTTCGACAAACAATGATTACACAAGTACAAACAGAACTTGAAACTTTTCACTGAATAAGTTTCATTATTTGATTAGATAAAAGGACTTGCCAATGCCGAGCGTTAATCTGAATACAATGTTTAACTTCTGATTTTCGTATTCAAATGTTTTCTTTTTCGAGAGTAAATATTTTCTAGCTGAGAAGATTAATGGAAGGAAACTTTTCTTTATTGATATTCATACTATGAGAGTTGTTAGGTATAAGCTGCCGAACAAGTGGTAATGCCTTTTCTTCAATTTATTTAAATTAAACTTGAAATCTTTTCGGAAAAACAAATTCATTGTATTATAACGAAAGCAAGAATATTTGAAAAATGTTATTTTCTTCTCAAATGATTCGTATTTAAGCATCGAAATTAATGAGTTCTTATAAAGGATTTTGTGGGTTGCTTACGAGACTGAACAAAATTTCTCACATTGTAAGTGTGGCGTAAGAATTGCTATTGTGAATTTGTTTATGAAAATTTTCATTCAATAAGAAAAATCATTTCAGCATTTATTTTTGATCAAAAGAAACATTCTTGTTCAATGAAGTAAAAGTATGTAGAAATCTTTGCTTCCCTTTGTTTGAAAATTTCATGTAACGTGGCATTTAAACTTTCATGTATAGTGGCGTCTTTTAAAGTTATAATAGTTTGTAAAAAATTTTCAAGCTTTTAATGTTTTACAAATCGTCATTCGGTGCAAAAATCAGTACTGAGAAAATTGTGTTCTTTGTTTTGAAACATCAACAGAGGTAAATCCAAAAATCAAATAACATTTATCTTCCAATATCTTAAATATTTTCCCAAACAAATCGATTTTTAAAATATTTATTTGGTAGAAAAATAAACACGAAATTGTTCGATTATATGAGATACGTGAAATAACAGCTTGTTAATTTTTGTTCATGTTCATGTTCATAGATGCGTGGGTGAAGATAAAATCAGCTGTTTATTTCCAATATTTTATATTTAGATTCTTCATCAGTTTTCAGATACTTACTATGCCATGATGCTCTCTCGAATCCTCTATTATATGTAGCAGGTGGAAAAGAAGAAATAAAGTGATAGTTTTATTTAATTAATTTTTTAACGTATACTTAATTGTTAAGTTTTCATAATACAAACCTTACGATTAACTTGAAATGTTCACTTCCATCACACTGTTCTTTGCCATACACTTTTATAAGGACATATTTAAATGTTCCTTCATCAATTTCTACAATAGGAATTGCCTCTAAACGTGCGTTTACACTCATTTTTATGCTACACAATGGTCTAACTAAAGAAATTGGTAAGTTCTTAGATAGGATTCTTATGCTTCTGAGCAACATAGAGAAAAATAAACATATGTTGCTCAATACACCGGTTGCTTTAATACAAATACTCAAAAGCGGTTTAAAACTTATAAATAAATTAAGAAAAATACAAAAAACATTCATGCATAATTATGAAATATATGTAAGTAGTGGCATGAAATTCCTTGGAAAGGCACATGAAAATTGAAATCTCTTGAGTCTTCATTGCAGTCATTTATAAAACGAAAATTTTTGAAAGCTTAAATTTTATTTATTCAGAAAAGAATTTTTTTTGATAATTAAAGAAATTATTTCTTTTTCATTTGTTGTTTTAACTGTTCACTGAAATCATCCATGTTATCAAGATTATCATCATCCCAATTATCTTCCCATACGCTTAGCTCCTCTTCATCTGCATCCTTTGCTTCAACCCAATCTTAAGATGAAAGAAATATTTTAGTTTGTGGAAGTTTACACGACATGCAGAAATTTTGTTTGTCATGGTACAAAATAACAAAGATTTCAATTTTATGATTTTATATTACCTTCTGCTGGAAATTCCTCAAATTCATCGTCTTCTTCCAGAAGTCCAAGGTCGACCTTAGCCTTTTCCTTTTCTTTATCTGCCATTTTTATAGATATCTTTGATAAAATTACCTATTTCGTTTAAATTTCTTGTTTTGGTTAATTCAGCAAATCAATTCAGCAGTTTTTAGCAAATCATTTTAGCAACTCATTTTATCAACTCATTTCAGCGGACTAAAAACAAATTTCATTCCCCCTGTTGTCTTAAAGCATTTCATCATTTAACTTCTTTTAATAAATTCAACGTAGGAGGAATATTTATAACTTTTAACGCAGGAAGTTAGAAAAATGTCTAAGAAAACCAATAAGCCTGATGGCATTGGTGAAACAAAAAAAGAAAGCATAAAAACCGAAAGACTGTCTTCGTTATTTTCAACTCAACGAGATCTCAACCTTCTCAATAATGCGAAAACAAATCAGCGAGCTCAAACTAATAAGAAAAGCTACGCACCAAATTTAAATGTAGCTAGAAACAAAAACACGTGAGTAAAGAATTCAATCAATGTGCTGTCAAATTAATGACTCATTTGTCAACAGAGAAAAAGTGAGTGAAAGTTCTCGCGAAAATAATAAAAGTGAGCGTGGCAAGAACGCTAGAGGACGAGGAGGGCGTAATAATGTTAATAATAACAACAAAAGGAATAACTTGGTGCAAACAGTTGGCTTCTTATCTGAAGGTATAGCAAGTGCACCAATTTTTCGAAAGTCCAACGACCACTACGGAGGCTCTTCCAGGGATAACACAGCTGATACTCTTCAAAGGCCAAGAATCGTCCGACGAGACACAAAACCTGATAAGTCAGAACTAGACGCTGAACAGAGGACATTGGTTAATCTTTTAGGGGACGGTGAAGAGGATGAATTAAACCTCGATGACGATGACAGCAAAACATCTTCAGAAGAATTTCTTCCAATCAAAATTTGCAATCGTAAGTTTAATCGAATCAAATTAACTTATTGTTTATATTTTTGCATGTCAAAGTTGTGATTTCTTGTTGTAGCTAATAAACGTAGAATTGGAACAATTAGTAAAAAATCGGAAACTGAAATGAAAATAAAAATTGAACCAGTTGACGATTCAGTAGAAGTTGGTGAGTGTTTGAAGGAATAATTTGAATTTTGAATTAATCTTTTTATTTCTCTTTAGATTCATCTGAAAATTCTCTTACGAATGGGTCAATTGCAATAAAAAATGAGCCTGGAATAGAAATAAAGTCTGAAGAATTTCATCGAATGGATAAACTTTTTGATGCCACACCAAATGATTTTATGCTTTTTCAATTACCAGATACACTTCCAGGCCGAGCTCCAGATGCAACAGAAACTGGTGAAACTTCTACTAAAAGCGAAAGCCCTAATCTCTGCAATCTTGAGCATCTTGAAGAAGGACTTATTGGTAAACTTGTAAGATACAAGTCAGGAAAAACGAAATTAATGCTTGGCGACACACTTTACGATGTTGATCTGGGCCTAAAATCTGATTTTCAACAAAATGCTGTAACTGTAAATACTAACAGTACCGAGCGGAGTGCCAGTGTTTACAGTTTAGGACAAATCAATGCAAAATTTAATGTAACTCCCGACTGGCTTCATTTATTTCATAAGATGACACCATGAAAATATTATTTGTTACTTTGACACCTCATACCATGAAATGTGATCAAAACTCGTTTGATTTTCTTCGTTGTGAATAAATCAAGTTTTTAATGAAATTATTTTATGACTAAACAATTGCTAATTGATGAATTAAGAAGAAGCTTAATTAGCTTCTTTCTTAGCGACACTTCCAGGTTTCTCATCACCTTTGTAAATATTTCCCTGCAAATCAATCGAGAAATTGAAGTCGACTTGATTCGACAATGCATGCTCAATAGCTTGATCAATATTTTTACGAGTAATGAAAGTTGTAGATTTCTCCTTTTGAATTCGAACACGTTCTTCAATCTTCGTCATTTGCAATTCTTTTATCCTCTCCAGATGGTCAAGACTTGTCTCAAGCTTCTCACATCTTTTCTTCATAATTCTTGCATATCTTGCATCACGAATATTTGCTATTTCTTGATTCCATTCGTCATTGATAGATTTACAACGTTCAAATTCGGCTTCTTCATCTGCCGGTGTCTGTCCTTGGGCAATAAGTTTTTTTTTATTCATTACTTCTTCACGGAAAAATGCACGAACTGAATTCATCTGTAATCTAAATAATAGTACATTAAAATGATGAATTAAAAAGAAGCCTGATAAGATTTATTCACTTGTAATTGTTGTTAATCCTCAACCATTCATGAGTTTCTTCTGGCAATAAAGGTTTATGATTAGGAATTCTAAAAATCTTTGTTTTAGCTTTAGGAATCCATCTCGGCTTCCTTCTCCATCTAACACTTTGTACGCAAACTGGATTGTAGCTGATGTTAAATCCATTTGCACTTAGAGAATCTATTGTCGTCTTTCCTAATAAATTTCGAAGCATTTTGTTTTTTTATTAAAGAAAAGCAATTCAAAAGAGGGGTAGGAAACTTGTGCTGTAACTCAATTAAGCTAATATTTGCTACCCCTGATTTTATCACTGTTTACAATTTCACAAATTTTATTTGTGGCGTCGTTTTAATATTTTTTTAATAAATGATGTCTTTTTCATGTGAATCTTTATGCCGAGCCTGCATGGAGCCGTACTCAGGTAACTCTATGCCATTGATGAACAAAAAGAAACACAAGAAAACTCCAATATGTAACAATTTTGAAGAACTTACTTGTTTGAAGGTAAGAAAATTGTTTACAAAGATAACAACAGTTGATTATATTAAAATCTTAAAGGTTAAAGATGGTGATCAACTACCTCAGCAACTTTGTTTAGCTTGCGTATCTGAGCTGAATAAATGTTTTGCGTTTCGAGAAAAATGTATTCGAACAAATTCAACACTACGAACTTATTTGGATTTATCTGATGACTCTGATGATGGAATGCCAGAAGAGAAGTTCACAGTTAAGAAATCTCCAGTGAAAAGAAAGCTATTCAATATTCGAGATTCGAAAGAAGAGACTTATGAAGAAATTGAAGTTACAGAAGATTTAATCGAAGCATCAAAAAATCGAAGTCAAGATGAAAATGTAAACACAGAAATGGTTCTTGAAATGGATGACATTACAAATCTTCTGAATCCAATTGCACAATCTTCTCCCAATGAAGATGTTAAAATTACGAGTCAAGATGAAAATAATCTTGTTTTCATCATTCAAAATGTTTCTAATGATTCGTCGAATGTGGTTCAAAGCACAAGTACAATTAAATCAAATACATCAAATTATCAAAATGAATCTAAAGAAAAATTTAGGTGTAAGATTTGTGAAATGGAATTTGTTCGTAGAAAAAATTATGACAATCATATGCAGCGTTTCCATTCAGGCGAGGAAGAAGAGACAACACTTGATAAGAAACGTTTGCGTCTAAAACTTACAAATGACAAGGACAACGATCAATCCAAACAAGAACTTGAAGAAAATCCTGAAGCAAAAAAGTGCAAAACATGCGGAGCTTTATATTTAAATGAAAAATCCCTTCGACTGCATGAACGTCGCAATGCTTGTAAACAAGAGTCATATCAATGTGATGTGTGCAAAAAAGTGTTCACAGATCAAAATTTGTTCACAGAACATACAAAAAGCCACCCACAACAAGAACAAGAAATAAAAATTGAAGAGCCTTTTGATCCATCGAAAAAATTCAACTGCACAATTTGTCCAAAAGCTTTCAGAATGCTTTCAACTTTGAAAGATCATTTAAGAACGCATACAGGTTTGTAATTTTCTTCCACTAAATTTCAATAGATTTTTCTAAAGTTTATTTTAAGGTGATAAACCATTCAAATGCACAATCTGTGGAAGAGGATTTTCTCAAAATACAAATCTGAAACAACATTTAAGACGACATACTCAAATCAAGCCTTTTAAATGTACTTTTGATAACTGTGAAGCGTCTTTTGTCAGTAAAGGAGAACTTGAATCTCACAATCGTAAGCATACCGGTAAGTCAATTCAATGATTGCGTTGAAATATTTTATTATATTAATTTCTTTAAAGGTGCGCATCCATATTCTTGTGATCAATGCAACAGTACATTTACAACATCGAGTTCTCTCGTCAAACATAAACGAATTCATTCTGGGGAAAAGCCTTATGTTTGTGAATTTTGTCCTTTAAGGTTTACTGCTCTTGGAACTTTAAGGAATCATATTAGAACTCATACTGGTGAGTGATTTAATATTGACAATAAGTTTATGTAATGATAATTGATTTATTCAGGGGAAAAACCGCATAAGTGTAAATTTTGTGGCAGAGCATTCACTCAAAAATCTGATATGTCAGCACATGAAAGAACTCACACTGGTGACAGGTAAGAAGCATTAAAAATTAAATTCTCTCTTTTTTTATCTTTTTCCTTATTAACAGACCATTTGTATGTACGATATGCAACTCCGCATTTCATCAAAGTGGAACATTGAGAACTCATTTGAAAATTCACTCAAAACCTAGTGATGCTGATGATGTTGGGGAAGAAGAGACTGACGACGATTAAAACCTTGAAAGTTAAAAATGATAATTTCATCAAAGAATTATTTCTAACAATTCATGAATATTTATCACTCATCGATTTTAAACCATTTTAATAATATAATTAGATATAATATACATTATTATA